CTTTATCCCAACGCAATAATAAACCCTCCAAAAACCAAAAACAATAATAAATTGGTCATTTTCAATCTACGACTGTTTGTGGGACATTGCTGTGCACAATTGGCTGCCGCGTTCGCCCACAAATATACAGTCAATTCACTTTACAGTGTGTTCTGTGAAGCGCTTTGGGACGTCCTCCCGACGTGAAAAGCGCTATATCAAATGCAAGGATTATTATTATTATTATTATTATTATTATTATAAGGTTGATCATTGCGGAGTCCCGTAGCATAATCCCTTACCCACCCGAAGGGTTTCGCGTTGACAGACGGTGAAGCGAGTCGGCCGCGCGAGTCGGAAAATGGGCCAACTTCTCGGGGTTTGACCCCCCCCCACGCCCCCCGCCGCCCTCGAGACGCCGCGGAAAGGCGCTTACGCGGAATAGGCGGCAGATGTGCGGTCGGGGGCTGTCGTGTTGTCCTCGATCCAAAGGGCAACCCCCGCACGCGCGGAGCGAACGGCGTAGGGGGCGGTAAACGCGGTGCTCACCGCTGCAGCGGCGGGTGGGGCCGGTCGGCCGGTGGTGGGGGGGGGAGACGTGTCCAGCTCCACCGCGAGTCTCCGCAGCTCAGCGAGGAGAGCGAGAGAGAGAGAGAGGCCGCCGCCGGCGTGGCCGATGCATCATCCCGGCGCCCATCACAGGAGAGGGAGAGGAGAGGCCCCGACACACACACACACACACACAGAGAGAGAGAGAGGAATGGCGCCCGGGCCTCACTCTCCAGCCCCGGCCCCAGCGCTGGGCTGTGTGTGTGAGGAGACGCCCGCGGCCTCTAACCCGCGGCCGCAGGTTGCCCGCCGGCCGCCATTTTCTTGCCGCCGCCGGACCGTCACCCGCCAACCAACCAACCAACCAACCGCCACCCGCGCGCGCGCCGCGGCCTCCGGCCCCGCGGTTGCCATGGACACCGGGGAACGGTCGCCACGGTGACTGACCCCCTCCCCCCCCCCAACCCGACCCGACCCGCGGCCCTGATCACTGTGACCCCCAGAGCCCAGTCACCCCCTTCCCAGCAGTGACCAGAGAGAGGGGTCAGTGGGTACTTCTCCTCATCTGTACTGATAAACACAAAATGTCTGTCTGTCTGTGTGTGTGTCTGTGTGTGTGTGTGTCTGTGTGTGTCTGTCTGTGTGTGTATGTGTCTGTGTGTGTGTCTGTGTGTGTGTGTGCCTGTCTGTGTGTGTCTGTCTGTGTGTGTGCCTGTCTGTGTGTGTCTGTTTGTGTGTGTGTGTGTGTCTCTGTGTGTGTGTCTGTCTGTGTGTGTGTCTGTCTGTGTGTGTGTCTGTCTGTGTGTGTGCCTGTCTGTGTGTGTCTGTCTGTGTGTGTCTGTCTGTGTGTGTGTCTGACTGTGTGTGTGTCTGTCTCTGTGTGTCTGTCTGTGTGTGTGTCTGTCTGTGTGTGTGTCTGTCTGTGTGTGTGCCTGTCTGTGTGTGTCTGTCTGTGTGTGTCTGTCTGTGTGTGTGTCTGTCTGTCTGTGTGTGTCTGTGTGTGTGTCTGTCTGTCTGTGTGTGTCTGTGTGTGTGTCTGTCTGTGTGTGTCTGTCTGTGTGTGTCTGTCTGTGTGTGTGTCTGTCTGTGTGTGTCTGTCTGTGTGTGTGTCTGTCTGTGTGTGTGTCTGTCTGTGTGTGTGTCTGTCTGTGTGTGTGTCTGTGTGTGTGTGTGTCTGTCTGTGTGTGTGTCTGTCTCGTGTGTGTGTCTGTCTGTGTGTGTCTGTCTGTGTGTGTGTCTGTGTGTGTGTGTGTCTGTCTGTGTGTGTCTGTCTGTGTGTGTCTGTCTGTGTGTGTGTCTGTCTGTGTGTGTGTCTGTCTGTCGTGTGTGTCTGTCTGTGTGTGTGTCTGTCTGTGTGTGTGTGTCTGTGTGTGTCTGTCTGTGTGTGTGTGTGTGTCTCTGTGTGTGTGTCTGTCTGTGTGTGTGTCTGTCTGTGTGTGTGTCTGTCTGTGTGTGTGCCTGTCTGTGTGTGTCTGTCTGTGTGTGTCTGTCTGTGTGTGTGTCTGACTGTGTGTGTGTCTGTCTCTGTGTGTCTGTCTGTGTGTGTGTCTGTCTGTGTGTGTGTTTGTCTGTCTGTGTGTCTATCTGCGTGTGTGTCTGTCTGTGCGTCTGTCTGCGTGTGTGTCTGTCTGTGTGTGTGTCTATCTGTCTGTGTGTCTGTCTGTCTGTGTGTGTCTGTGTGTGTGTCTGTCTGTGTGTGTCTGTCTGTGTGTGTCTGTCTGTGTGTGTGTCTGTCTGTGTGTGTGTCTGTCTGTGTGTGTCTGTCTGTGTGTGTCTGTGTGTGTGCGTCTGTCTGTGTGCCTGTCTGTGTGTGTCTGTGTGTGTGTCTGTGTGTGTCTGTGTGTGTCTGTCTGTGTATGTGTGTGTCTGTCTGTGTATGTGTGTGTCTGTGTGTGTGTGTGTGTCTGTCTGTGTGTGTCTGTCTGTGTGTGTGTCTGTGTGTGTGCCTGTCTGTGTGTGTCTGTGTGTGTGTGTGTGTCTGTGTGTGTGTCTGTCTGTGTGTGTGTCTGTCTGTGTGTGTGCCTGTCTGTGTGTGTCTGTCTGTGTGTGTCTGTCTGTGTGTGTGTCTGTCTGTCTGTGTGTGTCTGTGTGTGTGTCTGTCTGTCTGTGTGTGTCTGTGTGTGTGTCTGTCTGTGTGTGTCTGTCTGTGTGTGTCTGTCTGTGTGTGTGTCTGTCTGTGTGTGTGTCTGTCTGTGTGTGTCTGTCTGTGTGTGTCTGTGTGTGTGTCTGTCTGTGTGCCTGTCTGTGTGTGTCTGTGTGTGTGTCTGTGTGTGTCTGTCTGTGTATGTGTGTGTCTGTCTGTGTATGTGTGTGTCTGTGTGTGTGTGTGTGTCTGTCTGTGTGTGTGTCTGTCTGTGTGTGTCTGTCTGTGTGTGTGTGTCTGTCTGTGTGTGTCTTGTGTGTGTGTCTGTCTGTGTGTGTATGTGTCTGTGTGTGTGTGTCTGTGTGTGTGTCTGTCTGTGTGTGTATGTGTCTGTGTGTGTGCCTCCCACAGGAGTCCTCCCAAAAGGATTTATGTGCAAACATTTGAACAAGGGATGCTAACGAGTTCAATAGCACATTTTCTTAATCTTAAGGGATAAAGATGCCTAAGAAGCGAAGATCAAGCCTTTCAAGGACAAATAATAATGGCAGGCAAAAGAACAACAACAACAAGATTCCATTTATAGAGCGCCTTTCACGTCGGGAGGACGTCCCAAGGCTCTGGACAGTTGGGTCAGGACCCGAGCATTGGGGGGAAATGGTCAGCGTGAGGGGAGGGAAGGGAGGGAGCGAGGAGGGGCGAAATGGTCAGGGTGAGGGGAGGGAAGGGAGGGAGCGAGGAGGGGGAAATGGTCAGGGTGAGGGGAGGGAAGGGAGGGAGCGAGGAGGGGGGAAATGGTCAGGGTGAGGGGAGGGAAGGGAGGGAGCGAGGAGGGGGAAGAGAGTCGAGAGGGGAGCTGAAGGCACAGTCAAAGAGAAAGGTCTTGAGACCGGCCTTGAAGGAGGAAAGGGAGGAAGCGGCGAAGGCACTGGGGGATGGAGTTCCAGAGCCTCGGGGCTGAGAGGCTGAAGGCCACCGATGGTAGGGCGGTTGGGGCGGGGGATGTGGAGCAGACCGGAGCCAGAGGAACGGAGGGTACGGGCAGGTAGGTCGGGGGATAGTAGGTCAGAGAGGTAGGAGGGAGCGAGGCCGTGAATGGCCTTGTAGGTGAGGATGAGGATCTTGAATTCGAGAAAAGAAGGCTGATTAAATGAAACTAGTTGCAAGCATAGCTGCAACGGGTACAGCTAGTTACAGAATATAATAATAATCCTTGCATTTGATATGGCACCTTATCACGTCTTCGAGACGTCTCAAAGCGCTTCACAGGAGTTATAAAAGTTATCAACAAAGTTATGCCAATAACATTGGTTCATACACAACCTTTTCGCATATGCCAAAGCGCTGCGCATTATCGAGCGGATTGGTCACACCGTCAGGGCCATGACTTTTGGCAACAGAATCTTAAATTTTAGAATTAGGCACTTTGAGATATCCTCCCACGTGAAAGGCACTTTATATAAATGTAAATTGGAATCCTGTAGCATAGTGGTTAGCTCACTCGCCTCGTATGCGAGAGGACCCAGGTTCTGATTCCCAGGCGGGGCAAAGTCTTAGGCAAGTTTCCTTACTCCACACGCCTCTGTTTAGCTCACAATAAGTAGGAATGTGGTTGTTGGTCGATTACCGGATCACTTTTTAGGGGTAATAATCAATCAAATAAAACCAAAACAATTTGGTCACTCAATCCATGACTGTTTGTGGGACACTGCTGTGCGCAATTGGCTGCCGCGTTTTGACCACAAAATATACACTCGGTTCACTTTACAGTATATTCTCTGAGGCGCTTTGAGACGTCTCAACAACGTAATCAGGCGCTATATCAAATGCAAGGATTATTATTATTCCTAAATTACACTGCATTTTCAGACGAGGTGGAAAAAGTCTCCAAACCGATCTGAATGCGGAAGCCAGTTTCTTTTCACAAACACTGGATTGGAATATTTGCGCCCACATCAAATGCAAGGATTATCAGTATTATTACAATTGTGCACAAAAAGATCCCACAAACAACTATGAAGTGAATGATTGATTAATCTGGGAGATTGAGGGCCAGGACACCGAGAGAAGCTCCCATCTCTTTTCAACTAGAGCCACGGGATTTTTAACGTCCACCTGAACAGGCAAACGGGACCTCAGTTTAATGTCTCATCCAAAGAATTGAGGCTCCGACAATGCAACACCCCTCCACACATTGTATTGGAATATCATTATTATTCACTTGGCGTGTTGGAGGTGTGGTGGGAGTTGGAGACTCACTCGCTATCCAGGCTCGAAGCTTATTGTTCCTGAGAAAGTCCAAAGTCCCTGAAGTTCACAGAAAGTGAAACGTCTGTTAGGGAATAATAGACGTGCTCCACCCAGCTGCTGCCCAGAGGAAGTGGCGACATTTTTCAAGGCAAATCAGTTTTTATTCTTTCAAATACTTTTTGTTTTCAGGGCTCTTAAAAAAGGCACTCCTTGTCCTTGTTGGTACAAATGTATTTTTTTTAAATAAAAATGGAAACAAATGTGAAAGAATAGAAAAGTGGGGTATGAATCCGGTTGAAGTCACCTACAAACTTTCTCTCTTCCCCCCCCCCGCCGCCCATCGCTCATGAAATACATCAGAGTGCTCAACTCTTGCACCCAGTTCATCCCTCACACAGATCTTACCACAAAATACTCCAGGTGTTTGCGGTACCTCAAATAAAATATACTCCCCCCTCGCTCCATCCATGGTTTCTCTTGTAACAGTCCAGACATGAAAAGCACAGCACCAAACATTGACGATTCAAACCACCGACCATCCTTTACTGGTGGGCCAAGGAGCATCCTGACTCACTCCCTCTTCCAGTCACAAACCAACAGTCTAGCCTCTGAAACAATATTTGCAATACATTTTTTGGTGGTGGAGCATGCTACGCATTCAACCCTTCTCCGGTGGTAGGGGATGAGTCAGGGGTCTGCCCCTGGCTAGCTTGTGGCCTCCACTCTCCTGGCCGCTGGTCCCAGTTCCACTTTGCACACGCGCTGAGCGAACTTCAGTGAGCACATGGTCTCACCCACGTTCTCTTCCAGAGAGGAAATCTGGGAGGGGAGTTGAAAAAAGTGTCATCCATTATGAAGGATTTTTCTAAAGATAAATAAATCATATAAAATATAATAAAGTAAGATAAATTGGGTGCCACGTTTCACTCACAAAAGACAGTCGATTCACTTTACAGTATCTTCTGTAAAGCATTTTGACAATAATAATGATTCTTGCATTTGACATAATGCCTTATCACGTCGCTGAGACGTCTCAAAGCGTTTAACAGGCTGTACTGTAAAGTGTGGTGACTGTATATTTTGTGGGGTAAACGAGGCAGCCAGTTGTGCACAACAGTGTCCCACATACAGAGATGTGTGTGGAGCAAGGAAACTTGCCTAAGGTTTTGCCTCACTGGGGAATTGAACCTGGGTCCTCTCGCTTGCTTGCGAGTGAGTATGCTAACCACTACGCTACAGGACTGCACTATTTTACACAATTAGAGTTTTGATACGTGTCAATGACGTGATAAGGCATTATATCAAATGCAAGGATTATTTATTATAAAAGAGAAGGCCCATCACCGCCTTCTCAGGAAATCTGGTGATGGTTAGTAAATGCTGGTGTTGTCCATAACAAGAATTAATACAAACCTTTGTGTGTACTTTTAAGTGTTATGTGCCGCATACACACACATACGCACAGCCACACATGTCTGTTAGACGTACCTGCACCACCATGACTGTTTTGTTGCCCTTGCCCAGTGAGTCCTGGAGAAGATAGGTGAGTTTGGAGTTGCGGAAAGGCACGTGGTTTTGCTTAGCTCGCAGAGCCTGGATCACGTCAGCGAGAGCGAGCAAAGACTTGTTGATATTCTGTGCCTCTTTCAGCCGCTCACCCTCTGCCCCTGACTTCCAGACACGCTCAGACCCTGCCAGATCCACCAGGTTCATTTTCCCTGCCGAGCAAAAGCCAGAGACACGCAGCATCACAGGAAGCACTGTTGTGGGTTTACTTTCTCAATCCTAAGGATAAGGTTAATCCCATCAATAGGACAACCTGGAAGATGGAGAAGCGGCTGTTTTTTTTGTCGGACCCCATGTTACAAAGTGTGTGGGGGGTGGGGGTTGGTGGGGGGGTTGCTATGGAGTGGAACTAAAACAATGTAGATCATCTCATCATCTTCTGTACTGTCAACAATGCCCAGATAGCCATCCAGTGGGAAAGGTTCAGTTTTAGTTTCTGCAACTTAAGGGGCCTGCCCTAGTCCTAGAGGCAATGCAGAAGAGAGCAACACGCTCGTAAGGTTCCAAAAGACCCTGTGGACCATTTTATCTCATCCTTCCAGAATCCCCACTGTTCAGTTTTCCTAGTACAACAAACTGTTTCTCAAATGAGTCCAAATGCCTTGGTCTCAGACATTCTGGTTTGGATACTCTTAACAAGAGCAGCAAGAACTTGCGTTTATATAGTGCCCGCACGCTGGGTATTGCCCAAAGCTTGTCAGTGGCGGAACATGACGCCCAGCTAGAGGGAGGTGACGGTCAAAGATGAAGGTCTTCAGGCATGATCTGAAGATGGGGAAGGAGGGGGCAGGGAGGAGGGATAGAGGGAGAGTGTTGCAGAGTTTTGGGGTCTAGTGGCTGAAAGCATGGCCACCCATGATGGAACGGAGAGCATGAGGGACAAGCAGTAGGCCGGAGCCAGTCCAGGCAATAAGGCAAACAGTAGTAGGTTTAGCAGGAGTTGCCCTGTATTGCTTAAGACCTGTGCAATATACGATACCTACCCACTGTCTTGGTATCCGTGTTGATCTCAGTCCCAGACACGGTGACAGTGAGCAGAACATGAGAGCGGGAGCTACGCTCATTCATGTTCGTGCTCTGCGTCACACGATTCTTCCGTCCCAAAGCCAGGACCTGACAAGGTGTGGGGGGTGGGTGTTGGCGAGAAAGAGGAAGGAAAGTGTTTATAGCACCTTATCACAATGAAACATCTCAAACCACTTCACAGTAATTACTATCAAGTGCAATAATTGTTTTTTCTACATAAACACAAAGGTCATTTAGCACACGGAAAGCCCCCACACAATAATGAAGTGAATGGCGGATTAATCTATAGGATTATTGGTCAGGACATCAGGCGAAATTTCCTTTTCTTCACTCAATTTCTGTCCTCGCTACATCTGCCTGAAAACACGTATGGGAGCTGAGTTTATGGTTTTATCTGAAAGACAGAGCATCCAATAATGCGATACATCCCGTCCCCAGAAACTATTGGTGTGTCAACTTGGACTGTGAGCTCAAAACTCCTGACGTGGAACATGAAGCCAGAACCTTCTGACCCAGAGTCAAAAGTGCAATGGCAGAGCGATTGGTTAAATAATAATAATTGCATTTGATTTAGCACCTTATCATGTTTGGACATCTCAAAGTTCTTCACAGAATATACTGTAAAGTGAATTTACTGGATTTTGTGGGTGAAACGTGGCAGCCAATTGAGCTCGGCAGTGTTTCACAAACAGTCGTGGATTGAGTAGCCAATTTTTTTTTGAGGGATTATTAACCAATCCATCTGTCAATCCACCAATTAGTGGTCCGTCAATTGAATAACAACTGGATTCCTACTTACTGCTAGGTAAACAGAGGCGTGTGTAGTAAGCAAACTTGCCCAATGTTTTGTCCTGTCCGGGAATCGAACACGGGTCCTCTCACTTGTGAGGCGAGTGCTCTAAACCAATACACTACAGGACGCAATACTAAAGATTTATTCCTCACTCAGAGGTAAAGTTCGGGATCCAGTTGAACCAGCCTGACCTTCCTAATGTCTTGAAATCGTTTCACTTCGACCAGTGTCAAGCCTGGCACATGGAGATGTCCACTTCCATCGGGATTCAGCTTGATCTCCAGTTTCTCCTGGGGATCCTTCCCAAGGAGGTCTCTGTAATAACCCATCAGAAATAACAAGAAACATCACCATCACAGCAATCTGCCTATCATCTGAGTGACCAATGTTCTGTTGGAATCACCAGCTCATTCACCTCTCCCACAATCTGAGCCAAATCAGCAATCTTCCCATTCCCATTCCTAGCAACAGTCAATTAAACAAACCAGCAATTTGACCTCTTTAATAATAATAATAATAATCCTTGCATTTGAAATAGTGCCGTATCACGTCTTCGAGACGTCTCAAAGTGCTTCACAGAATTCACCGTAAAGTGAATTGACTGTATATTTTGTGGGAGAAAGGTGGCAGCCAATTGCGCACAGCAATGTTCCACAAACAGTCGTGGATTGAGTGACCAATTCATTTATTATTATTATTTGAAGCCATTATTATCCCCTGGAAAATTAATCCGCCAATTAACTAACAACCAGGTTCCTACTTACTGCTAGGTAAACAGAGGGATTCATTATGAGCTAAACCAGCAATCTCATTACAATCTATACCAATTCAGCAATCTTCCTGTAGTATACCAATTTAGCAATCTCCTAAACTTCAAACCAAAATCACCAATCTCCGTACAATCGTATCTTAATCAGTAACTTTGCAGGTATGTCCTGTACCTCAAATGCTCATTGTAGATCTCCACCAGATTGAGTGAGACAGTGTAGCTCCATGTCCCAGTCCTGGTCTCAATCTCCTTGAAGAGAGCGCGCAGGGCCCGCTGGTTAATCCCTGGATTATCAGTCTCCCCCTGAAACCCAAAACAACATGAAATCCAGTTCAGTGGATGGAAATGTTCCCACCCTTGACTGCTTCCCCATCGCCCAAATATTTGCATCTGATTTAATTTTTTTTTCCTTTTCAAGAATATATCTAATCCCCTTTTGAAAACAACAAACTTAACAACAACAACAACAACAAAATTATACTTTCACGTCGGGAGGACGTCTCAAAGTGCTGAACAGTCAGATGTCGGGGCCCGAGCATGGGGGAGGGGTGGTGTAGGGGTGAGGGGTGAGGGAAGGCAGAGAGGTGGGAGGGAGACCAAAGGCACAGTCGAAGAGAAGGGTCTTGAGACTGGCCTTGAAGGAGGCAAGGGAGTAAGCGAGGCGTAGGGGCCATGGGATGGAGTTCCAGAGTGTGGGGGCAGAGAGACTGAAAGCCCGGCCACCGATGGTAGGGCGGGTCGGGCAGGAGACATGGAGCAGGCTGATGAATGGAGGAAGCGGGCAGGTTGGTAGGGAGTCAGCAGGTCAGAGAGGTAGGAGGGGGCAAGGCCATGGATGGCCTTAAAGGTGAAGATGAGGATCCTGAACTCGATCCTCTGGGAGATGGGGAGTGATGGGGTCACGGAGCCTGGTGCGTGAGAGTACACGAGCTGCAGAGTTTTGGATGACCTACAGCTTGTGAAAGGAAGAGTTGGGAAGGCTGATGAGGAGGGAGTTCCCGTCATCAAGCCTTGAGGTGACGAATGCCATCACTGATCCCTTGTGACGCCATTTTTACTCACAGTAAGTGGGGATCGGTGAGGAGGGTCAGTACTTTGTGATTCGAGGTTATAAATCTCATCATGTGATCATAGAATCATACAATCATAGAATTAGAATTATAGAATTATACAGGACAGAAAGAGGCCATTTGGCCCATCTTTGATAAGAGCCATCTAATTAAATCCCACTCCCCCGCTCTCTCCCCTTAGCCCTGAAAACTTGTCCTCCCTAAATAATGATCCACTTTCTTAAAAGCTGTTATCGCATCAGCTTCCACCACCCTTTCAGGCAATCCTTTCCAGAGCCAAACAACACGCTGTGAAAAACAATTTCTCCTCACCTCCTCTCTGTTTCTTTTAACAACTATCTGAAATCGGTGTCCTCGGGTACTGACCCACCGCCAGTGGAAATAGTTTCTCCTTGTTCACCCTATCGAATCCCCTTATAATGTTTATGATAATAATAATAATCCTTGCATTTGATGTAGCACTTTTCACGTCTTCTAGCTGTCTCAAAGCGCTTCACAGAATATGCTGTAAAGTGAATTGACTGTGTATTTGTGGGCGAAACGCTTTAGAAATTTTAAATTTTAGAAACTTTTAGAAATTTTGAAAATGTCTATTAATTCTCCTCTCCTTCTCTGCTTCAAGGAGAATCTGCTTCAAGGTGAGCTTCTCTCGCCTCTCCTGATAACAAAAGTCCCTCATTCCTGGTACCATTCTGGTAAGTCTCCTTTGCTCCCTCTCCAATGTCTTGACATCCTTCCTAAAGTGTGGGGCCCAGAACTGAACACAGTAATCCACCTGAGGCCTAACCAGTGTTTTATAAAGGTTCATCATAACTTCCTGACTTTCGTATTCTATGCCCCTGTTTATAAAGTCTAGTATCCCGTATATTTTTTTAACAGCTTTATCTCCCTGTCCTGCCACCTTCAAACATTTACTTATATGAACCCTCAGGTCTCTCTGTTCCTTCACCCCCTTTAAGATTGTACCATCAGCTTATATTGCCTCTCCTCATTCTTCCTTCCAAAATGCATCACTTCGCATTTCTCCACATTAAACTTAATCTGCCACATGTCTGCCCATTTTACCAGTCTGTCTATGTCCATAGACATAGATGATAATAATCCTTGCATTCAATATGGCGCCTTATCACACCTTATCACATCAGATGTCTTAAAGCGCTTCAAAGAATGTACTGTAAAGTGGATTGACTATATTTTGTGGACGAAATGAGGAATCCAATTGTGCACAGCAGTGTCTCACAAACAGTTGTGGATTGAGTGAGAAATTATTATGTTTTTATGAAGGGATTATTACCCCCCGGAGAAACAATCTGACAATCAACTGACAACAGGGTCCTGCGCCTAATGCTTTCCAGAATTAGGTAAGCAGGATGCCTCCCTCCAGGGAAAGAGAGTGCATTCCATTCCATAATCTATCTCTGGGATTTCCATGTGTGTGTGGAATGCATGGAATTCTCAGTTTGGTTTGGATACTCTTAAGCACAGTGATGGGTTTCCGCAGACCAAAAAAAGACTAAACCAACCACTCACCCTGGCATGTCTCTGCCCTAGGACAGTCTTCAGTCTGTCTTTATTTCACATCCTCTAGTCTGACTATCTTAGGCCTGTCTCATCAGGTGTTGTCCCTGTACCCATGCCTGATAAAGCTCTTTGTGGGCAATGATCTCTCCTATACCTGAGAGTTTCTATCTCTAGAGCTTGCCCCTGGCCTGTGCAGACACTCACCTCCATGGTGTAGGTTTTACCAGAGCCCGTCTGCCCATAGGCAAATATACAGATGTTGTAGCCATCGATGCAGGAGGTGACCAGGGGCTCGATCTCCTCAAACACCTGCAGTTGAGACCACACAAGGCACTGTTAGTAACCATAATAAACCTTGCATTTGATATAGCACCTCATCACGTCTTCACAGAATATATTGTAAAGTGGATTGACTGGGTAGTTTGTGGATGAAACATGGCAGCCAATTGTACACAGCAGTGTCCCACAAACAATCATGAATGAATGACTGATTTTTTGGGGGGAGGGATTATTACAACTGGAAAGCAATCCACAATTGATTAACAACTGGGTTCCTACTTACTGCTAGGTAAACAGAGGCATGTGGAGTAAGGAAACTTGTTTAAGGTTTTGTCCCGCCTGGGAATCGAACCCCGGTCCTCCTGCTTGCGAGGCTATAATAATAATAATAATAATAATCCTTGCATTTGATATAGCGCTTTTCATGTCAGGAGGACGTCCCAAAGCGCTTCACAGAACACACTGTAAAGTGAATTGACTGTATATTTGTGGGCAAACGCGGCAGCCAATTGCGCACAGCAATGTCCCACAAACAGTCGTAGATTGAAAATGACCAATTTATTATTGTTTTTAGTTTTGGAGGGATTATTATTAGGCTCTGTGTGGAGTAAGGAAACTTGCCCAAGGTTTCGCCCTCTGCCTGGAATTGAACTCAGGTTTCTCGCTTGCAAAGCGAGTGCTCTAACCACTGAGCCACAGGACTCCACAGTAACTAATCAATGGATTGGGCGCTGCCTCCCTTCCTCACCCTGTCCCCTTAGCCACCATCATTATATTCTACTGTCACCCAAATTTAATCCAAATTCTAATAAATTGGCTCTTCATTTTATGTGAGAGTGTGTGGGACGTTGCGGGCGCAATAGATTACCTCTCGTATTATCCTCCAAAACAGCATTCACTTTTATTTCTAATTCATGTCATTCTGTGAAGCGTTTTGAGATATTTCTTTCACATGAAAATTGCTGCACAATTAAATTATACATTGCCAGCCTGAGCCTGGCTCGGTTGGTAGCACTCTGAGTCAGAAAGTTTGAACTCCCAAATCTTGGCTGTATCAAGCTGCTTGTACGGTACCTTTCACATAAAATAATCTTCTCAGAAAACAATTTAAGTTTAATCTAATCTTCGCATTTGATACAGTGCCGTATCTTGTTGTCGAAGTATCTCAATGCATTACACGGGCCATCTTCGTTCAGACCAATCTTGTGCTCTTGTACGTGTAACTTGTGAAGTGTTTTGAGATGTATCCTGTTTGAACAAATGTAGCACTGCGCTTCAATTCATTGCTTTTCTTTAATTCAGTGCCTCAATATTAACCTAGAGTTTCATTTAATAATAATCCTTGGTACAGCATCTTTCATGTCGGGAAGATGCCTCAAAGTCTCAAAGAGGATTTACTGTAATATGTAGTGACTGTGTGTTTGTAGGTGAATATTTTGCACATTTGGACTCCCACATTTAGAGAGCTGATAGGTGATGATGATAATAATAATAATAATAATAATAATAATAATAATAATAATAATATAATCCTTGCTACATAAATGCAAATTGTTTTTGTTGAATTTGATATAGCGCCTTAACACGTCATTGAGATGTCTCAAAGCGCTTCACAGAATATACTGTCAATTGGATTGACTGTGTATTTTGTGGCCAAAACACAGCAGCCAATTGCACACTGAGGTGTCCCACAAGCAGTCATGGATTGAGTGACCAAATTATTATTAATGTTTTTAGGGGGAGGGATTATTACTCCCGAAAAGCAATCACCAATCGACTAACAAACAAATGACACTGGACAGAGGAAGGTAGATTGATGCCACATTTAGTCTCTGAGGATTGTTTCTGTGTTATAACATTCAGTAATTACAATATATGAAATCCACTATGGTAGGCCTAAATGCAAGTTGTTAATGTTCGTACCCACCATGGCTGAGTGCCAGGACTCCCCTGATGCTTACCACCTCCTGTGTGGCCTCGGGGATGAATACTTTGTCGAGCTCAAAACTCCTCTCTCTCGCCTTGTACAGCACTGTGATCCTGCAGTCATTGGCAGGGTTGAGGGTCACTGGCGTTGGAGTGTCCTCCTCTTTCTTGTCAGTCTGGATCAAGGGCTTGATTCTGCACAGCACCCGGATGTTCCCTGAGAAGAGAATGGTAACGGTGCCGGAGTGGGTCTGTGATATTCAATCCCCATCAGTGATTTTTTTGTCCAGCCGGGTGTCTGATACATACGGAAACCCATCACCATGCTTAAAAGTATCAATCGTAATCGTATTTCATAATCGTATTTCCATTTGTATAGTGCCTTTCATGTCGGGAGGACGTCCCAAGGCACAGTGTACAGCATTTCAACAATAATAACAATAAAATTACATTTATATAGCGCCTTTCAGTCAGAATTTCAGACCCAAGCTGGAGGGGTCGGGATCAAGGAGGGTACAGGGGTGGGGAGCAGGGTGATCAAAAGCACGGTCGAAAAGAAGGGTCTTGAGATGGGTCATGAAGGAGGCAAGGGAGGGGGCGAGGTAGAGGAATTGCGGGATGGAGTTCCAGAGAGTGGGGCCAGAGTGGCAGAAGGCCCGCCCACCAATGGTGGGGCAAGCGAGGCGGGAAACAGGCCGGAGCCCGATGAATGGAGGGAGCGGGCAAGGGGGTTAGGAGGTCGCAGAGGTAGGGGGAGCAAGACCATGGAGGGCTTTGAAGGTGAGGACCAGTATCTTGAACTGTATCCTCTGTGTGATGGATCGAAACCAAACTGAGAATTCCATGCACGCCACCTACATGTGGAAATTTCTTTGTCTGGAATGGAACAAACTCTCTTGCTGAAGGGAAGCATTTTGTTTACTGAATTCCGGAGACTATTAGGCATAGGTTGGTAAGAGGTAAAACTTGGATATGCCAGAGTATATAATGTGGTAATTACTGGGATTTAAACCAGCGAAAACCGCATAGCTTGCCATTGGTAGCACTGTCTGGCAAGTTTCCCACTGCCTATCCAGCTAGGATAACCCTACCGAAAAAGGCGCGTTTGCTTGAAGGGTGAACAGGAACTGGATGGAAAAAACCCTTGCTTCCAGTGACTGGTTTGCCCTTAAAGTCCTGCTGATGAGCCAGGCTGGCTGTGCTGTCACTAGCAGTTCCCTGGAGTACTACGGACCCACCTAGTTGAGATACTGGATGAGAGAAGGCCACAGAGGGTTGACTCGATTCTGACATTCCATTGCCAAAGATGTTACCTTGAATTCCATTTAGCTCCAAGGAGATCCTGTTTACCTTCCCCCCCCCTCACACACACACACACACACACACCAGTAAGACAGAGAAAGAGACAGAAAGACAGAGAGCAAAAAGAAAGATTCTGTCCCTTCCCCCCACACATACACACGCACAACATTCCCCCTTGCTCACCTCGCAGCTCTACCAGTTGGTTGTGGTACTTCTTCCTTAGCACAATCTCCTTCTGGTACCGTTGTTCTGTGTCCCGGCTGGTCTCACATGCCTCTGCCACTGCTGAGCACATCTGGGGGAGAAAGAAACAAACCAGGGTAACACCGGGACCCCTGGCAATGTCCCCCCTCCTCACTCAGGCAGACACCAGCATATAATACCAGGGAGGAGGGACTTTAATAATAATAATAATCCTTTCATTTGATGTAGAGCCTTAGCACGTCGTTGAGACATCTCAAAGCGCTTCACGGGATATACTATAAAGTGGACTGTATTTTGTGTGCGAAACATGGCAGCCGATTGTGCACAGCAGTGTCCCATGAACAGTCGTGGATTGAGTGACCAATTTGTTTTCGAGGGAATTATTACTCCCCAGAAAGCAATCCGCCAATCGACTAACAACCAAATTCCTACTTACTGCTAGGTAAACAAAGGAGTGTGGAATAAAGAAACTTGCCTAAGTTTCACACTGGGGACTTCAGGTATGTGAGGAAACTAGAGAAGCTCGGATTGTTCGCCTTAGAGTAGAGAAAGTTAAGGGGAGATTTAATAGACATGTTCATAAGTATGAGGGGTTTTCGTAGAGTAAATGAGGAGAAACTGTTTCCACTAGTGGGTGGGTCGGTAACCAGAGGACACAGATTTAAGATAATTGGCTAAAGAACCAGAGGGGTGACGAGGAGAATTTTTTTTTACCCAGTGAGTTGTTACGATCTGGATTGCACTGCCTTAAAGGAAGTGGAAGCAGATTCAATAATAATTTTCAACAGGGAATTGGATATTTACTTGAAAATAAAACAAAATGCAGGGCTGTGGGGAAAGAGCAGGGGAGTGGGACTAATTGGATAGCTGTTTCAACGAAACAGCCTCCTTCTGCGCTGTAGGATTCTATGATTGTATAATAGTACAGCAACTATGATGTCAAAATGTCTCAAAGCTTCCCAGGAAGTCAGGTATAATGATTGTGCATTTGTAGGCACAGACAACAGCTGTTTGGACATAGAAAAGGCCCACACACACATTGCTGTGAACTGAATGACCAGTTTATCTGGAGGATTGGTGGCGAAGATAATGAGAGAAACGCCATCCTCTTTTCAATTGTATTTTCAAAACAGATGAGACCTCAGTTTAAGGTCTCATACAAATTCGGCATCTCTGCCAAGGGTGGCACTGTAAGCTTGATGTTCCTGACATGGGGCTTAAACCCAGAAACTTCTGACTCAGAGGTGAGAGCACCACTGACAAGATGCAATGATCCTCAACATGCCCACAGTCCCTTTTCCTCACCCTTTCCCTTGTCTCCCTCAAGGCCCTTCTCAAGACCTTCCTCTTCGACCACACCTTCGGTCACCCTCCTACACCCACCCTCACTGACCTCCACCCCTCCTGAAGCCAATCCCTCAGCTCGGGTGCAAAGCCTTGACTGTGAAGCGCCTCGAGACAACCTCCCGATGTGAAAGCTGCGGTACAAACGTAACTTGTTGTTGTTGCTGCTGCACTGGAATTTCATCTGGACTGTGAGCTCAAAGTCCCTGATTATGGTTTGTGAACCCACAACCTTCTGCCTGAGGTCAGAGCACCAATGACAGAGTGAAACAGGACACAATAATAACAACAACTTGGATTTATATAGCGCCCTCCACGACGGTCGGCATCTCAGAGCGTTTCGCAGTAACGGATCCCGGGGCCAAGCCAGAGGGAGGGGGAGGAAGGTGACCAAAGGCACGGTCGAAAAGAAAGGTCTTCATCCGAGACCTGAAAGGAGGGAGAGAGGGAGGGAGGGAGGGAGGGAGACAGATAGATCCTGGGATAGAGGGAAGCAGCCATGAGTTTCTCTTTCTCTGTGTTGTGCCCTCACCTGCTTCTTGGCTTCAATTATAGCTGCTTCGTAAAACTGGGAGAAGCTCTTGACCTGACTCCTCAAGCTGTTATAATCGCTCTTCATTGACCTGAGAAAAGGCTGCATTGTTGTCAGTCGCTGCTGTATTCCTGAGGGAAGGAAGACAAAGCCTTTTTATAGCACATTCAAGCACTCACTTTGTAAAATCTATTTCCATATAAAGAAATCCAAGATAGTATGTGACCTGCAGACAGAAGCTGGGGAGCATTAACTGAGCACAGTCTTTACAATCCCACAATATTACAGCACAGAAGGAGATCATTCAGCCCATCAATGCCCATGTCGGCTCTGCTTCAACCAATGTCCCCCTGTTTCTCCTAACCCCTCACTATGTTTTGGTGCTGATTTTCAATTGACACCTTCTATAGTTACCAACTCAGCGACAAGTGGAAACTGTTTCTCTCTATTTATCTTCTCAGATATCCCTCATCATCAATCAGGTCTTCTCCCAATCGTCTCTATTTTGGCTCTGATCTCTCCTCAGAAATAAAGATTGTCTCCCATGCTATTATCTCAGTGAATCTCTTCTGCATCCCTCAAACGCATAGTCACTCTACAGGGTGTCCACAAAGTCCTGTTACCCCCTTGTCACAAAACAGGGATATGAGACGACGGAGGGGCTGCAACAAGCTGTCCTGTCAGAGATACATTTCACTCCTCACTCCATCCATGTTACGGAAGATGACGCACTGAACATGGTGACGGATCATTGCCTGCCATGAAAATGAAGCTGCTCACACACTCACACCCATCCTCTGGACATTTAAATACAGTTAAACTTTTGCACTGAATACAATGAAGTACTTCTACATACAATTATCATCATTCTTCTGCATGTTTCAGTTGTTGGTCAGTGCACTACAGAAAACAAAATGGAGGTAACAGAACTTTGGACACTTTACAGTATATCCTGTGAAGCACTTTCAGATGTCCTCCTTCTGATATCAAATGTAATGATGACTTTTATTTTTATCCTCTCTTGGCCTGGGGTTACCTGGATGCTGAGAAGTGTCACCTGACTGGTGCTTACCTGAGAACTGCTCTCGGAGCTGATCCAGGTGTTTTTCAGAGCACTGAGATGCTTCCCTCACCGCCTCCTCCTTACTGGCCTCTAAATGGCTGATCTCCTGCCGTAGCTCCCTGCTCAATTTCTCAATCTCCGCCTCGTACGCCACAATCTGAGACACATGAGCCCCTTTGGTCAGACATTATACCTTTCAAATCGCATCCTCACAATCACATCACACCAGCGGGGATCGAGTGAAGAAGACCTTCTGGCCCATTTCAACAATCCTGACCCGACCCCGGTAAATGTTGAGAGGATGGAATGGTGAGGTGTGCAGAGAGTTTGAGCCTCAGAAAATAGGTTAGGGCCCTGTGTCTGGGCTCAGGAGATCGGGGCAGAAACTGTGCCTGGGACTCAAGAAATGGGCCCGTCTGTGGGTCTCAAGTGATGGGGATAGGACCTATGATAATAATCCTTGCATTTGATATAGCGCCTTATCACGTCTTCGAGAAGTCTCAAAGCGCTTCACAGAATACACACTAAAGTGAATTATCTGTATATTTTGTGGGTGAAAAGCGGCAGCCAACAGCAGTGTCTCACAAACAGTTGTGGATTAAGTGGCCAAATTATTGTTTTATTTATTATTTTGAAGAATTATTACCCTCTGGAAGCGATCCGCCAATCGACTAACAACTGGGTTCCTACCTACTGCTAGATAAACAGAGGTGTGTGGAGTAAGGAAACTTGCCTAAGTTTCACCCTGCCCTGGAAACCCAGGTCTTCTCACTAGGGAAGCAAATGCTCTAATTAGTGCACTACAGGACTCCACAATACTCTCCCATCCCTAAGGTTCAGAGAAAGGGAACAGAGCCTGTAACTAGAGCACAGGGGATAGTGCTGGGGTTCATGTCAAAGCTTCCAGACATGGGTACAGAACCCTAACCTTGTATTTGAGCTGAGAACTGGTTTCCTGGGAGCTCCTCAGCTGGTGCTCTAGTTGGCAGCACCTCTCGCCCTGGTGTGTCACCTGCTCCAGGAGATGCCGGTTCCGTTCCTCACACTCCCGAAGTGATCTGAGTGTTGTTGGGGACTCTACTTCCACCATCTGAGTCACGTACTGCAGGGAGGAAATAATCATAGAGCTTATTGTGCAATAGGAAGCCATTCAATATACAGCGCATTGGAACATAGGAACAGGAGTAGGCCATTCAACCCTCTGAGCCTGTTCCGCCATTTAATTAGATCATGGCTAATCCACACCTCAACTAATCCTTTCAATTCCAATTTCCTGTTTTCTCCGCAAATCCCTTAATCCCCTGATCTACCAAAAATCTATCAACCTCACTCTTGAAGCATCCACGGCCTTTTGAGGCAGAGAATTCCAAATTTCTACCACCTTTTTAGTGAAAAAAATCCTTCCTGATTTCACTCTTAAATGGCCTGGTTGTAATGTTAAGACGATGCACCTTGTTTTGGATTCCCTCACCAGAGGAAATAGCTTCTCTGTATCTACCCTATTAAATCCCTTTATCATCTTAAATACCTCAATCAAATCACTGCTCCACCTTCTAAACTCAAGGGAATACAATCTAAGTTTATGCAGCCTTTCCTCGTAACTTAACCCTTTGGGCCTGGTAACATTCTGGTGAACCTGCGCTGCACCCTCTCCAGGGCCAATATAACTTTCCTGAGGTGTGGTGCCCAAAGCTGAACGCAGTCTCCAGATGGGGTCTGACTAACGCTCTATATACCTGAAGCAGCATTTCTTCCCCTTTGCATTCCAGGCCCCTCGAGGTGAAGGCCAACATTCCATTCGCCTTTTTGATTAATTTTTGTACCTGGGAACTATTTTTTTTTAGTGATTTGTGGATGTGGACACCCAAATCTCTGTACTCTTCCACAGTTCTTAATTTCTCCCCACCAAGAAAATATTCTGCTTTATCTTTTTTCAGTCCATAGTGGATGACCTCACACTTCCCTACATTGAACTCCATCTGCCACAGCTTTGCTCACTCACTTAATCTGTCCCTTTGTAACTTACTTCCTACTCCCATCTACAGAATTTACTGAGCGTCCTAGCTTAGTGTCGATGTAATGGAATTTTGTTGTTTGATGTTGTTGTGCATAGTATATTCTGTGAAGCACTTTGAAATGTCTCAAAGACGTGATAAAGCACTATATCTGACGCTGACACCATCAGCATCCAAGGCTGCACTCTCCACCTCTCAAAGCCGGTCAGGAACCTCGGTGTTCTGTTCGACCCTGAGCTGTCCTTTCTCCCTCATATCCGCTCCACAACTGGCACCGCCTTCCATCACCTCCGGAATATCGGCACTACCTCACCCCTCCCGCTGCTGAAACTCTGGTCCACGCCTTTATCACCTCAAGGCTGGACTATGGGAACTCTCTCCTCGCCGGCCTTCCCGCCACCTCCCTCCACACTGCAGGTCATTCAGAACTCTGCAGCTCGTGTACTGTCCCGCACCAGGCGTCGCGACCACATCACCCCCACCCTCGCTCGCCTCCACTGGCTCCCCATCCCCCAGAGGATCGAATTCAAGATCCTCATCCTCACCTACAAGGCCATTCACGGCCTCGCTCCCTCCTACCTCTCTGACCTACTATCCCCCTACCTACCTGCCCGTACCCTCCGTTCCTCTGGCTCCGGTCTGCTCCACATCCCCCGCCCCAACCGCCCTACCATCGGTGGCCGGGCCTTCAGCCTCTCAGCCCCGAGGCTCTGGAACTCCATCCCCCAGTGCCTTCGCCGCTTCCTCCCTTTCCTCCTTCAAGGCCGGTCTCAAGACCCTTCTCTTTGACCGTGCCTTCAGCTCCCCTCTCGACTCTCTACCCCCTCCTTGCTCCCTCCCTTCCCTCCCCTCACCCTGACCATTTCCCCCTTGCTTGGGTCCCGACCCAACTGTCCAGCGCCTTGGGACGTCCTCCCGACGTGAAAAGCGCTATATCAAATGCAAGGATTATTATTAAGGCGCTCTATAAATGAAATCTTGTTGTTGTTGTATATTAACTGCAACTATTATTATTATTAATATGCTGGTGCTCGCTCCCCACTGCAGCTCTCTTCTCTAATCTCATTAGTTTGCTGTTTCCCTGCACTCTTATATTTTCCCTTCAACTCCCTGTTGTTCCCTTCACAAGATGTTTGGTGAAGAAAAACCTTCAGCCATTTGATCTCATCCTTCCAGAAACCCCACCCTCAAATCCTCCCATTGAGCTTTATCAATGGCGAGCCATGCGGTTTTAGCTGGTTAGACCCCAGCAGTTACCTTGACACACACTCGGGGGTTCCCAAGCCTTGGCTCTGACCAACCTGCGCGGAGTACTTTCCGGGATTTGGTGAACAGGATGTGTCCTTCCAGGGAGAGAGTTCGTATTCCATTCCAACAATCTATCTCTGGGATTTCCATGTGTAGGTGGGAGGCGTGAAATTCTCAGTTTGGTTTAGATGCTCTTAATAATAATATAATACTAATAATAATCCGTGCATTTGATATAGCGCTTTTCACGTTTTCTAGACGTCTCAATGCGCTTCACAGAATACACTGTAAAGTGAATTGACTGTATATTTTGTGGGCAAAACGCGGCAGCCAATTGCGCACAGCAATGTCCCTCAAACAGTCGTGATGTCTGGTGATGGGTTTCCGCATGTGTCAAACACCTGGCAGATCAAACAAAAGCTTTTCCTTGAATGAGTCTCAGCGCCCTAGCCTTAACCACCCTTCCAGTTGTTAATTCTCTTCTGGTTAAAGAAATCTCCTCTGATGTCTATTCTGTAATGGCCCTTCGTACCCCTGAACCTGGGACGTCCTATGACTGTGCTTACCGTCACCTGCCTCCAGCTCAGCATCATGCTCCACCATTGTCAAGCTCTCTGAGACCCTGCGTGATGGGAGCTATATAAATGCAAGTTGTTGTTGTTGTACCTGTATCTCCATAGGCTTCTCCCGCTGCTTCTCCAGCTCCAGCTCCAGCCCTCTCATGCGTTGATCAAGGCCTTGTATCTCGGCCTCCTTCCTCCAATGCATGTCACTCAGCTGCCCCTCCATCCTCACCAGCTCCTCCAACTTACTCTGCATGTTGCTCTCGAGTCTCCACACTTTTCCTCTCAGCTCTTCATTCTCCTGACACAGACAAACATGCAGACAGGGGCACATGAGCAGGAATCAGAATACAGCGCTTTAAAATGATGAGAGGTTTAAGCAAAGTTAAATAGGGTAAAACTACGTATTTTCATGCGATGTTAAGTCGATGACTTAGAGGGTCTCAATTTACCATCATCTCCAAACGGAGCCTACTAGCACATGGAATGTCCAACCAAAAACGTTGTTTAAAGCAGAATGCACAATAAGTTCTAAAAAGAAACTGGACAAACATTTGAAAAGGAAAAATAATAATCCTCGCCTTGCAAGCGAGACACCTGGGTTCAATCCCAGGCAGAGGGCGAAACCTTGGGCAAGTTTCCTTACTCCACACAGAGCCTAATAATAATCCCTCCAAAAAATAAAACAATAATAAATTGGCTATTTTCAACCCACGACTGTTCGTGGGACGCTGCTGTGTGCAATTGGCTGCCGCGTTTCGCCCACAAATATACAGTCAATTCACTTTACAGTCTCTTCTGTGAAGCGCTTTGGGACGTCCTCCCGACGTGAAAAGCGCTATATCAAATGCAAGGATTATTATTATTATTATTATTCTGTGAAGCGCTTTGAGACATCGGGAAGACGTGAAAAGCGCTATATCAAATGCAAGGATTATTATTATCTAATATAGTGCCTTATCACGTTGTCAAGACGTCTCAAAGCACTTCACAGGATATACTATAAAGTGGATTGGCTGTGTGTTCTGTGGGTGAAATAAGAGTATATGGGGAGGGGTGAGGGGGAAGGGGAGTGGGACTGATTGGACAGTTCTCACAGAGAGGCACAGTTCCAACAAGCTGAGTAGGTACCTCTGCTATAATATTCTAGGATTTTATTCTATCGCTGGCCCCATTTTACCACAAGCCTTTGTAAGCAGTCACATAACAGAGGCAAGTAACAGGATTAGGTGAGAGCACCATTAACCTTCAGGTTACAAGTTCCCTGGGATGGGGCTCCCTTGATTTGGGATCTCCCAAACCACTTGACAGCAGACCCTGGTCACAAACCCTGATCATCGTTCCTGATCACTCCAATCGCAAACCCTCATCACAGGAATCAACGACATTCATTTACGGAGAGTAGACTTTTCGCATAGACCTGAATACTCCAAGGTCACTACCTTCAGCAGGAGAGCAGAGGGCTGGGCTGGGACGGTGGTAATCTGCTGCAGGAGACCCTGAGTCAAACCAAGGCTCTGTTTCAGACTCTCGTTCTCCATGGTCAGATGTTGAATGCGTTTCTCCGAGTCGGTCACTCCCTAAGAACACAAATACAAAATATTGCTGTTCTCACTCAACTGCCCTGCCCTGTTTTGCTCTGTCAGTCTGGCTCCATTACTCGGGCTCTCTGCACAGGGTCAGAAGGTTCTGGGTTCAAGCCCCATGTCAGAGACTCGTGAGTTCACACTCCAGGATGACATGACATGACATGATTGCAATGCTAGGGAGGGAGCACTGCATTGTCGGAGGTGCCGTCCTCAGATAATACGTTGAACCATCTGTACCTGTTCAGGTAGATGTTAAAGATCCTGTGACACTATTGTAAAAAATAGAAAGGATTGTCTCTCGGCGTCCTGGGTAACAATCCAATAGATTAATATCTGCCACACTTTCCCACAAATACATAGTCACCACACTTGACACAAATTACCTGGGAAGCTCTTTGAGGTAGTTTGAAGTGTAAACATGGAATAGCAACTGAGAAAGAGTATCATTGGGGTTGGGGGGGTGAGAGGTCAATAGATACTAGTGGGAGAGAGATCCCAGTGAGGGAATACAATGTGGGGAGAGATACAATGAGGGAAGATAATAGTGGGGAGATACAACAGTGGGGAAGGGTGTAGGGATTTAGCAATGGGAGAGAGATATAATGAGAGGAATACAGAGAGAGATCATAGTGCAAAGATACAGTGAAAGAGATACAGGGAAAGAGAGAGATAGAGAGGTCATAGTGGGGAAGAAGGTGTAGAGGAAGGTGATTGAAGTGGGGGAATCAGCAGAGTTAACTTACACTCTCCATTCTGAGCTGTGCCACCGCCTCCTCTCGCTCCTTGATCTGTTGGTTGAGGTCTGAGATCTGTGGGGAGACGGAGTGAAACCTGGGTTATCTTCAGTTATTATGTCTTTATTCTTTTTGGTCAGCCAGGTATCTGACACATGCGGAAACCCATCATCACGCTTAAGAGTGTCCAAACCAAGCTGCGAATCCCACCTACACATATAAATCCCAGAGATAGATTGTTGGAATGCGCACTGTTGTTGGAATTGTTGGAATGTCCTGGAGGGACGTATCCTGCTACCCAATTCCGGAAAGTATTAGATGTAGGTTGGTAAAAGAGTCACATACAACAACAAATTACATTTATATAACGCCTTTCATATCAGGAGGAGTTCCCAAGGCACTGAGACCTAAAGTCACACCCAGTCTTAGCTGGTGAAACAATTTTGTCTTCCCTCTGTAGGGTGGATTAGTTCTCAATGGGGCTGCAACCAAGCTGTGAATCCAAGGAGATTACAACAACTTGCATTTATACACCACCCTTCATGCCGGAAGGCATCTCAGAACCCTTAAACCAGTCCACGCTGGTGTTTATACCCACACATGTCTAAATGATGGTGGATGAAGGTCCTGTCCAATTCATCAGTGAGACAGATGTGGACCTATCTCAGCCATGGCCCTGGGTCAGCCACTCTTCACCATGGTTGTCTTACAATGTACCAGCTTTGAACACTAATTGCTGCTGGCATCACTTCTTGCGTGCTGCACATACTCAGGAAGTGATGTCAGTGGAAATCTGATAATCCAGAATTCAGCCATTTCGGCTTCCCGCATGTTAAAAATGGCTGACTTCCAGGTCACCGGGTAACGGCCGACAGCAAACTCACAATGTGACTGAACGCATCTACCTTTTTTTTAAAAAAGCCTTCCTGGTGTCCACCATCACTGACTTTAAATGAAATGAAATACCTGTATTTAGAGGTGTGAGACCACAGATCCCTAAGTATAGCACCTTGGGACATCCTCCTGACATGAAAGGTGATATACAAGTGTAAATGTTCTTGTTATTTGTTGTACACCAGAGAATTACCAGAGACCTGAAATTCCACCAGTCTCAAGACTATCATTTCTCAGAATGTAAGAAGGTGCCAAATTTATTGGGATGTTACCAGGGATGAGTGGACACAGTCATCAAGAAAGATTGAACATGTTGCATATTTTCTCTCTTGTGTTGAGAGAGGGGGATCTGATAGAGGCTAAGATTACAAAAGGATTTGATAAGGTGGACATTGATGCTGTTTCTCCTGGGTTGGTGAGTCCAAAACAAGGAGGCATAAATGTAAGATAGTCAGTTGTGTTGAAGTGAATTTAGGAGGAACCTCTTCACGCAAAGGGCGGTGAGAATGTATTTAGAGGAACTCATGCCGGAAGCTGTGGTTGAAGTAAATAGCATCAATGTATTTCAGAGAAAACTTGCTGTATACATGAGGCAGAAGGAAAAATAATAATAATACTTGCATTTAATATAGTGCCTTATCATGACTTCGAGATGTCTCAAAGCGCTTCAAAATTTATACTGTAAAGTAAATTGAATTATTAAATTCAGTTTTCATTTGGAAAATGATTCCTTTCTAAGAATTGTGGAAAGCCACCTTACAAATTGGTGTGCATTTAAGAATTTACAGCATTGTGACACCATCTACAGGCATCTGTGTGAAGCGCTTTGAGATGTCCTCTGGATGCACCCAGCTCGGGTCCAAATCCCTGACTGTCCAGCGCCTTGGGACATCCTCCCAACGTGAATGACGCTGTACAAATGTAATTATTTCTTCTTATTGTTGTTGACATGAAAGGCACAATATAAATTAAAATGGTATTTTATCTCAAAGACAAATGGTCTGAGACTGGGTGTGACCAGGTCTCAAACATGCAGGTATGTGGTCCTGTATAAGTAAACCTCTGTACCTGGAGTTGGAAGCTGACTGTTAGCTTTTCCCTCTCCTTCTGCCCGTATTCCAGCTCCTGCTTTACGGATGTCAGTTGAGCCATGAGTTTTGACCTCTCGCTCTGCAGTGAACTAATAGACTCCACCAGCCTGTGCACTCCAACTGGGGAGGAGAGGGGAGGGCATGGACTGTGGGCACAGGAGTATGTAGAGGTAAATGGGCATGGGGAGTGGGCAGAGGAGCTTGGGGATTGTGCAGAGGAACCTGATGGAGAGGTAAGGGAGCATGTTGGCGAAGTAAAGAGGGATAAAGTGTGGGGTGGATTTGGAAATGCAGAAGAGAGTGGGGTGTTGGCAGTGGGTAATGGAGCGTCAGTTTGGTATAGAGAGCTGGAAGGACTTGGAGGGCTGTTGTCTGGCAATCTAGCTCCTGTAACAGAGTAACAGTTAAACAAGCGCTCACATTAATCGTACATTCATGGCACAATGTTGTGTGTGTGACATTGCTATGCGCAATTGGCTGTTGCTTTGGCTTCAAATGCACAGTCACTACACTTGGCAGTATTTCCCTGTGGAACACTGTGACATTATAGACCCTGTTTCCAATGCCAGAATTATTATTACAGTGCAGGCCCATTATAACATGCTTCATCATAGCACTTATCAGGTTATAGCATGAATGGACCCCATTAATTGTCCATGTACACAGACACCCAGCTCCAAACCCACTCACTGTCCAGTCCCCGTGCTTAAAAACTGTCGAATTCCGGGTCATTAGGTTGCTGCTGGCATCACTTCCTGCATGCTGCACAAACTCAGTGCACAAGAAGTGATGTCAGTGGATATATAATAATCCAGAAGTCAGCTATTTTGGCTTCCCAGTGCCTTCGCCGCTTCCTCCCTTCCTTCTTCAAGGCCGGTCTCAAGACCGTTCGCTTTGACCGTGCCTTCAGCTCTCCTCCCAACTCTCTACCCCCTCCTCGCCCCCTCCCTTCCCTCCCCTCACCCTGACCATTTCCCCCTCCTCGCTCCCTCCCTTCCCTCCCCTCACCCTGACCATTTCCCCCCTCCTCGCTAACTCCCTTCCCTCCCCTCACCATTTCCCCCCTGCTCGGGTCCCGACCCAACTGTCCAGCGCCTTGGGACGTCCTCCCGACGTGAAAGGCGCTCTATAAATGGAATCTCATTGTTGTTGTTGTTCCCGTATGCTAAAAATGGCTGATTTTCAGATCATCGGGTCACCTCACTGCCGACACTACACACATGACGTGATGTTATTGGTGATTTGATGACCCAGAAGCTGGCCTAGTTTTAATGTGGGAATCCAGCTGTGCATAAGCAGTCAAACACATTATCACAGACACAAACAATAGAGAGGGAGTTGGGTATGGATCCCAACAACAGCAACTTGCATTAATATTGCCCCCTTCATGCAGGGTAGCGCCTCAGAGCTCTGAACTTGACGCAGAGATTGACACCGATCCGGGAATAGGAGGAGGTGACCATAAAGTAGGCATGGTCGAAGAGGAAGGTCTCCAGGTGCGATCCGAAGACTGCCAAAGAGGGGCAAGGTGGAGTAGTTGAGGCAGGGAGTTCCAGAGGTGCACAGTGTAGTTGCTGAATAACCGTTGCATTATAACAAGGCTCTGCTGTGCAACAGCAAATTGGAGACTTTTTCACATAATAATAATCTTTGCATTTGATATAGCCCCTTGTCACATCTTCACCAATTGCGCACAGCAGTGTCCCACAAACAGTTGGGGATTGAGTGACCAAATTATTTATTTATTTATTTATTCATTTATTTATTTCGAGGGGATTATTACCTCCGGACAAGCGATCTGCCAATCGATGAACAACTCGGTGTTTCGCCCTGCCCGGGAATCGAACTCAGGTCCTCTCGCTTGCAAGGCGAGTGCTCTAACCAATACGCTATAAGACTCCACGCGCAGACACACACACGTGCAGCATAGAGTCCTTACTCTCTTCCTGCAGTTTGCACACCAGGCCCTGCTGGTCGCTGACCACATCCTGGAGACTCTGGATGAGGCTGCACTTGTCTCTGACCTTCTGCCGGTACGCCCTCCGCAACTCCTTCTCCCGCTGCTTCCCGAGAGCCTCCTGCCTCAGCAGGCGAGCCTTGTACTGAGCCGCCTTCTCCTGCAGCCGCTGCATGTTAGAGTACTGCTCCAGGAAGGTGAGGAGGTGGGACATGACTGACAGCAGATGGGATTGTGGGGGCTGCGGTCATTGCAAAAGTGACAGACCACCCGGCCAAATAGACATAGCCCCCCACCCCAGCGCACCCCGGGAATGGGCGAGGAGAGCAAACAAGGACATCCGGAGTAAGAGTCGTGCCCATTAATTAGGGTCGGACAGTAATAATGATGTCAGTAATGAGGGTCAGACAGTAACAATGGTGCCAGTAATCAGGATTGGACAGTAATAAGAGTCCCAGTAATATGAGTCACATATAGTAATAATAGCCCCAGTAATGAGGATCATACAATAATAATAGCCCCAGTAATTTGGGTCAGACAGTAATAATGGTGGCAGTAATGAGTATTGAGATCATGGTTGAACGGGCCAGGGGACAGTCAGATTATCATGCGGATCATGGTGGAAGGGTAGGTAAGGATAAAATTGGGGTCAGAAGAACAGTGAGAAAGACAAGAAGTGAGGATTTAACCCGAGATTGGGAATATCAGAGCCACAGATTATAATACAGACAAGGAATATCACACTGGGTCAGATTTAGATTATCAGAAGATCACAATGCAGGTTCAGGTGAAGACCCTTCAGCCCATTTGATATCATCACCAAAGAATCCCCACCCGATGGTCCTCCCATTACATCACTGAGCTGTCCTTCGATGAGTCTCCGTGTCCTAGCCTTGACTACTCTTCTCTTTCAACCCATTTCAGTTGTTAATCCTCCTTTAAATAAAATAATACTTTCTGATTTCTGTTGTGAAATTATTCTTCACACTCTGCACCTGTGCTTTAGCTTATTATTAGAATAATAATCCTTACATTTGATATAGCACCTTAGCAATCGAAACCAGGTCCTCTCATTTGCGAGGTGAGCTCCCTAATCACTACACTACAGGATTCACAATCTGAAAGCATTTTTCTGAGGTTACTTTCTCAATCCTGTTTAGCATTTCATACTCTGAGATATCTCTTCACTGTAGAGCTTGTCTTATCCAATGTTACTCATCTCATAAGAGAGTTTTGTCCGCAACCATACAGCCTATGTGCTGGTGTGTTGTGGAGGAATTTACAGTGGACATCCTTGGGCTACCTTGCTGTTCAGGGTCTCCTTGTCAAGCTGCGCAAAGGCTCCCCCGGCTGCTTCCTGCTTCAAGGCCAGAAACTCGCTGAGTGGTGAAGAGGCATTAGCAGCCAGCCAGCCATCATCGCTGTCCCCTAGCCCATCACTGTCTGAAGGACCTAGATATGAGGGCAGAGAAAGAGGTCAGTGCAGGTCACCTCATCCACCAACAGGCACATAGGAACAGGAGTAAACCATCTTGTTCTGCCATTCTATTAGATCATGGCTGATCTGTACCTCAACTCCAATTACACCTTTTTGCCCCATATCCCTTAATACCCTGACCTAACAAATCTCTATCCACCTCAGTCTTGAAAATTTGAATGGATCCAGCGCCCACAACCTCCGGGGAAAAGAGTTTCAGATTTCCACTCCCTTTTGCGTGAAAAACTGTCTCCTAATTTCACTCCTAAATGGCCTAGCTCTAATCTTGTCCTGGATTCCCCACCATAGAAAATAGTTTCTCTGTATCTTCACCCCCTTTATTGCCGACTGACATTGTCCTGTTTACAGTCCAGAGGAAGGAGTGTAGATGAAGTGTTGGTTGAGTGTGAATGTTTTGCTGTGAGATGGAATAATCTCAGTTACATACTCTCTGCATCTGTCCATTCAGTCCATTGTTCATCACTGGACAAAGAGCTCTCATCTCTCCCAGGCCTGGTCTTGGTGTCCATGGAAATGTAGCCTTGGTCCTAATGAAAAGAAAGACCTTGAATATCTTGTGAAAACATCTATAATAATCCTTGCATTTGATATAGCGCTTTATCGTGTCATTGAGACGTCTCAAAGCGCTTCACAGAATATACTGTAAAGTGAATTGACTGTGTAATTTGTGGACGGAAACACGGCAATTGTGGATTGAAGTGACCAATTTATTTTTATTATTTTTTATACTGTATCCTTTTTATGTACTGTAAAGTGAATTGACTGTATATTTTGTGGTGAAACGCAGCAGGCAAATGCGCACAGCAATGTCCCACAAACAGTCGTGGAGTGAGTGGTCAAAATTCACAGAATCATAGAATCATAGAATCGTACGGCACAAAAAGAGCCCATTCGGCTGATCGAGTTTGTGCCGGCTCTTTGATTAGAGCAATTAATGTCAATCCCACTCCCCAGCCTTTTCCCCATAACCCTGCAAACCCGTCCTCCTCAAATACCCGTCCAACCGCATTTTTAAAAGTAGTTATCGAATCGGCCTCGACTGCCCTTTCAGGCAATGCGTTCCAAATTCGAACAACAATTATTATTATTTTATTTTATTATTATCCCCAGAAAGCGATCCGCCAATCGACTAACAATCAGATTGTTAGTTGATTGTAATCCTATTTACTACTGGGTAAACAGAGGCATGTGAAGTAAGAGAACTTGCCTAAGGTTTCGCCTTACCCAGAAATTGAACCCAGGTCCTCTCGCTTGGGAGGCGAGTGCTCTACCCAATAAGCTACAGGACTCCTACAAGCATCTCAGAGTGCTTCACAGTGATTTCCTCACATGTGTAGTGACTGAATTTGTAGACAGCCATTATGCCTACAGCAAGGTCCCACAATATCTTGTTTTGTACATTTTACACACTGCGATGTGTACTGTATGTAAAATACAAGAATACATCAAGTTTATGGATTATGAAATGAAGTAGAAAGCAAAATTGTCTCCGTTGTGTCTGTCTTGGTTGTCCCAAACTGTGTGGGAGATGAATTATCTGAGGAGGAGAGTCTGCAGTCTGGATTATCTGAACCAGTTCTGTACCAGATTTAATCCAGCACTTTATCTACATGAGACTTTACTGAGTGCTCATCATGCTGGTGCTCGCTCCCCTACTGGAGCTCTCTACTCTAATCCCATTCCCTGCTTTTTTCTCCATCGTGTCTGTGTTGGAGCTCGTTCCCCCACTGGAGTTCTCTACTCTAATCCCATTCCCTGCTTTTTCCCCATTATGACTGTGCTGGTGCTCTCTCCCCCAATTTCTAACCCTTTTCCCTGCTCTTTTCCTATTGTGTGTGTGCGTATTTAATTCCCTATTGAATGGTGACGATGTCAGCTTTGAACCAGTTTCCCGCAATCCTTAAAAAGAAATTTGCTTCTAAATTAAGGCTCAGTTACAAATTTTCCACTATTCGGCACCATTTACATTTCAAGGTAAAATGTCCTCCCAGGCTGAGACTGAGTTGAAGCTCAAGTCACTGGGGAGGATTCACTGGGAATCAGAGCTGGAAAACGGAAATTATAATTATAATTGATTTCTGAAGGAAAGCAGGTTAAACCCGAAGAGAAAATGGAAGAACACGGAAAAGAACAGAGCTGCAGATCGTAAAATCGAGACCACACGAGCGAGGATGGAGCCTGCGACGTATAACATCAAACATTTGAAAGACCTTCACACAGCATCACTGTCAGGTGCAGTGTCTGTGTATTGCAGACAAATGCAGAAGCCATTTTCCAAACAGCAACGTCCTACAAACAGCCATGAAGCCAATGCGCAATTTTATCTGGGGGGGTATTGTAGGCCAGGACACCTTCTCTTTTCCAATTACATTGCAGGATCTTTAGCATTCACCTGATCGCTGGAGTCCTGTAGCGTAGTGGTTAGAGCACTCGCCTCACAAGCAAGAGGATCACGGTTCGATTCCCAGGCAGGGCGAAACCGTAGGCAAATGTCTTTACTCCACATGCCTCTGTTTACCCAGCAGTAAGTAGGAACCCAGTTGTTAGTCGATTGGTGGATCGCTTTCCGGGGGTAATAATCCCTCTAAACATAAATAAATAATTTGGCCACTCAATCTACGACTTTGTGGGACACTGCTGCAATTGACTAGCAGATTACGCCCACATTTTGGAGGGTCAGCTCAAAGTCCCCGCCAGGTCCTGATCCAGAGCCAAAAGAACATGCGTCTGAGCCGTGCTGAGAGGTTGGGATTACGACACAGCATGATGGACTCAGAGCTTCCCTTCCTGGATGCGGACACCTACCTCAGCTGAGCCTTCGTCACGTACAGTCCCTCCATTCTCCTCTTCCTCATCTGCGTTGGCTTTGAACAGAGTATAGAAGATGTAGACCAGTAAGGAGTAAAAGGCATACATGGAGGCAGAGCACTACAGAGGACCTTAGGTTGATCCCTTTCTGCTCTGGCTCTCTACACCTCTCTCTTTCTCCTTCCCTGCTCTACCTCTCTCTCCGCCCTCCTTTTCCCCCGCTTACTTTCCCCGTCTCACTTTCTCCGCCTGGGTTTTTTCTCTTTCACTGGGTCTACGATTTGTTCCGTGTCTCAGTTCATCTCACTCTCGCTTGCTTTTCTCTCACGCTCCCCTCTTCTCTTCTTCTCTTAACCTCTATACCTTCGATTCGTTCTGTCTCTCAGTCCATCTCTCTTTGGGTCTTTCTCTCAAGCTTTCTTTGTCTGTGTTTTTCCTCTCTATTTGCCACTCGCTGCCCGCCTGCCTATCTGTGTGTCTTCCACTGTCCCTTCCTCCGTCTCTCATTCCCTCAGATACTGCCACTCTCTCGGGCACATTGTGGCTGATGTACGGCTGCAGTGCTAGTCTTGAGCATGCCCAGTCTCCTGCTTGACTGCAGCAAAGCAGCTCTGACAGCACAGCTCAGACAACAGCTACGGAGCATAAAATCAATCCTCAGCCAACTCCGCCCATTCCCTGCTCAGCCTTTCACGCAGCACAGAGACGGAGAGCAAGAGAGTGGCAGAGTACGAGATAGAGCGAGAAAGAGAGAGATTCAGGGAGAGGAGAGAAGCATACCGAGAGAGAGAGAGAGAGAGAGAGACAGACAGATGGAGAGAGAGCGAGAGGGAGGCAGAGTGCAAGACGGAGATAGAGATTCAGAGAGAGGAGAAATGCATACTGACTGAGACAGAGAGAGATGCAGAATGTGAGACAAAGGTACAGAGAGAGATTCAGAAATCGGAGACACAGATATCCACAGACAGAGTAACAGAGATTGAAAGACAGTGATGGAGAGGCAGGAACGATGAAAGCAACAGAGAGTCACAGAAATAGAAAGGCAGAATGACGCACACACGCGCACACACACACACACACACACAGGAAATGACGACAACTTGCACTTATATTGCACAGGGTAGCGTCTCAGAGCACTTAGCGATGGTGGAGCCTGACCACGAGCCAGGCGTGGGAGGGAGGGGGGGTGAAGGAGGTGACCATAAGCACGGTCGAAAAGGAGGGTTTTAAGGCTCGAAGGGCTGAATGGCCTCCTCCTGTTCCTACATTCCTATGAGTCTGAGGGAGAGCCCAGGTAGGTTGAAGAGTTTAGATCCTCGGGAGTGAAGACGTTGACGGGAGCCAAAGAGTATGACTTCCATCTTGTCCACATTCAGCTGCAGGAAGTTTACACTCATCCAGGTCCTGATGTCTGTTAGACAAGCTGATAGAGCATCGGTGGACCTGGAGTTGGTACTGGAGGCAAAGTAGATTTGTGTGTCATCCATATACATGTAGAGGTTTACCCCGTGTCTGCAGATGGCATCTCCCAGAGGGAGCATATAGATAAGGAAAAGAAGAGGGCCAAGGATGGAGCCCTGGGGAACCCCGCAGGTGACCGGGCGCGGGTGGGAGGAGAAACCATTTGCTGAGATGAAATGGAGGCGGATTGTTAAGTAGGACTCGAACCATGCGAGTGTAGTCCCAATAACAACAACAGCAAATTACATTTATATACGGCCTTTCACGTTGGGAGGACGTCTCAAGGCGCTGGACAGTCATGGATTTGGACCCGACCTGGGTTGGGATCAGGAGGGGTGGAGGATAGGGAGGGTAGGGATAGGAGGGTGACCAAGGTGCAGTCGAAGAGGAGGATCTTGAAGGAGACAAGGGAGGGAGGTGAAAGGATTGTGGTAATAATCCCTTAAAAATATTAATAATAATTTGGTCACTCAATCCATGATGTTTGTGGGACACTGCTGTGTACAATTGGCTGCTGCGATTTGCTCACAAAATAAACAGTCAATTAACTTTACCGTATATTGTGTGAAACTATGAAACATCTCGCCGACTTGATAAGGCGATATATCAAATGCACGGATTATTATTATTATTATTATTACTGACTAACTTGTATTTTGCTCTGTTGGACAGAGAGCACAGCAATCCGCCAATCGACCAACAACCGGGTTTCCTATTTACTACTGGGTAAACACAGGGGTGTGGAGCAAGGAAATTTGCCAAAGGTTTCGCCCTGCCCGGGAATCGAGCCCAGGTCCTCTCTTTTGTGAGGCGAGTGTTCTCACCAATATGCTACAGGACTCCATGTGCACACACACACACACACACACACACACACACAATCACATAACAACAACAACACTTGGATTTATATAGCGCCCTCCACGCCAAACAGCTTCTCAGAGCGCTTTACAGTTTAGGATCCCGGGACCGAGCCGGGGGTGGGGAAAGGTGACCAAAGCCGCGGTCGAAAAGAAAGGTCTTCAGCAGAGACCTGAAAATAGGAAGGGAGGGGGCGAGGCGAAGGGAGTGAGGAAGGGAGTTCCAGAGCCTCAGGGCGTAGTGGCTGAAGGCACAGCCGCCGAGTATGGAGCGGAGGACTCGGGGGACGAGGAGGAGGCCAGATATAGAGATATAGACACATAGCACATAGATACAGTCAGAGCCAGTGAGTTATCATAAGTGTTTTTTATTGAAGGCGATAGCAAAGCAGGTGATAGAACAACCAAGGAGTCACACTCAGAGTGGCTCAGTGTGAAGTGTGGCTTATAGCAGTGGAGAGGTCAGATGTACAGACGAGAGTTCTGTGGGACAAGTATAAGAGGCTCCACACATGATGAGATTCAATCCTGGAGTCTCACTGAGAATCTCTTCCATTCTCCAGCGGCAACAGGAGAGTGTGTCCATACTCTCGAGACCTGAGACAAGCACAGCACAGTTCAGGGTTAGTGTTAGTGTCGGGGTCAGTGTTGGTGTTAAGGTGGTATTAGTATTTGGGTTAGTGTTAGAGTCAGGGTCCTTGTCAGGTACCCCCCATTTTCTGAGAACTGATCTTTGTTGGGGAGAAAACTGACCTCTCTCTCAAGGGGGAAATCAGACTGATCTATTTGTGCCGGGGGGAGTGGAAAGGTCAGTCTCCCCTGCCCCATCTCCCCCACCCCAGCAGAGGGAGTGACCTCACTGTGGGCAAAGATATTGACTTCTCTCGGTGGGGGGCGGGGGGGGGAGTTGACCTCTCGGGAGAGGGTGGACTAACCTGTACCTGAGGTATATGTGTGTGGGGAGGGGAAGGAGGGGGAGACGACACTGACCTGTCAGCTCTCAGGTACGGCTCCTCAGAACTGAAAATGACCAGCCAAGACAGTGACCTCGGCGAGAGCCAGCGTGTCCTCACGGCCGGGAATGACAATTGTCACATAGCGTCCCAGCATCCCATTACAGGTAAACGATCGCGTTGTTCCTGCTTCGATGGCGTCAATCACAGCACACCTGTCACCAGGAGAGACGGGATTAGAGAGAGTGTGATATACACGGGCAGGCAGGAGACAGACACAAGATTAGAGTCCTGTAGTGAAGTAGTTAGCGCACTCGCCTCACAAGCAAGAGGACCCGGGTTCAATTCCCGGCAGGGCAAAATCTTAGGCAAGTTTCCTTACTCCACACGCCTCTGTTTACTGAGCAATAAGTAGGAACCCGGCTGTTATTTGATTGGCGGATTGCTTTTCTAGAGATAATAACCCCTTCAAAAAAAAATTATAAATTGGTCACTCAATCCCCGACTGTTTGTGGGACACCGCTGTGCGCAATTGGCTGTCGAGTTTCGCCCACAAAACATGCAGTCAATTCACTTTACAGTACATTCTGCGAAGCAATTTGAGACATCGCAAAGATGTGATAAAGCGCTGTTTCAAACGCAAGGATTATTATTAGAGAGTGTGTGATATACCCAGAAACAGGAGTAGGCCATTCAGCCCCTCGAGCTTGTTCCGCCATTCTATAAGATCATGACTGATTCCAATTACCCGCCTTTGCCCCATAAACCTTGTTATCCCGACCTAATAAAAATCTATCCACCTCAGTCTTCAAAATTTTAATGGATCCAGCATCCACAGCCTTTTCAGGGAGAGAGTACCAGATTTCCACAACCCTTTGCTTGAAAAAATGCTTCCCGATTTCACTCTTAAATTGCCTCACTCTAATTTTAAGTTTATCCTTGTTCTGGATTCCCCACCAGAGGAAGTAGTGTCTCCGCAGTTACCCTATGAAGTCCCTTTATTATTTTAAATACCTCAATCAATCAAGGCAAGGTTATCAATAGATTACTTTCTCACAAAATCCCTGACCCCTAATTTCAGTGATTTCATGGTTTCACAATTTTACTGAAAATTTCAGGGTTTTGGCCAAATTCCTGGTTTCACAACTTTCCATAACCTCCCACAGCTTTGCCCTCCCACCCCTGGTTATAGAACACACGTCACAAAGGGCACAGCACAGATTCGCATAGACATGGGAATTTGGGGAGGTCAGGGTTTCTGACACACACACACACTCGCACGCACACACACACACACACACACACACACAGGGGGAGGGTCAGGGTATCAGACACACATACAGTCATGAGGACAGCCTGTACCTGGGGTTGTTTTTGCCGTCGTTCTCCAACGAGTCTCCGATGAGAATCTCGGCTCCGATCAGAGACTCTGAGCAGCAGTCTGAGCGAGCCATGACAGAGACGGTGGAAATGTGGTAGGTGTCGAGCAGGTCCAGCCTCCACCAGGGCTCCAGTTGCTGGGCGGTGATGGAGCAGGAGCCTTTGGTGCAGTCGGGGTTTTCATTGCCGTCCACAGCATTCATGGCGTGTCCGTGGAAGTCAGCCAGACTGGACTGACACGGGCGGCCCTGAAGACCCAGGTTCAGGTCTGGAATACACAGGAACCAATCAGTGAGCCCTGGTCCTCTCCCTGAGCTCCTTCCACATACCCGGGGTCTCCCACCCACCGCACCCCAACCCCCAACAACACGATTCCACCCAGCATCTCTCCCCCAACTCAGGGTTTCTCTTCCCCCCCAACCCAGGGTCTCTCACCCCCGCCCAACCCAGGACCTCTCCCCGCCCCCAACCCAGGGTCTACCTTGCCCCCTTCCCTCCGCCCCACCCCCTAACCCCAGTGTCTCTCCTCCCTGGATTCTACCCACTCCCTGGATCTTCCCCACACTCCCATGTCTGTCCTGTTCCCCAGGGTCTCCTCACCTTCACCCGCGCCCTCCCACCCACCCCACACACACACACCACTGTCTCCATTGCGGGCAGCACTGGGAAGTGTTGGGAACAGGTTTTACCTGGTTGGTGATGGGCGTCTCCCAATCCACACATTCCAAGCAGCAGACACACAAGGAACTGGGTAAACATCCTGGGGAGATATGGAGCAGTCAATTCTCTGATCACAGCCTGGCCCTAGTTCCCCCTTCCCCCACCCATCCGCCAACCCGGGTAGGGGGTTTCTACTGACCCAAGAGGACCCAGCCTCAGGAGCTCCCTCTTCTAACCCCCATTCCCTGCTCTTTCCCCATCATGTCTGTACTGGTGCTCGCTCCCCCACTGGAGCTCTCTACTCTAACCCCCATTCCCTGCTCTCTCTCCCAATCATGTCTGTGCTGGTACTTGCTCCTCCACTGGAGCTCTCTAATCCCATTCCCTGCTCTCTTCCAATCATGTCTGTGCTGGTGCTCCCTTTCCCAGTAGAGTTCTCGTCTCTAATCCCATTCCCTGCTCTTTCCCCATCGTGTCTGTGCTGGTGCTCGCTCCCTCACTGGAGCTCTCTAATCCCATTCCTTTCTCTTTCCCCATCTATTTTTCGTCTCGTCTCTTTTCCAGGATCTTCAGCAACTATTTGAACAGGCAGAGGAGTCCTCAGGTTTTATCGTCTCACACGCAATGTAGCATCCACGTCTTGGTCACCTCCCTCCTTGCCTATTCCAATGCCTTCCTCCCTGGTCTTCCCAGCTCTAGTATCCCAAAAATCCAACTGATACAGAGATCCGCCACCCATACGCTCACCCGTACTAAACTCTGTGTCCCATTCTCACCAAGTTCCACTGGCTCCCTATCGCCAAATGGATCGTTTTCAGGATCCTCACACTCATCTACATGCCCTGGAAACCTCCCTACCACTCTAACCTGCCTACCCTGCACTCCACCACCTCTGCTTGTCCCTCATCGGCTCTGCACTGTATGAATACAAATCCTAAATATTGTGGAGTCCTGTAATGTAGCGGTTAGAGCACACGCCTCGCAAGCGAAAGAACCAGGGTTCGATTCCCAGGCAGGGCGAAACATTGGGCAAGTTTCCTTACTCCACACGCCTCTGTTTACGCAGTAAGTAGGAACCCAGTTGTTAGTCGATTGGTGAATCGCTCCTCTGGGGGTAATAATCCCTTAAAAAAAATGTGGTCACTTCAATCCACGACTGTTTGTGGGCCACTGCTGCGCGCAATTGGCCGCTGCGTGTTGCTGACACAATGAATTCACTTTACAGTATATTCTGTGACCCGCTTTGAGACGTCTGGAAAACGCGATAAGACGCTGTATCAAATGCAAGGATTATTATTATTACCATATTACAATAAAAATAAATGCAAATTGTTGTTGTCTCATCTGAAGGACGGCACCTCTGACATCGCTGGCCCCACTGAGCCCAGCTGTCAGGCTAAAGCTGTGGCTGCACGTACCTGCACTGATGGTTTGAGCTGATCTCTCAGGAGCCAATTGATGGTGAAGTGCAGGCAGCCTTGTGTGCCACCTCCTTATATAACTCCTGACCCTCCCTCTCTCTTTTTCTTGGCTGTAACCAGCCTCTTTCCCAACCACTTGCCCAACTGTTTGGACAACAGCCTGGAACCAGATTGCGTCACTTTGGGGTGGACAAAGGAGAGACGCATTTCCTGATAGCGCTTATCCTTATCGCAGGAATTCCGGAAAACAGATTAATGTTAGATGTTGTTCACTCGTAACTGGACAATCATTATTTAATTCCAGAACTTTCCGGTCTCTGGTACAGTGCGAGCGTGTGTGTGGGGTGGGGAGGGGAGGGGGGGGTTGAGGAGGTTGTACAGCTCTGTATCTGAGATGTGTACAAAACAAATATCGTCACTCAATCCACGACTGTTTGTGGTTCACTGCTGTGCACAATTGCCTGCTGTGTTTGGCCAAAAAATACACAGTCAAATGCAAGGATTATTATTAATATTATTATTACCTGTGTGTACAGCTCTGAGGCATTAACGGTTTTCCCCGTAGACCCGTAGATGGGCTTAAAAACCCGGAGTCTACTGGGAAATGCCATAGATGCTCTGGGACGCTACCCTGCTTGAGGGACGCTATATAAGTGCAATTTGTTAATGCTGCTGTTGTAAAGTTGGCAGGTATGCCATCAACTGGCGGTCTTACAGCCTAATCTCTGGAACTCCATCCCAGAGACTCTCTGACTTACTCCTATCCTCACTCCGTACAAGTTCCATCTCAAACTGTACATCTGTACCTCTCCATCCCTCTCAGCTCTCACTGCCAGCAACCAGTAGCAAGCACTGTGAAGAGCTTTGACAGATGTCTACAACAGTCTCGGTAGTTCAGTTCCTGAGTCAGGTGGGTCCACAGTGCTGATGACAGCCTGGCTCATCAGCAGGACTTGGAAGGGCAGACTACTCACTGGGGGGCAGGGAGTCATCCCATTCAGCTCCTGTTAACCCTACAAACCAAAGCCCCAACACGTTGGGTGATCCTAGCTGGACAAGCGATGGAAAATCGCGCCAGACGGCAATATCAATGGTAAGCTATCGTATTTTAGCTGGTTAGACTCCAGCAGTTACCCCAACGCATGCTCTGGGGTCCCCAAACCTTGGCTCTTGCCAACCTGCACCTAAATCTTTCCAGGAATTACAACAACAACTTGGATTTATATAGCCCCCTCCATGCCGGACGGTGTCGGGGAGCGGAGTTGGTGCGGGTGAGAATGAGGGCGGCAGAGTTTTGAATGATTTGGATTTTGTGGAGGGGAGACCGGCGAGGATGGCATTAGAGTAGTCCAGCCGAGAGGTGACAAAGGCATGGACCAGGGTTTCAACGGCTTTCAGAAAGAGGTATTGGCGGAGACAGGCGATGCGTCAGAGGTGGAAGAAAGCGGTGCTGGTGAGGGACCGGATGTGGGGGAAGAAGGATAATTGGGGGTCAAACCTGACACCTAGGTTGCGTAAGGGTTCGGAGAGTTTTAGGGGGAGGTCGGATAGGTGGAGGAGGTGAGAACCATGCGATTTAAGACGTTGATGAGAGCCAAAGAGTATGGCTTCCGTCTTGTCAATGTTCAGCTGAAGGAAGTTTGCGCTCATCCAGCCCCTGAGGTTTGACAGGCAGCTGACAGAACATCAGGGGACTGGGGATCGCAAAGAGAGGGGGAAAAGTAGAGTTGGGTGTCGTCCGCATACATGTGGAAATGTACCCCATGTCTGCGGATGACATCCCCAAGAGGGAGCATGTAGATCAGAAAGAAGAGGGGGCCAAGGATGGATCCTTGGGGGACCCCGCAGGTAACTGAGTGAGAGCGGGAGGAGAAGCCATTTGTGCAGTTGTACTGCTGGCGGTTTGTAGGTAGGACTCAAACCAGGCGAGTGCGGTCCCAGTGAGGTGGATGACGGAGGAAAGGCGGTGGAGGAGGATGGTGTGATCGACTGTGTCGAATGCGGCGGAGAGGTCCAGGAGGACAAAGAGGTAGAGGGAGCCCTGGTCACAGAAGAGAGGATATCATTTGTGACTCTCTGTACTGTGGGCAGACACTGGACTGGAGGGGTTCGAAGAGAGAGTGGGAGGAGAGGTGTGCGCAACGTTCTACGCGTTCAACCGCGCGTTCTAGGACTTTTGCGAGGAAGGGCAGGTTAGAAATAGGGCGGTCGTGGCTGGGGTTTGAGGGATCTAGGGAAAGTTTTTTGAGGAGAAGGGTGATGAATTAGGTAAGCAGGATGCATCCCTCCAGGGTGTGGGAGCGCATTCCATTCCGAAAATCTATCCCTGGGATATCCATGTGTAGGTGGGAGGCTGGGAATTCTCAGTTAGGTTTGAGTACTCTTAAGTAGCGTAGTGATGGATTTCTGGATGTGTTGGTTACCAAGCTGACCAAAAACAAAAGAGCTTTGAGACGTTCTTTCGACACGAAACGCTGCTTAAGCTCTCAGCAGGTAATAACATGTGCTTGAAATATAGTAATGATTGACCAGACAGGAGAGAGAACAATAGCCAGCAGTGTTCTGCCTTGTCTGAGCTTTTGGGAACAGATTACATGATTTCACGGACGCATCCTTTCTTGCTCGCTGACCCAATCAAACAGCACCAGCTGTTGTGCAAGAGGTTGGGAAAGAATCTGGTTGCACACGAGAGTCAGGTGAACTGGCATAGGAGTTCACCATCAAACGGCTCCTGAGAGATCTGCTCAAAACATCAGCCTGACGGCCGCAAAGTTGTGGGTTCGAGCCCCACGTGGAGGACTCTGAGCTCACAGTCCAGGCTGATTCTCTGTTGTCGATGACCTGAAACGTTAACTCATTTTCCCCTCTCCATAAATGCTGCCTGAACTGCTGAGTTTTCCAGCAACTTCTGTTTTTTTTTATTTCAGATTTCCAGCATCTGCAGGATTTTGCCTCTATTGTGGTGCTATAAGTAGAGCGTTGCATCGGATGCATAGCCATTCATTGAGTCTGCACTGGCTCTTATGAACCTTATGAATAATAATTATTATTATTATAACCTGCAATCCGAATCCCTTTGCTCCTCTTCTCGTTGCAAGATTTTCCATTAAATATATACTTCCTAGCCTTGATTTTTTTGCCAAAATGAATCGCTCACATTTGCTTTCATTAACCATCATCTGCCACTGATCTGCCCATTGCAATTATCTATTAAGCCCTCCTGCAATCTCTTGCCATCCTCATTACAGTTCATTATTCGTCCGAGCTTGGTATCATTCACAATCTTCAATACTGAAACCCTGAATCCAAGTCTACGTCATTAATATAGATAGAAAACTAGAGAGGCCCCAGCACAGAGCCCTGCAGCACATCAATAATTAACTTCAACTAACTGGAAAAACATCCTTTTAGCCCCACTCTGTGCTTCCTATCCTTCAACCTTTCAAAACGCCAACATTCCCCCCTACATTTCTAACGCCAACATTTCTACCCTGAGTTTCTGCACCAGTCTCCCATGTGGCACTTTATCAAACGTCTTCTGGAAATCCATATACATATCCACAGCATTGCCTTTATCTACACTTTCAGTTACATTGACGTCTTTCTAATGAGGTGTTAAACCGAGGTGCCGTATCTCTGCCCGTTCAATTAAACATGAAATACCCCATGGCACCATTGGAAAAGAGACAAGAATTTCTCTGTATCCTGGCCAACAACCCCTAGATTAATTACTCACTCAGCTGATGACCGTTTGTGGGGACATTGCTGTGCACAGATTGTCTGCTATTTTGCCTCCAATGAAGGTGCTGTATATAAATGTAAGCTCTTGTTTTACTTTCCCAAGAGCCTTGGGTTAAAAGAGTGAGAATGAGGTGTATGATGTGCTAATTCTCACAGGCTGGGCAATTCCTTCCAAGAGGTCAGTCTTTCCTCCCTCCCCTGAGGGAAGCACCCAGTTTGGCTCTTGCCAACCTGCACCTGATACTTTCCAGAATTAGGTCGGCAGGGGTGCGTCTCCAGAAAGTAAATAATCCCATTGTGAAATACTTGTGACCGTGACTGATGGCTGTGTCTTGGATTAATTGTGGAGAGTCTTTTGGATTGATGGAGGTGATGCCAAGGGAGTAGGTAATGACAGTACAAATTTCTTTATACCCAACAACAGACAATCCTCACTGTGTTTGTGCGTGCATATCTGTCTGAGTATGTGTCTGTGTGCATGAGGTTTTGTGTGTGTTTGTCAGTGTGTTTCTTTTTGTGTGTCTATAAGTATGTGTGGGTGTCTGTGAGTGTGTATGACTGTATGTGTGTGTATGTCAGTATGTATGTATGTTGGGTTTGTGTGTCTGTAAGTGTGTGTGGGTGAGTGTGTGCATGAGTTTGCGTTTGTCAGTAAGCGTGTTGTGTGTCTGTGTGTGTATGTCCAAGTGTGCGTGTCCAAGTGTATGTGTTGTATGTGAGTTTCTGTGTGTGTGTGTGTATGTGTGTGGATGTTTTATATGTCTCTGTGTGTGTGGATGTTTTATATGTCTGTGTGTGTGTCTGTATGTGTTTGTGTCTGTGTGCATGTGTTTGTGTGTGTGTCTATATGTGCGAGTGTGTTGTATATAAGTGTCTGTGTACGTGTGTGTCTAAGTGTTTGAGTTTGTGTCTAATTACTTGTGTGTGAGTGTGTCTGTGTATGAGAGATGTTTCTGCAGAACATAAATCTGGAACTTTAATTGTTCAGATCACACACAACTACAGAGATTAACATTTGGCAAAAGTCAGAGTAACAATACAATACTATCAATGGGACTGTGTGTATGTGAGCGAGAGAGATAGAGAGGGTGGGATAGGTCTGTGTGTGTGAGCGAGAGAGAGGGGGGGTAGCACTGTGTGTGTGTGTGAGAGAGAGAGAGAGAAGTTAGAACTGTTGAGTCAGACAGAGAGAGTGGGAGATGGTGACACAGAGAGAGAAGGTATGGATGGGGCATTCTACTGTATGAAGTAGTAACAACCCCAGCTTTAGACTACTGCTTTTTAATTTTAGCTGCTGGTATCTCTCTGGGGGTGAAGGGATGAGAGGGAGACAGAGAGAGGAAGCTGGTATAAAGTGGACATGGTGAGGCACGCTCAGGGTGACTGTTAGACCCTGACCGTCAGCCATTGTTGGCTGGTAGGTCACTGACCACGGAGTGAGTTACAGCTGAGCCCATGATGTCTGTGTTAGGTTACAGTTCATTAGCTGCCAATGAAAACGAGAGGAGTCCCAGCCCCTTTGTGCACACACTGAGCAAACCCTGGTCGGTGTTGCTTTGCCCTCCCACACCTCATCATGGAACGCACATCACGAACGGCACAGCACAGATTCACATATACGTGAGAATTTGGATGAGACATTAAACCAAGTGTGTACCTTACAGCGCTCTGGGACACTACCCTGCACAAGGGAGGCTATAAGTGTTAGCTGTTGTTCATGTGGAACTTAAAAGATTCCACAGAATTATTGAGAAAAAGAAGGGAAGGTGACTGTGAGATGAGAGGGAGAAAGACAACAACAATAAGCGTTTATATAGCACCCTTCACGCGGGGCAGTGTCTCGGAGCGCTTAACGGTGGCAAAGCCTGGTGTCGAGCTGCGGGAAAGACAAGACAGCGACCAACAGAGAGAGGTAGAGAGATTCAGAGAGAGACACACACAGATTCTGTGTACTTACCTCCGCTCTGTGTACTTACGCTCTCAACCTCACAGCGGAACATTACCCCCACCCCCAAAACAAATGCTATTCTATCCCTGCAGTTTCTAAAACGCAGCACAAACACAAGCTCTCCAAGACGCTGCCCTGCTTGAAGGGAGCGATGCGAATGCAAGTGCTTGTTGTTGCTACCACAGCACGAACACAGAGCTAACATAGCACAAACGCAGAGCTAACACATCACAAACAGAGCTAACATAGCACAAACGCAGAGCTAACACAGCACAAACGCAGAACTAACACATCACAAACAGAGCTAACGTAGCACAAACACAGCACTTACAGCAAACAGAGATCTCCAGGTTGGGAGGAGGCCATGGCCCACGGACCTGTATTATCACCTTTATTACTAATCCACACCCCAGCGCTCTCCCCACACACCTTAATGTTCTCACTGCTCAGGTCTTTATCCACTTCCCTTTTGAATGGTTCTGTTGCTCCAGCCTCAGTAATTCCTTGTTGGAGTGAACTGCAAACCCTGACCAGCGTCTGAGTGAAGACATTTCTCCTCACTCTCTCCGCTGACTCTGCTAACAATCCTGGAGTCTCGTAGCAAGCGAGAGGACCCGGGTTCAATTCCCGGGCATGGCAAAATCTTAGGCAAGTTTCTTACTCTGCATGCCTCGGTTTACCTTGCATTAAGTCACAACCCGGTTGTTAGTCAATTGAATTGCTTTCCGGGGTAATAATCCCTCCAAAAAAAACTTGGGTCACTCAATCCATGACTGTTGTGCGCAATTGACTGCCCGTGTTTCACCCATAAATCATCTTACAGCACAGGAGGAGGCCATTTGGGCTATCGCGCCTGTGTCAGCTCTTTGAAAGAGCTATCCAATTAGTCCCACTTGCCTGCTCTTGCCCTATAGACCTGCAATTTTTTCCTTTTCAAGTAAATATCCAATTCCCATTTGAAAGCTATTATTGAATCTGCTTCCACCACCCTTTTAGGCAGTGCATTCCAGATCAAAACAATTGACTGGGTTAAAAAAAAATCTCTTCTCCCCTCTGGTTCTTTTCCAATTATCTTAAATCTGTGTCCTTTGGTTACTGACCCACCCGCCAGAGGAAACAGGTTCTCCCTATTTACTCTTATCAAAACACTCATAATTTTATGAGGGTATTAAATCTCAATCTGAAGGTCAATCCACTTTAGAGTACCACCTGTGAAGCACTTTGGGATGTCTCAATGACATGATAAGGGGCAATATCAAATGCAAGTATTACTATTATTATCCTCAAACTGGGAACCCTCGTCACCCACTCCTCAACCAAAGGCAGTGTTTGTCCTATCTCACCTGTCTCCTCTCTTCAGTGTCTCAAACACTATCCAGCATATCCCATCAATCTCCTCTGCTCCAGTTCATAGCCTCCCATCATACGGATATCGTCTGACACCCAGCATCGACTCAGTAAACCTGCACTGGCTCCCCTCTGTCTCCAACCCTCAATTCAGAAGATGGATTTCCATATGAATAGAATTAAAACGGTCTTTCTAATTAGAGCTAGTTTTAATCCTAATAAACCTTGGATTCGATTATAATAATCCTTGCATTTGATATAGCGCCCCATCATGTCTTCGAGACATCTCAAAGCGCTTCACAGAATATACTGTAAACTGAGTTGATTGTATATTTTATGGGCATAGCATGGCATCCAATTGCATAAAGCAGTATCCCACAAACAGTCGGGGATTGAAGTGACCAATTCATTATTTTTTTTTGAAGGAATTATTACCCCCGGAAAAGCAATCCACCAATCAACTAACAACCGGGCTCCTACTTACTGCTAGGCAAACAGAGGCGTGTGGAGTAAGGAAACTTGCCCAACATTTCGCCCCACCCAGGAATCTAACCGCTTGTGAGGCGAGTTCTCTAACTGCTGAGCTATAGGACTTCACTATATAGTGCTTATAGCATTGTCAAGGTATCTCAAAGCTCTTCCCAGGTTTATGCAGTGAAGTGCAGTTACTGTGTATATGTCAGCAAAAGCAATCTGACAGGTTTGGACTATGTGTCATTTCAGTTAACTCATTTCCCTGCTCTCATGGCGGGTTATAGCACCAATGTGGGCTAGAAAGGACAGTTGAGGGTCAAACAAGACCCTAAGGTTCTGGACTGGCTTAGTGAGGTGGAGTGTGCAACCATGGATGGTGATGCTGTCAGCGCCTGAGGTGTGGAGGCGCTGACGGGAGCCAATCAGGAGAATCTCAGTCTTGTTAACGTTCAACTGAAGAAAATTAGCTCTCATCGAGGACTTGATGTCTGACAAGACATTCTGTTAGGATAGCAGAGGTCCTGGAGTCAAGGGTGGAGGCAGAGAGATAGAGTTGGGTGTCATCTGCATACGAGACAGTGTGGGGGCGAGAGGAGAAACCATTTGTGGAGATAAAGTGGAGACGGTGTGAGAGGTAGGATCTGAACCAGTGAAGGACAGAGCCGTGAAGGTTGAGGTGAGAGGAGAGGCGGTGGGTGAGGATAGAGTGGTCAACGGTATCGAAGGCAGCAGAATGGTCTAATCCCATTCCCCTGCTGTCTACCCACCGTGTCTGTGCTGGTGTTCGTTCCCTCACTGGAGCTCTTTACTCTAATCCCATTCCCTGCTCTTTCCCCATCGTGTCTGTGCTGGTGCTCGCTCCCTCACTGGAGCTCTCTACTCTAATCCTATTCCTGCTTTTTCCCCATGGTGTCTGGCAAAACCCTCATCCACGCCTTCGGCACCTCCATCCTTGACTATTTCATTGCCCTCCTCTCCGGTCTCCCCAGACCCACAAACTATAATTGATTCAGACCTCCGCTGCCCATATTCTCACCCACACTAAACTCCATACCCCCATCACCCCAGTCCTCATCAGGCTCCACTGGTTCCCCACCAAAGAATGAATCAATTTCAAGATCCTCTCACCATCTACAAATCCTTTCACGCCCTGTCACCTCCCGACCTTTCTGACCTGCTTTATCCCTACTCCATTGCCCGCTGCCTCCACTTGGCTGGCTCTGACCTCCTGCTCGGCCCTCGTGCCCTCCATCAGCGGCCGCGCTTTCAGCCACTATGCCCAGAAGCTTTGAGATTCTCTCCCCCAGTCTCTCCGCCTTGCCCCCTCCTTTCCCTCTTTTAGATCACAACTGAAGACCTTCCTCTTCGACCGTGCTCACGGTCACCTCCTCCCTCCCCCTGGCTCAGCATCAGGCTCCGCCACTGTTAAGTGCTCCGAGACCCTGCCCCGCAAGGACGTTATAAAAATGCAAGTTGTTGTTGCCCAGAAAACTCTGGAACACTCTCCCTTAATCCCTCTGCCTTGCACCCCCACATCCCCCACCCCCACCCCCCCACCACCGCCTTCCCCGTCTTCAGGGGACACCTGAAGCCCTTCCGCTTCGGCCGTGCCTAGGGTCACCTCCCGCTCGGTTCAGCGTGGCCATTGTCAAGAGCTCTGGGACTCTACCCTGGATGATAGATACTATCTAAACACAAATTGTTGTTGCTGGTGCTCGCTCCCCACTGGGAGCTCTCCTCTGATCCCATTCCCTGCTCTCCAACCATTGCGTCCGTGCCGCTACTCGCTCCCGCACCGGAGCTCTCTCCAATACACTCAAACACAGAGCACTACACTTACACAGACGCGGGAGCACAGAGACACAGGAGCACACAGACACGCAGCATATTCCGTACGACGCGTTGTTTCGCGGATGGAGTGTGAGATGGTCAATTGGCGCTGACAGCCCCTCCGGGGAGTGACCTCTGACGGAGGGTAGACAGACGGGCCGTTACGCCCGCCCGCCGCGGGGAGAGGCCACGACCTCGGGCTCAGTGGGAAAACTTAGTGAGAAAACTCAGGTCAATCTTCGGCCGCTTGACTCTGGAACGAGACGTGAAGCCAACACGCTGCGCAAGAGAGGCACAGGTTAGGTTAACACAGCGACTCAGCACAGCAAAAACACTCGACTCTGCACAGCATCTCAGCACAGAGACCCCACACCACATCTCGCACAGCGACTCCACACCGCATCTCACACAGCGACTCCACACCGCATCTCACACAGCGACTCCACACAGCATCTCACACAGCGACGCCACACCGCATCTCACACAGCGTCTCGCACAGCGACTCCACACCGCATCTCACATAGCGTCTCGCACAGCGACTCCACACCGCATCTCACACAGCGACTCCACACAGCGTCTCAGAGACTCCACACAGCATCTCACACAGCAACTCCACACTGCGTCTCACACAGCGACTCCACATTGCGTCTCAGACAGCGACTCAGCTCAGAGACTCCACACAGCGACTCAGCTCAGAGACTCCACACAGCGACTCAGCTCAGAGACTCCACACAGCGACTTCGCACTGCACCTCACACCGCGACTCAGCACAGAGACTCAGAAATAGCAACTCTGCTATGATTAGACCTAACCCAAGTGAAGCCTCTGCCCTTGTGATCCAGACCCCTCCCCTCATGACTTGGCCCCTCACCTTCCTCTTCAAGTGATATTTCTTCTTGGGGAAGAACTGGTCAATGCGGGTCTGCTTCTCCTCAATACACTGCAGCCCCAGCTGCAGGCGCCGGATACGATTGCGAACACGGTGCTCTCTGTGTAGAGACAACACTGTGTGACACAGCCCGTAACTGGACCAACTGTGAGCGAGGTTTCCTTGGAGCTGAACTGGCTCCAAGGTCACGTATTTGGCGACAGGATGTCAGAATCGAACCAGCCCTCTGTGGCGGTCCTTGGTCCGGTTCCTGAGCCAGACAGGTCCGCAGTATTCCAGGGCACTGCTGATAACAGCACAGCCCAGCCTGGCTCATCGGCAGGACATGGAAGGGCAGACCAGTCACTGGGAGCAGAGAATCCACGCGCTCAAGTCCTGTTAACCCGCAAGGCAAAGCCCTAACGGGTCAGGGGAAGTTTGCCAGATGGCAATATCAATGGCAAGCTATGCAGTTTTAGCTGGTTAGACTCCAGCCGTACCCCAACTCTCACTCTAGGACCCCCAAGCCTTGGCTTTTGCTAACCTGTGCCTTATACTTTCTGAAATTAGATAAGCAGGACGCATCCCTCCAGGGAGTGGGGGAAATTTTCCATGTGTAAGTGACGTAAAGGGAACGCTCAGTCTGGTTTGAATACTCCAGAGTTGGTGATCCAACTGGCTGTATTATTGTTCAACTCGTCCCTGGCTATATTACTGTTTTACTGAGGAGTCCTGTGGCTCAGTGGTTAGAGCACTCGCTTTGCAAGCGAGACACCCGGTTCAATTCCAGGCAGAGGGCGAAACCTTGGGCAAGTTTCCTTACTCCACACAGAGCCTAATAATAATCCCTCCAAAACCAAAAACAATAATAAATTGGTCATTTTCAATCCACGACTGTTTGTGGGACATTGCTGTGCGCAATTGGCTGCCGCGTTCGCCCACAAATATACAGTCAATTCACTTTACAGTCTATTCTGTGAAGCGCTTTGAGACGTCGAGAAGACGTGACAAGCGCTATATCAAATGCGAGGATCATTATTATTATTATCATTTTTAAAATGTGTATGAAAATTTTCCATTTCCTATTTAAAGATTGCCTTGTAGCTAAAATATAGTGAAATTGAGCAATGAAGTTACACAATTAAAACATAGGATTTCTCTACGATTCTTGGATACATGATTCTACATGATTCTTGGTGGATAGATAAGTTGAGTAAGGCTACGTTAAGTAAGGCTACGAAGGGATGCGGAGCAAGGGTGGGTAATTGGAGTTGAGGTACAGATCAGCCGTGATATAATAGAATGGCAGAACAGGCTGGAGTCCTGTAGCTCAGTGGTTAGAGCACTTGCCTCCCAAGCGAGAGGAACTGGGTTCGATTCCCAGGCAAGTTAGGCAAGTTTCCTTACTCCACACACCTCCTAGCAGTGAGTAGGAACCCAATTGTTAGTTGATCGGCAGATCGTTTTTCTGGGGGTAATAATAATCTCTTAAAAAAAATAGCTTGGGTCACTCAATCCATGACTGTTTGTGGGACACTGCTGTGTGCAAGTGGTTGCCCCGTTTCGCCCACAAAATACACAGTCAATTCACATTGCAGTATATCCTGTGAAGCGCTTTGAACATCGCCAAGACGTGATAAGGCGCTGTGTTAAATGCAAGGATGATGATGATTATTATTATTATTATTATTATTGAGGGGCTGAATGGCCTACTACTGTTTCTATGTTTCTTACGAGTTATGTTTCTGGAAAGGAAAGTCAAAAATATTGCTTATGCGGCCCGCAGACATTTCTCAAATAGGGCATCCAGTCCTCAGCAGCCAAACGGTTGGAGCCCCCTGTACTGGAGCATGTGTGTGTGTGTGTGTGTGTGGGGGGGGGATATCTCAGAGAGTTGCTGTGTGATGGCGTCTGGCCCGCGCAGACCCATTGTCCACCCTCGGGGCGGGGGGGAGGGGGCTCGTACTTGGCGTGTTTCTCGTGCACCAGGAGCTGGACCAGTCCCTCCTCGTCCAGCGCTGTCCACTCCAGCTCCACCGTCTCCACGTCCACCACCTCCGGCTTCAGGAACAGCTGCCGAGCCTCCTTGTACGCCCAGTTCTGTGGCGGAGGGTGTTTCTGCCGGACACACACACACACACACACACATAAAGCCACTCAATCTATCGCACAGGCCGGTAGGGTGGGTCAGCTAGAGGTGGGGGGGTGGGGGTCAAGCCAACGCAGTGGGAGGGGCTGTGGGGGCGTGCCATCGGGCTGGGATGGGCTATGGGTATTGAGGTATGGCCATCGGGGTGGGAGGGACTGTGGGTGTGGGAATGTGGCCAGTGGGATGGGTGGGACAATGGTTCTTCACCTCAAAGATTGAAAGCATCTGCTTGGCTGCACCATCCTCCCACCCACAATGTCCCCTTCCACCCCACCCAGTTAATCCACACCGCCCTCTCCCTCTGCCACGGCTGCTGCCACTACCCCCTCCTTACATTCCTTTGCCCTCATTTCTCCCTCCCCTGCTGCCTCGACCCCCTCCCCACCCAGCTGCTGGTCACTCAACTTCCCCTTCTCTTTCTCCTGCTGGCTGACACGGTCAATCAGTCTCTTTCCTCAGGCTCTGTTCCACACGCCCTGAAACCCTGTTATCACACCCCTCCTCAAAAAACCCACCCTCGATCCCTCTAATCTCTCACACCACCGTCCCATCTCCAACCTACCTTCCTTGCTAAAGTCCTGGAATGCATTGTTGCAGGTCAACTGCAGTCACACCTCTCCCTCCACTCCCTCCTCAAGCCCCTGCAGTCTGGTTTTTGCCCTGACTGCCCACGGCATAAGACAGCACTTGTCAAAGTCACCAACTCTATCAGAGACCAGGGCTCCCTCTGCCTCCTCATCCTCCTGGATCTCTCTGCCGCGTTCAACACAGTCAACCACACCATCCTCCTCCACTGCCTCTCTTCCCTCATCTAGTTTAGTGGGACCGCACCTCGTCTGGTTCAAGTCCTACTCAACCAACCACCTCCATTTCATTTCGGCAAATGGTTTCTCCTCCCACCCCCGCCCGGTCACCTGCAGGGTACCCCAGGGCTCCATCCTTGGCCCTCTTGTTTTCCTTATCTATATGCTCCCGCTTGTTGATGTCATTCGCAGACACGGGGTAAACCTCCACATGTATGCTGATGACACACAAATCTACTTTCCCTCCTCCAGTACTAACTCCAGATCCACCGATGTTCTAGCAGCTTGTCTGGCAGACATTAGGTGCTGGATGAGTGTAAACTTCCCGCAGCTGAATATGGACTCCTTGGCTTCCCTCCTGCAGATCTGAATTCCTCAACCTCACTGGGCTCTCCCTCACACTCAAGAGAACTGGTTCAACCTCCAGCTGTCCTTCCTCCCCCACATCCATTCCCTGATCAGATTCGCCTTCTACCTCTGCCACATTATACCTTACCCCAAATGCAGCCGAAACCCTCATGCATGTGTTTGTCACCTCTCGTTTGGATTACTCCAACGCACTCATCGCCGGTCTCCCCAGTTCCACAATTCACAAGATCCAGCTCATTCAAAACTCTGCCGCCCACATACTGACCCGGACCAAACTTACCCTCCACTTGACTGGCACCGGCCTCCTGCTTGTCCCTCACACCCAACGCCCCACCATCGGAGGTCACGCTTTCATCCACTATGCCTTGAAACTCTGTAACACTCTCCCTCAATCCCACTGCCTTGCCCCTCTTTCCCCCTTCTCAAGTGCAGCCTGAAAACCTTTCTCTTCGACCGTGCTTACGGCCACCTCCCTCCACCCACCCCTGGCTCAGAGTCAGGCTCCACCACTGTCAGGGTCCACTACTGCGCTCTGTGTGGAGGGCGCTATATAAGTGCAAGTTGTTGTTGATGCCGGTGGAGCTTGGTGAGGACTGGTGTGATGGAGGGAGTTTAGTGTCGGTGAGTATCCGGGGCCGGAGTTCTGGATCAGATGTAGTTTGTGGATAGTGGAGCTGGGGAGACTGGAGAGAAGACAGTAGTTAGTCGGGAATTTGACCAAAGGAACGGGAGGGGCAGTATTTGGGGAGTTGTGGCAAGTGAGGTGGGCAGGCCGTGGTTTGGGGAGGGCGGGGCTGGTCGGGGAGCAAGGCTCTCACCTGGGTGTCGATGTTTTTGACCACCTCCTCAATGGTCTTGTGTGTCCGGATCAGAGACAGCGCCCGCTTGGGACCAATACCCCTGATTTTAGCGCAGTAATCACAGCCCATCAGGATACACAGGTCAACAAACTGAGGGACACAGAGAGGAGAGATCAGAGAGCAGAGATCAGGGAGAAAATCAAGATTAAAGAGAGCAGAGATCAGAAAGGAGCAGGTGAGTCTTCTCTCAGCCTGGGTGAAGTGAGAGCCACTGTCCCTGCTCTGTGCTGATCTCAGCCGGGGTTGGGGGGAGAGAGAGATTAATGTAAAAAAAGTCAAACCTGCTCGTGAGTCATATCCAGACCTTTGAGAACGACTGGCAGGCAGAACTCCTCAAACTTCCTGTAACATAAACCAGGCCGTCAGTCAGCATACCATACGTCAATCCTGTTTATGCTGGTGCTCTCTCCCCTACTGGAGCTCTCTATCCCAATCCCATCCTCTGCTCTTTCCCCCATGGTGTCTGTGCTGGTTCTCACTCCCCCACTAGAGCTCTCTACTCTACAAAAACAAGAAAATTACATTTGTATAGTGCCTTTCATGTCAGGAGGGCATACCAAGGTGCTGGACAGTCAGTATTTCGGACCCGAGCTGGGGCTCAGGATCAGGGAGAGTGGAGGGCAGGAGGGGAGGAAGGGTAATCGAATGCACGGTCGAAGAGAAAGGTCTTGAGATGGGTCTGGAAGGAGGCAAGGGAGGGGGTGAGGCAGAGGGACTGTGGAACGGAGTTCCAGAGGGTGGGCACAGAGTGGCAGAAGGCTGGGGCGGGCGAAGCGGGCGACGTGAAGCAGGCCCATGTCTGTTGAGCGGAGGTTCGTAGGGGTTAAAAGGTCGCAAAAGTAGGTGGGAGCAATGCCATGGAGGGCTTTGAAGGTGAGGACCAGGGTCTTGAACTGTATCCTCTGTTGATGGGAAGCCAGTGGAGTCGGGTAAGGATGGGAGTGATAGGGTCACGGAGCTTGGTGTGGGAGAGGACACGGGCTGCAGAGTTCTGGATGATCTGCAGCCTATAGAGGGAGGATTTGGGAAGGCCGTCAAGTCTGGATGTTATGAATATGTGTATGAGAGTTTCGGTGAGAGACAGTGGTGGAGCCGGGCGATGTTGCGGAGGTGGGCAAAGGCAAAGCGGGTCAAAAGGACAGTTGAGGGTCAAACAATACGCCAAGGTTCTGGACTGGCTTAGTGAAATGGAGTGTGGAAAAATGGATGGTGATGCTGTCGGCACCCGAGGTGAGGAGCCGCTGACGGGAGCCCATCAGGAGAGCCTCGGTCTTATTGATGTTCAACTGAAGAAAGTTAGCTCTCATCCAGAACTTGATGTCTGACAGACATTCTGTTAGGACAGCAGACGTCTTGGAGTCAAGGGTAGAGGCAGAGAGATAGAGTTGGGTGTCAACCACATACAAGATGGTGTGGGGGCTACAACAATAACAACAACAAGTTGGATTTATATAGTGCCCTCCACGCCGGACGGCGTCTCAGAGTGCTTCACAGTAACGGATCCTGGGGCTGAGTGAAGGAGAGGGGGAGGAAGGTGACCAAAGCGCGGTCAAAAAGAAAGGTCCTCAGCTGAGACCTGAAAATAGGAAGAGAGGAGACGTGGCGAAGGGAGTGAGGAAGGGAATTCCAGAGCCTGGGGGTGTAGTGGCTGAAGGTACGGCTGACAATGGTGGAGCGGAGGATTTGGGGGACAAGGAGGAGGCCAGAGCCGGTGGAGCGAAGGCAACGGGCACTGTTGTGAGGAGAGAGGATGTCAGAGAGGTAGGGGAGGGTGCAGAGGAGTGGAGGGATTTGAAGACAAGGGTGAGGATCTTGAAATCGGCTAGAGGAGAAACCGTTTGTGGAGATGAAGCGGAGACGGTGCGAGAGGTAGGATCTGAACCAGTGAAGGATAGAACTGTGAAGGTTGAGGTGAGAGGAGAGGCGATGGATGAGGATAGAGTGGTCAACGGTATTGAAGGCAGCCGAATGGTCCAATCCCATTCCTTACTGTCTACCCATCGTGGTGCTCGCTCCCCTACTGGAGCTCTCTACTTTTATCCCACTCCCTGCCCTCTCTCCCCATTGTGTCTGTGCTATTGCCGCTCTCTCCACCCCCACACCGCTGACTCACGCGTATTTGCGGGAGGTGAAGTGCCGGGTGAGCAGGGTGCTGCCGAATGGCAGAGCGTCCATGTCCTCGGTGATGGTGCAGTGAACCTTCCCGGCTTTGACCAGCGCTGCACAACTCGCCTCCGCCTCACTCGGAGCCTGAAAGAGGAGAGCAGGGATCAGCACCTCTCTCACTCCCTTTCTTCCCCCTCCTCCCTCATCAATCCAGTCTCCTCCCTCACCCATTCAGTCTCCCCCCACCCTCACTCAATCACTCTCCCACTCAGTTTGTCTCTCACCCTCTCACTCCCTCCCTCACTCATTCACTCTGCCTCTCACCCTCCCTCTCTAGCTTCCTGCCTCTCACTTTCACTCACTCAGTCTCTTAACCCCTCACTCCCTCCCTCACTCATTCACTCCCATTCACTCTGTCCATTACCCACTCACTCCCTCCCTCACCTATTCACAATCATTCCCTCATCTTCACTCCCTCACTCAGTCTAGCTCTCACTCCTCACTCACTCACTCTGATCGTCACACTCAATACCTCACTCATCCTCTCCCCCTTCACTCATTCATTCCCTCACCTTCACTTTTTCACACTCACTCTCTCTTACCCTCTCAGTCTGTTTCTTCTCACTCCATCCCTCTCACCCTCTCCCTCTGTCCCTCTCACCCTATCCCTCCCTCCCTCGCTCCCTCACCCTATCTGTCCCTCCCTTATCCTCTCACTCCCTCACCCGCTCACTCCCTCATCTTCACTCCCTCACCCTTCCTCGCCGTCTCACTCCCTCACCCTCTCCCTCCCTCACCCTCTCACTCCCTCACCCTCTCACTCCCTCACCCTCCTCACTCTTTCACTTACTCCCTCAACCAGTCACCATCTCACTACCTCACCCTTTCCCTCTCTCACCGTCGCCCCCGGTTACCTCGATGTAGGGCACTCCGAGGAGGCGGAGGAGGCGTTGACAGTCTCGACGTGAGGTCTTGACCCATTTCTGGCCAGTGCTGGGAACAGCGTCTGGAGAGAGGGGAGAAGGTCACAGAGTGAGTGACCCAACCCTCACCCAACCCCATATATTGTCTGCTCCCAACCCCCTACAATGTTCCACCACAGCCCCAGGCCCGGCTATTATTTGTCTCTGTACCAGCCGCCAAGTCTAATGACAGTGGAGTCCTGTAGCGTATTGGTTAGAGCACCCGCCTTGCAATCAAGATGACCCAGGTTCGATTCCCGGGCAGGGTGAGACCTTAGGCAGGTTTCCTTACTCCACACGCCTCTGTTTACCTAGCAGTAAGTAGGAACCCAGTTGTTAGTCGACTGGCAGATCGCTTTCCTTGGGTAAGAATCCCTTAAAAAAAAATTGGTCACTCAATCCATAACTGGTTCTCAGACACTGCTGTGCACAATTGGCTGCTGTGTTTCGTCCACGAAATATATAGTCACTACACTTTACAGTATATTCTGTGAAGTGCTTTGAGACATCTCGAAGACATGATGAGGCGCTATATGAAATGCAAGGATTATTATTAGTGTAACCTTTATATTTGATACAGCACCTATCGCATTGGGAGGACGTCTCAAAGCGCTTCAGAGGATTTGACTGTAAAGTGTAGTGACTGTGTTTTATGGGGGCACGTGGCAGCCAATCAGCACACAGCAATGTCCCACAAACAGCCATGAAGTGAGTGATCACTTTTATTTGGGAGATTGTCGGCCAGGACACCAGGAGAGAGAGAAACTACCTTCTCTTTTTGAATAGCGCTATGGGGATCTTTAACATCCACCTGAACAGGCAGACAGGAACCTTTCCCCCAGTCTAACGCCAGTTTCCCCTCGCTCTCCCCAGTCTAACCCCTCTCCCATCCCTCCCCAACACCTTGTACTTTTCTCCCTCTTCAGCCGTCTACCTTTTTATCATTGGAGAGCCAGGTTAGACCTGCTCACCCCCATTTACGGAATTAGACCGAATACCTTCCACTTAGGAAATGAGGGTTGTCCCCATAGACAAGCCCCACTCCCTCCCAAACTCTTCTAAACCCCAAATTGTCAAAGGGCAATGTGGTCCTGAACCATGTCTTCACGACCACCCAAATAGCTCCAGTGAGGGGATGGCCTCTCCGGCAGGGCAAGCCTGGCCTGAGCCTGGTGACCAGGTGCTCAAGTGAGCTCTGTGATCCTGTATCTCCACTTCCTCTGTGTGAGGGGAGATCCCACTCCTCAGGTCAGAAATCCTACAATACCCATCCCAACCAACAGGGGGGACTGAGCTGTAGCCGGGAGCTCAATCCTTGCCATAATGCCCCAGTAATGGGTGAGATTCACTTGTGTTCAGTGTACCACAAGCAAAATCCCGTCCTTCGGCTGAGACGTTGAACCAAGGTCCCGTCTGCCTGTTCAGGTGGATGTTGAAGATCCCACGGAGTTATTTGAAAAGTGTTTCTCGCGGTGTCCTGACGAGCAATCCCCCAAAATAAAATTGGTCGCTCACTCGATTGACTGTTTGTGGGACATCGCTGTGCGCAAACTGGCTGCCGTGTTTCACCCACGGAACACACAGTCACTCCTCTTTACAGTATATCCTATGAAGAACCTTGAGACGTCTCGAAGATGTCATAAGGCGCGATATCAAATGCAAGGATTATTGTTATTACACTTGATCTTATCGAGAAAGGCAGAGAAGACATCTGCCTCTGTCACTTGACGGTCTGTGCCTCAGCACAGAGGCCAGGAATCTCACGTTCCCACCAATGTCTATGTGACCTCCCCTTTAACGGCAGTCAGTTCCAGTCCCACCACCCAGACACCAGCCAGAGACACACGCTCTGGAACTCTCCCGTCTACCTGTGTTGCTCTGTACTGCAGTCACCAGGGTCACACCCGCCTCTCCGGTAACCTGCAATGGGATAAAACATAATTAAGTTATAACACTCCTTATAACTGACCCTGTCTGAAATGCTGTACTCTGTCCAGCGCCTTGGACGTCCTCCTGACGTGAAAGGCGCTATATAGTGGAGTCCTGTAGCTCAGTGGTTTGAGCGCTCGCTTTGCAAGTGTTCAATCCCAGGCAGAGGGCGAAACCTTGGGCAAGTTTCCTTACTCCACACGTCCAATGATAATCCCTCCAAAACCAAAAACAATAATAAATTGGTCATTTTCAATCTATGACTGTTTGTGGGACATTGCTGTGCGCAATTGGCTGCCGCGTTCGCCCACAAATATACAGTCCTCCCGACGTGAAAAGTGCTATATCAAATGCAAGGATTATTATTATTATTATTATTATTATTACAGCAGTGTCCCACAAACAGTCATGGATTGAGTGACCAAATTATTATTATTTTTAAATTGTAGGGATTATTACCCCCAGAAAACCAATCTGCCAATCGACTAAGCAGGTTCCTACTTACTGCTTGGTAAACGGAGGCATGTGGAGGAAAGAAACTTGCCTAAGGTTTCACCCTGTCCGGGAATAGAACCTGGGTCCTCATCAGTGTGTGAGAGAATGTGAGAGGTTACCTCGGGGGTTGGCTTGTCTGCCTGCGCCTCTGGCTCCCTGTGTGGCTCTGGCTGCAAGCCTTGCTTTGGGGTTTCACTGGGAAGGCCTGCTTTGGCTTCTTTTTCTGCAAAACATTCACACTCTGACGTTAAGCATCGAGTGGAGACCGTGTGAGAGAGAGAGAGAGAGAGAGAGAGGATACAGCACACAATTAAAAGGTGGAAAGAACGTAGAAAGTGAGGCCTGAACTCACAGAGCCAGAGCCCAGAGTGCGACGAGACTGAGTGTGAGAGTGTGTGTCTATGGGAGCGAATAAGTGAGCGTGCGTGAACGAGCGAGTGTGTGTGTGTGTGTGTGTGTGTGTATGAGAGTATGTGTGTGAAAGAAGAGTGTGTGTGAGAGATTGGGTGTGTGAGATCGAGTGTGCGCGAGAAAGAAAATATGTGCGAGAGAGAAGTGTATGTGAGAGCGAGTGTGTGTGTGCGCGAGAGAGGAGTGTGAGAGAGAGATAGAGAATGCGTGACGGTGAGAGAGAAATTCCGGGGTCTGGAATGGAATACACATTCTTTGCAAGTGAGACACCCGGTTCAATTCCAGGCAGAGGGCGAAACCTTGGGCAAGTTTCCTTACTCCACACAGAGCCTAATAATAATCCCTCCAAAACCAAAAACAATAATAAATTGGTCATTTTCAATCTACGACTGTTTGTGGGACATTGCTGTGCGCAATTGGCTGCCGCGTTCGCCCACAAATACACAGTCAATTCACTTTACAGTGTGTTCTGTGAAGCGCTTTGGGACGTCCTCCCGACGTGAAAAGCGCTATATCAAATGCAAGGATTATTATTATTATTATAGAGGGCTGGCTCGATTCCGATAGTCCGTTGTTGAGCAAGTCACCTTGGAGCCAGTTCAACTCCGAGGAGATTCCACTTACCTTTCTCACAAAGAGGGAAGAGAGTGTGTGAGAGAGACAGAGGGTGAGAGAGACAGACAGAATATCTGGAAAATACTATTTTAAAAATCTAGAAGACGTGAAAAGCGCTGTATCAAATGCAAGGATTATTATCATAATATGTCTTGGAGAGACGGACAGAGTGTGTGTGTGAGAGACAAGAGCGTGTGTGAGAGAGACGGAGTGTGAGAATGGGTGCGACCTGAAAATGGGGAAGGAGGGCGCAAGGTGGAGGGATAGAGGAGGAGAATTCCAGCATTTCGGGGGGGGAGTAGTGGCTGAAACACGGCCACCGGTGGTGGAACGGAGGGCGCAAGGGACATGCAGGAGGCTGGAGCCAGTCGAGTGGAGGCAGCGGGTAGTGGGTTAATTCACGGGCTGGAGTTATTTTCTTACCTGCCTGAGCTGCTTGGGCCAGACGGGCTAATTCTGCTCTCTTGACCAGCTGGGGAAGAGAGGACACAGTCAGTCTCACTCACCTGGCAATAGGACCACAAACCCGCCTCCGAGCATCCCACGGGGACCGCAGACATCTCACCACGGCACACAGCAATCACCGGCAATGTGTAAATAGACCCATCCACACTCCCAGGTCGGCCGCAGCACAGGTTAGCGACAAAGTAAAGCTCCCTCTACACTACCGGCCACACTCCCAGATCAGTGACACCTAAATCCCTTTCCTCTGTTCGAGCCCCACCTCCCCTAACCCACTGCTCTCCCCCTCCCCCACCCCGGCCCCCACCTCCCCCCGAGCCCCCAATACTGACCACGTGGTCTTTCAGTTTGGGAGGACGTCCGTCGAAGACGTACAGGGGTTTGATGCCTTTCTCCAGCAGACAGGCCGTGCGGTAGAACATGCCGATGGTCTGGCTGTAAACAAGCAGAGAGCTCCAGGTTTACTCTCAGTCTCTGAACTTCTCACTCCCCCTCTTGCCCACTCACTCACTCTCTCTCCCTCCCCTCCCCCTCACTCCCTACTCACTCCCCTCCCCCCTCACTCCCTCTCCCTCCCCACCCTCTCACTCCCTCTCCCTCCCCTCCCCCTCACTCCTTACTTACTCCCTACTCAATCCCCTCGAACTCCCCCTCACTCCCATCCCACTCACTTCCTCTCTCACTCCCCTCTCCCCCGATTTCCTCCATGCCCTTATCCACCCACCCACTCCTCCCGCCCCCACCCCCCTCCACCCCACTCCCCTCCCTTTTACTCTCCCCCTTTCCCCTCCCCCTCACCCCCCGCACATTCCCCACCTGAGACGCACGAGGTAGCGTTGGTTGGGCCGCGCTGTGCGGAACTGGTTCATGACGACCGAAGCATCCAGAGCGACCACCTTCCCTGTGGGTTCAACACAAACACGCGTGTGCGTGCGTGCGCGTGTGAGCCTCCGCAGCAAGAGGAAACCGGCCACACGCCAGCCACACGCCAGCCAGGGAGGGGGGGGGAGAGGGGGAGGGGAGCGAGGAGAACAGGAGAGGGACTGAAAGGAAGTTATGGAGGAGTCAAGGGAGTGAGGGGGGAGTGAGGAGGGAGCGAGGAAAGGGTGAGAGGTGAGTTAGAGGGAAGTAGAGGGAATAGCGAGGGAAACAACCTCTTCTTTTCCATTAGTGCCGCGAGATCTTTAACATCCATGGAAACCGACGCAGATGTCTGTGACCTCGATGGCACCTTCGACAACACAGCACGTGCCCCCCAGCGCCACACTGCGGTGTGGGCTTAAACCCACAAGCTTTACCCAGAGGCTCGCGAGCGGTTTACATCACACAGCGCATCCACAACACTTGTATTCACTGTCCTCTGGTCTCTCTCTGTGTTGCTACGAATCTCTCTCTCTCTCTCTCTCTCTCTCTATTTCTGTCTCTGTCTCTTTTCTGTCTGTGCGTCTCCGTTTTTCCGTATTCGTCTCCGTCGCTTTACACTTTTTTTCCTGTCTCTCGGTCTCTCTCTCTCTCTTTCTCTGTCCTCTCCCTCTCTCCGTATAACTGTTCTCTCCCGATCTTGTGATCTCTTTCTTTCTCTCTCTTTTCTACCTCTCGGTTTCTCTTTTCTCTCTCTGTCTCGTTTTTGCTTGGAGTCCTGCAGCTCAGTGGTCAGAACACTCGCCTCGCAAGCGAGAGACCAGGGTTCGATTCCCAACCGGGCGAAATTTTGGGCAAGTTTCTTTCCTCCACACGCCTCTGTTTACCGAGCAGTAAATAGAAACCCGGTTGTTAGTCGATGGACGGATCTCTTTTCCGCGGGTGATAATTCCTTCAAAAAACAATAATAAATTGGTCACTTCAATCCACGGCGGTTTGTGGGGACGCTGCTGTGCGCAGTTGGCTGCCGCCTTTCGCCCACAAATATACGGTCAATTCACTTTACTGTATATTCTGTGAAGCCCTTTGAAGCGTCTCGAAGACGTGATGAGGCGCTCTATCAAATGCGAGGATTATTATTATTGTTATTATTATTATCCCTCTCTCTGTCTCGTTCTGAATCTTTCTTTGTCTCCATCTGTTTTTCTCTCTCCCTCTCTGTCCTCTCTCCCTCTCCCTATGCCTGTTTTCTCCCTCTTTTTCTCTGTTCTCTCTCTCTCTCTCTCTCTCCATATAAATCTGTTCCCTCTCTCTCCTGAAGTCTGTTCTCTCTTTCTCTCTCTCTCTTTATGTGTGATCTCAGTCGATCCGTTTTCTCTCTGTGTTCTCTCTCTCCCTCTCTCTCCCTTTGTCTCTATCTTGGCTCCGTTCTCCATCTTTCTCCTAATGGCTGTTCTCTCTCTCTCTCTCTCTCTTTCTCTGTTCCCTCTCTCTCTCTCTCTCCCTCCCTCTCTGCGTGTTGGCTGCTCACCCTCGTACTCGTTGATGGTTTTGTTGGTGATGGCATCTCCGGCTTGCTCTCGGATCAGGTCTGTGAGCTTGGTGATGCCCATGGTCTGACCAGAGACCAGCGGTGATGTCCGTTGGGGGATTAACCGACTGCCCTCCGCTGCTGCCCCGTGTCTGTGTCTGTGTCCGATCCCCGCCGTCTGTGTCTCTCTGCACAGCCCCGGCCTCTGGCTGTGCGGAGACGGCCTTTAAATCACATTTGCAGCGAGTGTGTGAGCTTCCCCCCGACCGACACACAGAGGCGCTGCGCACCTGCACTGGGGCTGAGAGACACTTCCATCGCAGCGCTTCGCACATCTCTCAGAGTTACTGTCAATATCACAGCGTTAGTGTCAATACAGTGTTAGTGTCAATATCACAGCGTTAATGTCAATATCACAGTGTTAGTGTCAATACCGTGTTAGTGTAAATACAGCGTTAGTGTCAATACAATATTAGTGTCAATGTCACAGTGTTAGTGTAAATACAGTGTTAGTGTCAATACCAGTGTCAGTGTCAATACAGTGTTAGTGTAAATACAGCGTTAGTGTCAATACAATATTAGTGTCAATGTCACAGTGTTAGTGTAAATACAGTGTTAGTGTCAATACCAGTGTTAGTGTAAATACAGTGTTAGTGTCAATACCAGTGTTAGTGTCAATATAGTGTTAGTGTAAATATCACAGCGTTAGTGTAAATACAGTGTTAGTGTCAATATAGTGTTAGTGTAAATATCACAGCGTTAGTGTAAATACAGTGTTAGTGTCAATACCAGTGTTAGTGTAAATACAGTGTTAGTGTCAATATAGTGTTAGTGTAAATATCACAGCGTTAGTGTAAATACAGTGTTAGTGTCAATACCAGTGTTAGTGTAAATATCACAGTGTTAGTGTAAATATCACAGCGTTAGTGTAAATACAGTGTTAGTGTAAATACAGTGTTAGTGTCAATACCAGTGTTAGTGTAAATATCACAGTGTTAGTGTAAATATCACAGCGTTAGTGTAAATACAGTGTTAGTGTCAATACCAGTGTTAGTGTCAATATCACAGTGTTATTGTCAATAAAGTGTTAGTGTCAATACCAGTGTTAGTGTCAATACCAGTGTTAGTGTAAATATCACAGTGTTAGTGTAAATAGTGTGTCAATATTAGCATTAGTGTAAATATCAGTGTTACTGTAAATCTTACAGCGTTAGTGTAAATATCAGTGTTCGTGTCAATATCAGTTAGTGTAAATATCACATGTTACAACAACAACAAAATTACATTTATAGAGCGCCTTTCACTTCGGGAGGACGTCAGGGGTCAGGAGTTCCAGAGTGTGGGGGCAGAGAGGCTGAAACCTCGTCCAGAGGTGGTGGTAGGCAATGCCGGTCATGTTGCGGATGTGAGGGAGAACGGACGGTTCAGGGTCGAACAAGACCCCCGGGTTCCTGACTGGCTTAGTGAGGTTGAGTGTGCAGCCGTGGAGGCTGATGCTGCCAGTGCCCGAGGTGCGGAGGCGCTGGCGCGAGCCAATCAGGAGAGCCTCAGTCTTGCTGATGTCCAGTTGGAGAAAGTTGTCCTTCGTCCAGGACTTGACGTCGGACAGGAGCATGTAGAGGGTGAAGAGGAGCGGACCGAGGACAGAGCCCTGAAGAACACCGCACAACATGGTGTGGGGGCTGGAGGAGAAACCGTTTGCTGAGACGAAGTGGAGGCGGTGTGAAAGGTAGGACCTGAACCAGTCAAGAACAGAACCTTGGAGGTTGAAGTGGGAGGAGAGGTGGTGGAGGAGGATTGACTGGTCCACAGAGTCAAAAACGGCAGAGAGGTCGAGGAGGATGAGGAGGTAGAGGGAGCCCTGGTCACACATGGTCAGGATGTCATTTGTGACCTTGACCAGAGCAGTTTCCGTGCTGTAGGCATCGCAGAAACCCGATTGGAGGGTCTCATGGAGGGAGAGGGAGGAGAGGAAAGAGCGAAACTGGGAGGCAAAGGCTCTCTCAAGGATCTTGGACAGAAAAGAGAGGTTGGAGATGGGCCGCTAGCTGGATAGCTGTGAAGGATCAATGTGGGGGTGATAGTGGATGTTTTTGAGGGGGGTAGGAACAGTGCCGGATGACAGGGAGAGGTTGATGATGTCAGCGAGTAGTGGGAGCTGGGATTTAAGGAGAGGAATGGGGATGGGGTCCAGGGAGCAGTTGGTGGGCTTCATGGAGGATATAGTGGTGATGACAGAGGAGGGGTTAACAGGTCCAAAGATGTGGAAGGAGGGCAAAGATGTGGAAGTTAGGAGGGTAGTGGCAGCTGAGCGGATTCCCTCGATTTTGGACTTGAGGAAGTCCAGCATTTCCTCACAGTGAGAGTCGGAGGAAAGTATCTGCGAGGCGTGGCAGGGAAGGCGGAGGAGCTGGTTGGTGGTGGAGAACAGGAGCCTGGGGTTGCCCTTCGCCTCCAGGATTAACCTGGAATAGAAGGACGATTTGGCAAAGGTACAGTGGAGCGGAGCGGTAGGTCTTGATGAGATCCAGCCAGATGTGGCGGTGGACCGTTAGGCCGGATTTGAGCCAAGTGTGTTCGGCAGCCCGCAGCTGGCCATTGAGTGAGCGGAGGTGGCTGGTGAACCAGGTGAGGATCGGGAATAGGAGGCAGTTCGGGAGGCGAGGGGAGCAAGGGCGTCGAGTGTGGTGGAGAGGGTGCTGTGGAGAAGAGTAAATGCAGAGGATGGGTTGGTGTGAGAGGTGGGCCAGAGGGAGAGGAGTTCAGAGGACTCCAGGGCAGTGGAGGGGGATTGCAGGGAGATCTTCTTCCACGGGCAGTAGGAGATGGTTGTAGGTTTGGAGGCAGCAGGGAGAGGGATAAAGGAATTGAGGGAGATGAAATGGTGGTTAGAGATGGCCTTGTCGGTGATAGTGACATCCGAGACGCTGAGGCCCCGGGTGATCACCAGGTCAAGCGGGTGACCGTGGGTGTGGGTAGCAGAGTGGATGTGGAGGGAGAGGTTGAGAGAGGAGAAGAAAGAGGAGAAGTCTGAGGAGGTGGAGCAGGAGGGGGTGAAGTGGAGATTGAAGTTGCCTCGCATGATGAGGCGGTCGGAGCAGAGGCAGAGGGAAGCTAGAAGGGTGGAGATGTCAGAGATGAAGGTGGGAGAGGATTTTGGGGGAGCGGTAAATTAGGAGAATTTTTAGTGAGAGATGGGAGGGATGGCAGAGAGTAAGGTGTTCAAAAGAGGGGAATGAGCCAGTGGAGTATGGGGATAGGGCAAGTGATGCCCCGGAGATGAGGGCCACACCACCGCCACGGCGGTTGGGGCGTGGGGCATGGTGGTAGGTGTAGTTGGTTGGTGTGGCCTCAGTGAGGGGGAAGGTGTCACCGGGGGTGATCCAGGTTTCCGTGAGGGCCATAATATCAACGTTCTCATCAAGGATGAGATCATTGAGGGCCAGGGTCTTGTTGGAGATGGAGCGGACATTTTGACGGCAAATGCGGAGTGGACAGTTGGCAGGGGGAGGATTCCCAGGCGGGAGCAAAGGGAGGCAGTGGGGGGGGGGGGGGGGATATCAAGCAGCGATAGGAGACGGGGAGAGCGGAGAGAGAGAGAGTTAGTGTAAATATCACAGTGTTCGGGTAAATATCAGCATGAGTGTAAATATTAGTATTAATATAACAATCCCTGCATTTTGTTATAGCGCTTTTCACGTCTTCTCGACGTCTCAAAGCGCTTCACAGAATAGACTGTGAAGTGAATTGACTGCATATTTGTGGACGAAACGCGGCAGCCAATTGCGCACAGCGGCGTCCCACAAACGGTCGTGGATTGAAGTGACCAATTTTATTATTGTTTTTTTTCTTAAGGGATTATTATTATTATTATTATTATTAGTAAGAAAATTCGCCCGAGGTTTCGTCTTGCCGGGAATCGAACCCAGGTCTCTCGCTTGCCAGGCGAGTGCTCTAACCGCTGAGCTACAGGACTCGTGTTGGGTGTAAATTTCAGTGTTAGTGTAAATCTGAGGGTCTGGGAAGGATCTGGACTGGGGTCTGAGGTCAGTGGAGGGAGGGTTTGGGGAGGGTTTATGGTCTGGAACCAGCAGCCAATTCCTCTCCACATTCCTCACTGTCTGTGTGTCTCATTCTCTGTGTGTGTGTGTCTCTCTCTCACTGTGTGTGTGTGTCTCTCTCACTGTGTGTGTGTGTGTGTCTCTCACTGTGTGTGTGTGTCTCTCACTGTGTGTGTCTCTCTCTCTCTCACTGTGTGTGTGTCTCTCTCAGTGTGTGTGTGTCTCTCTCTCACTGTGTGTGTCTCTCTCTCACTGTGTGTGTGTCTCTCACTGTGTGTGTGTGTCTCTCACTGTGTGTGTCTCACTGTGTCTGTGTGTGTGTCTCACTGTCTGTGTGTGTGTCTGTGTGTGTGAGAGAGTCTGTCTCACTGTCTCTGTGTGTGTGTCTGTGTGTGTCTCACTGTCTGTGTGTGTGTGTGTCTGTGTATGTGAGTCTGTCTCACTGTCTGTGTGTGTGTGTCTGTGTGTGTCTCACTGTCTGTGTCTGTGTGTGTCTGTGTGTGTCTCACTGTCTGTCTGTGTGTGTGGGTGTGTCTCACTGTCTGTGTGTGTGGGTGTGTCTCATTGTGTGTGTGTGTGTGTCTCACTGTCTGTGTGTGTGAGTCTGACTCACTGTCTGTGTGTGTGTGTGTGTGTCTCATTGTGTGTGTGTGTGTGTGTGTCTCATTGTGTGTGTGTGTCTCACTGTCTGTGTGTGTGTGTGTGTGCGTCTCACTGTGTGTGTGTGTGTAAGTCTGTCTCACTGTCTGTGTGTGTGTGTGAGTCTGTCTCACTGCCTGTGTGTGTGTGTGTGAGTCTGTCTCACTGTCTGTGTGTGTGTGTGTGAGTCTGTCTCACTGTCTGTGTGTGTGTGTGTGTGTGTCTGTCTCACTGTCTGTGTGTGTGTGTGTGTGAGTCTGTCTCACTGTCTGTGTGTGTGTGTGTGTGAGTCTGTCTCACTGTGTGTGTGTGTGTGTGAGTCTGTCTCACTGTCTGTGTGTGTGTGTGTGTGTGTCACTGTGTGTGTGTGTGTGAGTCTGTCTCACTGTGTGTGTGTGTGTGTGTCACTGTGTGTGTGTGTGTGAGTCTGTCTCACTGTGTGTGTGTGTGTCTCACTGTCTGTCTGTGTGTGTGTGTGTGTGTGTCCCTCTCGGGGTTGGGGAGATGTGGCTCACACAGTCAGTCCGGCTGTTGTTGGCGCTGTGGTGGGTGCGGGGCCGCGGACCCGGCGTGTGGTCAGAGCCGCAGGACATCAACCTCCCGGGGGTGAGAGGCTGTGTCCCCCCTCAGTGGGGGTCTATCCAGCTCTCTCTCTCCAGTTTTCCCCCTCTCTCTCTCTCTCTCTAGCTTTCTCCCTCCGTCTCTTTCTCTCTCTCTCTCTCCATCGCTCTCCCTCTCTCTCTCTCACACACAGACACACACACTCTCTCACTCTCAGACCAGCTCTATTTCTCTTTCTTTCACTGGCCATTCCTCTCTTCTCTCTCTCTCTCTCTCTTGCTCTTTCTCTCTCCATCTCTCTCACACACAAACAGTGGCAGCACTGGTTTCGTTCCAGTGAATGGAAGATAAATCACAAGTTCACCTAATTTTCCTCTCTGACTTTCTTTCTCTTGTTCCCACATCCCCCCTTCTCTGCTCCCTCTCTGTCTTTCTCTACCTTAGGCAGGTTTCCTTACTCCGCACGCCTCTGTTTACCTAACAGTAAGTAGGAACCCGGTTGTTAGTCGATTGGCGGATCGCTTTCCAGGGATAATAATGCCTCAAAAAAAAATCCAGTCACTCAATCCACGACTGTTTGTGGGACACTGCTGTGCGCAATTGGCTGTCGCGTTTCGTCCGCAAAATATAGTTAATTCACATTACAATATATCCCGTGAAGTGCTTTGAAATGTCTCAACGATGTGACAATGAAAGGGTTATTATTATTACCTCTCTGTCTCCCTCCATTTCTCACTAATACTAGTAATCCTTGCATTTCATATAGCGCCTTATCACGTCTTCGAGACGTCTCAAAGCGTTTCACAGGATATCTGTAAAGTGAATTGACTGTATATTTGTGGGCGAAACGTAGCGGCCAATTGCGCACAGCAACGTCCCACAAACAGTCGTGGATTGAGTGACCGATTTATCATTATTATTACCTCTCTCTCTGTCCTGGGAATGACCTCTGTGATTCTAAATCAACCCTCTCTCTCTTTGAATCTCTCTGACGTTTTCTATGTTTCTCTCTGTCTGTTTCTCTAATTTTTTTCACTCTCTTAATCTCTCTGTCTCTCATTCTATACTCAGAATACATCTCAACCGTTGGACAACCAGATATCGAATGTGACTGACACGTCCCAAGACTCAGGTAAATACTAACCCAATGAGTGATCGCATGTCCCATGTTGTGGGAGGACAGCTTTACTCTGGCTCTAACCCATGCAGTCACTGTCCTGGGAGTGTAGACGCACAGTGTAGAGGGAGCTTTACTGTCTCTAACCCTGACCTGGGAGTGTGGACACACAGTGTAGAAGGAGCTTTACTCTGTCTCTAACCCTGACCTGGGAGTGTGGACGCTCAGTGTAGAGGAGCTTTACTGTGTCTCTAACCCTGACCTGGGAGTGTAGACGCACAGTGTAGAGAGAGCTTTACTGTCTCTAACCCTGACCTGGGAGTGTGGACGCACAGTGTAGAGGAGCTTTACTGTGTCTCTAACCCTAACCTGGGAGTGTGGACGCTCAGTGGAGAGGAGCTTTACTGTGTCTCTAACCCTGACCTGGGAGTGTAGACGCACAGTGTAGAAGGAGCTTTACTCTGTCTCTAACCCTGACCTGGGAGTGTGGACACACAGTGTAGAAGGAGCTTTACTCTGTCTCTAACCCTGACCTGGGAGTGTGGACACACAGTGTAGAGGAGCTTTACTGTCTCTAACCCTGACCTGGGAGTGTGGACGGACGCACAGTGTAGAAGGAGCTTTACTGTGTCTCTAACCCTGACCTGGGAGTGTGGACGCACAGTGTAGAAGGAGCTTTACTGTCTCTAACCCTGACCTGGGAGTGTAGACGCACAGTGTAGAGGAGCTTTACTGTCTCTAACCCTGACCTGGGAGTGTGGACGCACAGTGTAGAGGAGCTTTACTGTGTCTCTAACCCTGACCTGGGAGTGTGGACGCACCGTGTAGAGGGGTCTCTGTGGCTGTGTATGTGTGTGACCAGGTGTGTTGTGTGTGTGACAGGGCAGGAGCTGACCGCTGGCACGGCTCTGGTGTGTAATGGGAGCCAGAACACTCTGAGCGCCAGCGAGGACTGTGGCTGCCCTGAGCCCCTGGTGCTGACTGGGGAGAGCTGCTCGTGTGCCCCAGGGTACAGCCTGCAACCAGCCAGCAAACAGTGTACCGGTGAGCCCACTCTCACTCTCTCAAACACACTCATTCTCTCGCGCTCTCACGCACACTCATTTTCACATTCTGATACACTTGCTCTCACTCACTCTCCCGCTCTCTCTCTATATATATCACGCTTTGTCTCTAACTTTCTCATTCTCTCTCTCTCCCTCTCACACGCTATCTCTGTTTTTCTCACTTTCCCACTCTATCTGTGTCTCTCTCATTCTCACTCACTCTCACACTCGTACTCCCTCACTCTCTCTCATTCTCTCTGTCTCTCACTCTCTCTCTCTCATTCTCTCTGTCTCTCCCCCTCTCTCTCTGTGCCTCTCCCTCTCTCCCACTCTCTCACTCTACCCAACCCCCTCTCTCCCTCACTCCCTCTCTCTTTGTCACACACACACACTCTCTGTGTGTCTCTCACGCACTCCCGTCTGTCTCTCTCTCTGTGTGTGACAGACGTTGATGAGTGCCGGGTGGCTGTAGTGACTGGGCTGGCCGCTTGTGGAGTTCACACCCTCTGCACTAACACCGCCGGCTCCTACACGTGTGACTGTGAGCCAGGCTTCGTGACGTCCCCGGAGACCAGCCGTTGTGTAGGTGAGTCCCTGGCACATCAACTGTGCTCCCCCTCTCACCCTGGGAGGAGCGAGTCAGACTCTCTCAGCTCACACTCTGGGCTGGTGGGGGGGGCGCCCTACATCGTTGGCGACACCATCCTTCAGATAAAGTCAGTCTCGCTCAGTGACAAACCTGTAGCGTATTGGTTACAGCACTCACAAGCGAGAGGTTCGATTCCCGGGCAAGACAAAACCTTAGGCGAGTTTCCTCACTCCTTACACTTGGCTGCCGCATTTTGCCCTCAAAATGTACAGTCACTCCACTCTACAGTATAATCTGTAGCGTTTTCAGACGTCTCAAAGTTGTGATAAGGCTGTATGTCACGTGGAAGGATTTTTATTATTATTATTATATTTTGTGCCTCTGACGTTGGGATTCTTTTAAGACGGTCTCAACGCTGTGAGTCTGCCTGATGGGGTGCGGATTCTGGGAAGGGCTGAGTGACCTCTTGTTTGTGTTTCAGTAACACAGTGACCTCCTGGATGTGTTACTGCAATACACTGGATGAGTGGTGTGTTGCTAATCTCCTTCCCTCTTCTCTCTGTAATGTTACAGATGTTGATGAGTGCAGCTTCGAGGAGCTGTGTCGGAGGGAGTTGGGCAACACTTGCATCAACACTGTGGGCAGCTACACGTGCATCTGCCGGCCTGGCTTCCAACTCCAGGCTTCGTCCTGTGTGGGTAAGAGAGACTCGATGTCCCGCTCATTCTGCGTTCAGTCCCCATCACTGTCAGGGCATCACTGCTGGGGGTAGAGACAAAGAGAAGGGCAGGTTTCCATGCTCAGCTCCCTCCTTGCCCATCTACATCCTCTCTCTTGGCAATCTCATCTGCAGATACGGGATGATATCCAAATCTACTTTTCCACTTCCACTCTCAACTCCAGGATCACTGATGTTCTGTCCACTTACTTGTCAGACATTGAAGCCTGGAAGATCCACAATTTCCTCCCAATTTAATATGGATAAGACAGAAGCCAACCCCCTTGCCTCTCGCCAATGTCTCCTCTCTTCAATCTCTTCTCTACAGCGTAGTGTATTGGTTAGAGTACTCAAGAGGACCGGGTCCGCGTCCCGGGCAGGGGCAAAACCTTAAGCAAGTTTCCTTACTGCTTACTCCACAAGCCTCTGTTTACCTAGGAGTAAGTAGGAACCCGGTTGTTAGTTGATTGGTGGATCGCTTTCCCGGGGGCAATAATCCCTCCCTCCAAAAGAAAAATCAATCCACGACTGTTTGTGGGACGCTGCTGTGCACAATTGGCTGCTGCGTTTCGCCCACAAAATTCACAGTGAATCCACTTTACAGTAAATTCTGTGAAGCGCTTTCATACGTCTCAGCGATGCTAAGGCGCTATATCAAATGCAAGAATTATCCTTATTGTATCATTATTAGCCCAACTCTCCACACTAGAGCGCGATCTTGGGATCTTGTTCAACAAAAACAACAATTACTTGTATTTATAGAACGTCCCTCATGCACGGTAGCGTCCCAGAGCTCTTTAATGGTTCAATCCCCATCCTTACTATCTCCATCGCATCCGGTCGCAGCAAGACCTCCTTTCCTTCACCTCCACCACATCACCCGCTTCCACCACCATCTCATACCCTGGAACATTCATTCACACCTCCGTCACATGTCACTTTTCCAGCACTTTCCTCGCTGAGCTCCCACGCTCCCACCACTCCCAAGTTGCAACTCGTCCAAAACTCGGCCCTCACCAAACTCTGCTCCCCTCTCACCCCGGTCCTCGCCAGCCTCCACGGTCTCCCAGCGAATTGATTTCCTCGCCTACAAGGCAGGGCGAAACCTTGGGCAAGTTTCCTTACTCCACACAGAGCCTAATAATAATCCCTCCAAAACCAAAAACAATAATAAATTGGTCATTTTCAATCCACGACTGTTTGTGGGACATTGCTGTGCGCAATTGGCTGCCGCGTTCGCCCACAAATATACAGTCAATTCACTTTACAATGTGTTCTGTGAAGCGCTTTGGGACGTCCTCCCGACGTGAAAAGCACTATATTAAATGCAAGGATTATTATTATTATTATTATTATTATTACAAATCCGCTCACTCCCCTTCCCCCACGTGTCGCTCTGATTTCCTTCTCCCGCTCCTCCACTCAGGCTCGCGTTCAACTAACTTGGGCTTGCTGCGTGCCCCCAACTCCATCTCCCCGGTCCCATCGCTGGATGAGCTTTCAGTTCTCCGCCCGCTCGCCCTCCCTCATCCCTTCCATCTCAGCCCCTCTCTATCTGTCTCTACATCTCACTTTTACCCTCTCGATTGTATTACAGTATCCTGTGTGAGAGGGGCACTGAATAAACAACAACAACAGCAAGATTCCATTTATTGAGCGCCTTTCACGTCGGGAGGACGTCCCAAGGCGCTGAAATAAAGCCAAGTGGTTGTTGTTGCATCTGTTCAACCACCAACCCTGCTGTCTCTCACGCTCGTTTCTGTCTGTCTGTCTGTCTGTCTGTCTGTCTCTGTCTCTCTCTTTTTCCCATTGTCTCACGCCCTCTCAGTCTCTCGCGCTCTCCGTCTCTCGCGCTCTCTGTCATTTTCAGCTTCTCACACTCTCTTCCGTCTCTCTCTCTCTCTCTCTCTCTCCGCAGATATTGATGAGTGTGAGGGCGAGGCGGCTGTGTGTGTCGGAGAGTCTGTGTGTGAGAACACACTCGGTAGTTATCGGTGTGGGTGTCGGCTGGGGTACCGAGGCAATGGGACACACTGCGAAGGTCAGTCTCCCCTTTCCCCCCCCCCCACTCCCGCCCGACTGCGGGTAAGAAAGAACAGACGTCTGAATGAGAATCACTTGCAAGTGTAGTGACTGTGTTGTCACACTCTTGCACTTGCGTTGGTATTGCACCCCTCACGCAGGTTAGCGTCCCAGACCTCTCTCTCTCTCTCTCTCTCTGTGCAGATGTTGATGAGTGTGCCGGGGGCAGACATTCCTGTGCGAGTGACGCTCGTTGCGGTAACATCATTGGCTCCTATTACTGTCAGTGTCACCGCGGCTTCAACGGCGACGGAATCACCTGCTTCGGTCAGTGCTGCCCCACCCCCCACACACACTGCCCCGCCCACAGCCCCGCCCCACGTCCCCGCCCCACAGCTCCGCCCGCATGTCCATGGCCCCGCCCCACAGCCACAGCCCGGTCCACAGACTCACATCTGCCCCAACCCATTGTCCTGCCCACTGCCCCACCATAGCCCCGCCCCATGATCCTGACCTGCCCCCCCCTCCCCAGCCCCATCCCCATGTACATGCCCCGCCTCACAGCTACAGACGCTCACACCCCGCCCGCAGGCTCCACCCAAGTCCCTGCCCCAACCACAGCCCCGGCCCATGACCCTGACCCAGCCCACAGCCTCATCCATGACCCTGACCTGCGCCCCTCCCCTGCCAAGCCCCGCTCCCATGACCTTGACCAGTCCCACAGCCACACCACACCCTGCACCCACAAGCTCCACCAATGGCCCCGCCCCACGCCGCAGTCCCACCCCACACCCTTTCTGTCCCCGTCGCTGTGTGACGGCTGTTGTTTTGACAGACATTGACGAGTGCTTGGTGAGTAATGGCCTCTGTCAGCACCTGTGTGTGAACCAGGCCGGCAGCTTCCACTGTGTGTGTCACCCCGGCTTCTCCCTGACACACAACGGCACATCCTGCACAGGTGAGAAACAGGCACCTCAGACAGGTGAGACACACGGGCACTGTGTACAGGTGAGTGAGACACTGTGCACAGGTGAGTCAGACACTGTGTACAGGTGAGCGAGACACTGTACAGGTGAGCGAGACACTGTACAGGTGCGTGAGACACTGTGTAGAGGTGAGTGAGACACTGTGTGCAGGTGAGCGAGACACTGTACAGGTGCGTGAGACACTGTGTAGAGGTGAGTGAGACACTGTACAGGTGCGTGAGACACTGTGTAGAGGTGAGTTTGACACTGTGTACAGGTAAGCGAGATACAGTACAGGTGAGACACTGTGTACAGGTGAGTGAGACACTGTGTACAGGTAAGACATACTCGGACGAAACAGGCCGCACTCTCAACACACACTCTGGAGTCCCCCAAGCCTTGGCTCTTGCCAACCTGCGCCTAATACTCTCCGGAATTAGGTAAACAGGATGTGTCCCTCCAGGGAGAGAGAGAAAGCGCATTCCATCCCAACAATTTATCTCTGGGATTTCCACGTGTAGGTGGGAGGCGGGGAATTCTCAGCTCGGTTTGGAGACGGTGATGGGTTAACGCGTGTGACTAAAAGAAAACCCCCCGCCCGCCCCCCCCCCCCCACTGACCCTGTTGCTCTGATACAGATGTTGACGAGTGTGACGAGGGGGTCACCAGTTGTGAGCAGCTCTGCACCAACACTGCCGGCTCCTACAGCTGTTCCTGTTATCCTGGTTACCAGCTCCACGTGGACAGCAAGCAGTGTGTAGGTGAGTGTGTTACACTAACGGTGATCTGTCACTAGTGTGTGGGTGTGTGTTACACTATCAGTGAGCTGTCACTAGTGTATGGGTGTGTGTTATACTATCAGTGAGCTGTCACTAGTGTGTGGGTGTGTGTTACACTATCGGTGATCTGTCACTAGTGTGTGGGTGTGTGTTACACTATCAGTGATCTGTCACTAGTGTGTGGGTGTGTGATACACTATCGGTGATCTGTCACTAGTGTGTGGGTGTGTGATACACTATTAGTGATCTGTCACTAGTGTGTGGGTGTGTGATACACTATCGGTGATCTGTCACTAGTGTGTGGGTGTGTGATACACTATCAGTGATCTGTCACTAGTGTGTGGGTGTGTGTTACACTATCAGTGATCTGTCACTAGTGTGTGGGTGTGTGATACACTATCAGTGATCTGACACTAGTGTGTGGGTGTGTGATACACTATCAGTGATCTGACACTAGTGTGTGGGTGTGTGTTACACTAACAGTGATCTGACACTAGTGTGTGGGTGTGTGATACACTGACAGTGATGGCTGGTGACTCTCCGCTGTGTGTTTGCGTTGCAGATGTTGACGAGTGTAAGATTGGGAACGGAGGCTGTTCCCACTCGTGCCTCAACCAGGACGGCTCCTATCACTGTCTGTGTCCCCCTGGGCTCAGCCTCCAGAGAGACAACACCACCTGTGTCAGTGAGTGTCCCTAATACTGACTCTATGTGCCTCCTGGTGTTACACTGTGTGTGTGTGTTACCCGGTGGGTCACACTTGACTGTGTGTGTGCGTGCGTGTGCGTGTGTGTGTTGCTGTGTGTCACACTGACCGCGTGTGTGTTTTGCCGTGTGTCACACTGACTGTGTGCGTGTGCGTGTTGCTGTGTGTCTGACTGACTGTGTGTGTGTGTGTGTGTGTGTATGTGTGTTGCTGTGTGTCACACCGACTGTGTGTTGCTGTTACAGACATTACGTCCTGTTCACTAAAGAACGGGGGCTGTGACCACGTGTGCACGGAGTGGGGTCCTGGCAGCTTTGCCTGTAGCTGTCACCCAGGTTGGCTCCTCACCACAGACAGCCGGACCTGCCAGGGTAAGAGGCGTATGATCTGCTCAGACCATAGCGTGTCGCTGAGTGTCGCTGCATGTCATTGCGTGTGTGATTGCGTGTGTGATTGCCTGACAGAGGGCAGGGGCTGCGTTGGGTGTTGCTGTGTCAGGCTCTGTGTGTTGCAGACGTGGACGAGTGTGCGGACTTCACACGTGGGGGGTGTCAGCAGGTGTGTAACAATCTCCCCGGAGGCTACAACTGCACCTGCCACCACGGCTATCAGCCCCGCCCAGACCACCCCAGCCAGTGTCAACGTGAGTGAACACACACCCACACCCACACCCGCGCCAGCGAGTGTGCGCCCACGTGCAAAAGTCTGTGTGCAACTTGAGCAAGTGTGTGCGCAAGTGCGCGCGTGTACGCATGACAATGTGTGCATGTGTGTGTGGATGTACGGGCAATAGCGTGTGTGCAAACGAGCAACTGTGCATGTATGAGTGAGTAAGTGCTTGTGTGTGCGAGTAAATGTGTGCAAGTGAAAGTCAAGTGACTGTTGATTCACATACGCACTCACATCTCACTCTCTCACACTCTCGATCTCTCCGGCTGTTTGGGTGTGTCTCTCCCTCTCTCAAACCCACGCTCTCACGCACGCTCCGTCTCTCTCTGTGTCTCTGTCTCTCTCTCTCTCTCTCTCTCTCTCTCTGTGTCCGTCTCTCTCTCTCGTGCTCTCTCGCACACTCTGTCTTTCTCTCTGTCTGTCTCTCTCTCTCTCTGTGTCCGTCTCTCTCTCTCGTGCTCTCTCGCACACTCTGTCTTTCTCTCTGTCTGTCTCTCTCTCTCACGCTCTTTCACACACTCGCAAGCGTTCTCTTTCTCTGTATCTGTGTCTCTCACGCTCGCTCTCTCACACTCACACACACAATCTGTTTTTCTCTGTGTCAGTGTCTCTCTCTGTGTCTCTGGTTCACATGCTGTCTCTCACTCTTTCACACACACTGTCTTTCTCCATGGCTGTGTCTCTCAGGTTCTCTCTCTCTCTCTCACACTCAAACACACTCTGTCCTTCTCTGTGTCTCTCTCTGTGTCTCCGTCTCACACGCTCTCTCTCACACTCACACACACTGTCTTTCCCCATATCTGTATCTCTCAGGCTCTCTCTCACACTCACTCTGTCTTTCTCTGTGACTCTCTCTGTGTGTATGTCTCTCTCTCAGTGTCTGTGTAATGAAACTTCATCTCGAAGTTAAGGCTCCTCTAGACAGAGTGACCATAACGTGAAGAAATTTAGCATTAAGTTAGAGAGTGATGTAGTTGATAAGAACATAAGAATTAGGAGCAGGAATAGGCCATTCAGCCCCTCGAGCCTGCCCCGCCATTCGATAAGATCATGGCTGATCTTCAGACCTAACTCTAATTACCTGCCCTATCCCCATATCCTCTAATCCCTCTATTTTTAAAAAATCTATCAGTCTCAGCCTTGAAGATGTTCAAGGACTGAGCATCTACAGCCTTCTGGGGCAGTGAATTCCATAAATTCACTACCCTCTGAGTGAAGAAATGTTTCCTCAACTCTGTTCTAAAAGGCTGACCCTTAATTTTAAGACTGTGATTGCAAGATTGCAGGGATATAGATAGGCGAGGGGAGTGGGCAAGAAGGTAGCAGATGAAATATAATGTGGGGAAGTGTGAAGTTATTCACCGAGGCAGTAAAAACAGAAAAGCAGATTATTTTCTAGAGGGGGAGAGACCAGATAGTGTTGGTGTTCAGAGGGTTTGGGTGTTTGTATACCAGTCACAAAAAGTTAGTAATCAGGTACAGCAAGCAACTAGGAAGGCTAATAGCATGTTGGCGTTTATTGCAAAAGGGTTAGAGTACAAGAGTAGGGAAGTCTTGCTGCAACTGTACAGGGCCTTGGTGAGACCGCACCTGGAGTATTGTGTGCAGTTTTGGTCTCTTTATTTAAGAAAGGACATACTCGCCTTAGAGAGGGTGCAGGGTAGATTCACTAGGTTAGTTCCTGGGATGAGGGGTTGACCTATGAGGATAAGTTGAGTAAACTAGGCCGATATTCTCTAGAATATAGAAGAATTAGTGGTGATCTTATAGAAACATATAAGCTTCTTATGGGGCTTGACAGAGTAGACAGTGTGAGACGGTTTCTCCTGCTAGGAGAATCTTTAACTAGCGGTCACAGTCTTATGATTAAGGGTCAGCCTTTTTGAACAGAGTTGAGGAAACGCTTCTTCACTCAGAGGGTAGTGAATTTATGGAATTCTCTACCCCAGAAGGCTGTAGATGCTCAGTCCTTGAACATATTCAAGACTGAGATTGATATATTTCTAAAGAGATTAAGGGATATGGGGATAAGGCGGGCAGATGGAGTTAGGTTAGAAGATCAGCCATGATCTTATTGAATGGCGGGGCAGGCTCGAGGGGCTGAATGGCCTACTCCTGCTCCTAATGCCTATGTTCCTATGCTCTCTCATGCTCTCTCTCTCACACACGCTCTCTGTCTTTCTCTGTGTCTCGCTCTGTGTCTATGTCTCTCTCTCAGTACGTGTGTGTCTCTCTCACGCTCTCTCTTTCACACACGCTCTCTGTCTTTCTCAGTGTCTCTGTGTCTCTCTCTCTCACGCGCTCCCTCTCTCTGTGTCACACAGCGCTCTGTGACCCGCCCTGTCAGAACTACGGTGTATGTGTTGCCCCCAACACGTGTGAGTGTCCTGCTGGCTATCCCAGGCCCGGCTGTTCAGGTATGTGTACCTCTTACTCTTTCTCTCACGCTTTCACATACTCTGTCTCTCACTCACACTCATTCACGCTCATCATTCATATTCTCTGTCTGTCTCTCTCTCTCACTCACACAAACTTTCTTTCTCTCTGTTTCTGTCTCTCGCTCTATCTCTCTCATACACTCATTTTCACTCTCTCTCACACTCACACACTCCCTCTCACTCTTTCACGCTCTCTCACACACTCTCACGCTCACTCAATCTCTCACTATCATACTCTCACACTCACTCGCTTACTCTGTGTCTCTCTCTCTCGCTCTCACACTCTCTCTCTCTCTCTCTCTAGCGGCGTGCTCTCCCGCATGTGGACATGGAGGAACATGTCTGCGTTTAAACACGTGTCTGTGTGTCCCTGGCTGGACTGGTCGCGGCTGCCAATCAGGTCAGTTCTCCACGGCCTCTCTCTAGAGGTGTAGTAACTGTCTTTGGGGGAGTTGGGGGGGGTAGTGACTGTCTCTGGGGGTGTAGTGACTATCTCTGCCGGTGTAACGACTGTCCCTGCTGGTGTGGTGACTGTCAATCGATGGTGTAGTGACTGTCTTTGGGGGGGGTAGTGACTGTCTCTGGTGGTGTGGCGACTGTCAATCGATGGTGTAGTGACTGTCTCTCTCTCTCTGTGTTGCCGTGCCGACACCGGAAAGCTGTATGTGAGTTGCCGTGTGCTAATGGAGGCAAGTGCACCGGCCCCAACACCTGCCAGTGTCCGTCCGACTACACCGGGGAGCAGTGTCTGACAGGTACTCTCCCCCCGCCGACCCCCACCCCTACCCCCCCCCACCCACCCGCCCTGAGTCTTCAGCGCAGAGTTAATCCGCTCACTGTCCCACACAGGGTAAATACTCTCTCTCTCTCTGTGTGTCTCGCAGCCACATGCACTCCCCCCTGCCTGAACCGAGGCAGATGTATTGATGTGAACAAATGTTTCTGCCCCAGAGGATGGCGTGGGGCCCGCTGCCAAGTTGGTGAGAACTAACCCTTGCTTGTTCGTGTCAGAGCAGTTCGTAACACTGACGGAGCCCGTCTCCGAGCCCAGGGGGGGGGGAGGAGGGAGGTGGCCGGAAGCACGGTCGGGACCTGAAAGAGGGAAGAGAGGGAGGGGGCAAGGCGGAGGGATTGAGGGAGAGTGTTCCAGAGATTTGGGGCGCAGTGGCTGAAAGCGCGAGCTCCGATGGTGGGGGAGAGGGTGCGAGGGATGAGCAGGAGACCGGTGCCAGTCGAGCAGAGGCGCCGGGTGTTGGATTGGGGAGTGAGGAGGTCGGAGAGGTAGGGGGGGGTGGGTGGGAGGGGTGCGAGGAGTTGTGTGGCTGACTCTGTGCCTGTCTCTCCCCAGAGCCGGTGGTGTGTGAGCCGGGCTGTAGGAATGGAGGCATCTGTGTCGGACACAACCGGTGTCAGTGTCAGAGCGGCTTCACCGGACCAGTGTGTCAGCACGGTGAGACCCTCCCTCACCCCCACCCCCCCAAATCCCCCTCACACCCCAGCCCCTCCGCCTGACACACCCCCAGCTCCCCCTCACACCCCAGCCCCACCCCCTCACATACCCCCAAACTCCCCTCATACCCCAGCCCCAGCCCCTCACATACCCCCAAACCCCCCTCACACCCCAGACCACCCCCACACACATCCAAGCCCCCTCCTCACACCCACTCCCAGCTCAGTCATTCTCACTCTCAGCCTGTGGATCAGTCACTCTCACTCATGTTCTATGAACACTGACGACTCTCTCTCTCTCTGTCTCTAGCTGTGGTCGAGCCCTGTGTTCCCCGATGCCAGCATGGAGCCACCTGTGGCCCCTTCAATCAGTGCCAGTGTCCAGAGGGCACAGCCGGGCACCGCTGCGAGAGACTGTGAGTCATTGTGAAAGGCAAAGTGTCACTCTCAGTGTCTGTCCTGGGAGTGACGTCTCTCTCTGTATCTCACTGTCCTGGGAGTGACCTCTCTCTCTGTATCTCACTGTCCTGGGAGTGACCTCTCTCTCTGTATCTCACTGTCCTGGGAGTGATGTCTCTCTGTATCTCAGTCTCCTGGAAGTGGCGTCTCTCTCTGTATTTCTCACTGTCCTGTCCTGGGAGTGACATCTCTCTATATCTGTGTCTCAGGACCTGTCCGATGGTCACCACTGTGGTCAGTGTGGCTCGAGCCACACGCCGGGGGGTACGAGAAAGTTATGTGGACAGGTGTGGCCCACTCGGTGTCCAACTCTGCACCAAATACAGGTACCTCCACTGTCACTATGTGTGCCTCCCTGTGTGTGTGTGCGTGTTATCTGTGTGTGTGTCTATGTCTGGCACTCTATGTGTGTGGTTAGGGTGTCTCTGAGTGACACTCTCTCAGTGATTCTCTCTCTGTCTTTCTGACACACACTCTCTCAACCACCATCTCTGGGCCAACTCTCTTAGGAATACTTTCAGTTTATGTGTCTCTCTCACGGTGACAGTCTCTGTCTCTGTGTGTGTGTCTCTCTCTGTGACTCTTATCTTGTGATGCGCTCACGCTCTCCTCTCTTACTCTCTCAGCGACTCTCATGACACTCTCTGACTCTTTCGCTGTCTCTTTCAGTAATTCACTCTCTCTCTTACTCTCATGGTGACATTCTCTCTCTTTCTCTCTCTCTCTCAGTAACGCACACTCTCCTTCTGTCTCACTCAGTAACGCACACTCTCTGTGACTCTCACAGTAACATACACTCTCTGTCTCTATTTGTTCCTCTCAGTTGACAGTCTCACTCTTTCAGTCACTCTCTCTCTCTCTCTCTGGTTCAGGATAAACCAGATGCGGGTGTATGTCCAGGCATACCTGGTAGGTTACAAGATCCAGTGTCCGATCAGAGGACGGAGCCAGCGAGCAGCGCAGCGCTGGTGGGCGAGCGAGTGAGCGAGCACGAGGTCCCTCTCGCTGTCTCTCTCACCCCCTCTGCGGAGCCGACTTGTGCCAAACACACACTCTCATCACTCTTATGTATCATTTATAATAAAGGCTTAAGGACAGCGATGTGTGGCTTGTGTGTCTGTAACTTCGCACAATCCTCCAGACTGACCCAGTGCTCCCAGGTCACGGGCAGTCATGGGAGATGGCGCAAAGCAATGCCCTTCACACACGATGGGCTGAATGGCCTCTTTCTGTGCTCTTCTATATGGTTGTAACATTGTCAGGCAGATTGTTGGCCACGACACCAGGAAAAACTCCTTCCTGTCCTCAATTAATGTCTAGGAATCTCTAATCTCCCAGTGCAAGTGAGCACCAGCACACGATGGGAAGAGAGCAGGGAACGGGATTAGAGTAGAGAGCTCCAGTGGGGAGCGAGTACCAGCACAGACACGATGGGGGAATAGTCTCCTGTGGTGGGTAGCTGTAGTTTGAGGGGTTAGTCGGGGCAGGGTTTGGGCATGAGTTGCCAGCTGATGCCCTCTGTTAATGACAACAGTTCCCTCTGTTAATACAAAACAGCATCTCACTCAAAAGTTTATCCACTGAGTAACTGTTCATCCTCTATGTCAATGATTGTCGGTGGCTGTGAGCAGCTCTGTCTAAAGTTCTGTTCTTTACCGCACAACTTTTAGTCAGAACTGGTCACAGCAACTGGCAATTCACGAGTTGAGCGAGGTTTACTTTTCAGTCTGGAATAGTCCTGTCTGTGCTCAGCTGTCCCAACTCAGCCTGGCTTAGTGAGCCTGGTGCAATCTTCCCCAGCCCAACCCAGCCACTTTCCAGCCACCCATCAGATGTCTGCTCAGTTGAACGTCATGAACCGCTCACTGTCTTACTTCAGGCAGCTGACATTGGGCAATATCAACCCATACGTGATGCAAGTCGAGGACCTCACTTTGACTCTCTTGACCAAAGCTTCTGAGATAAAGAAAGAACTTCAACAGGTCAGTGATACCGTGAGGACTGTTTCTCTCAGGGGGTGGAGGAAGCGAGATCCCAGGTGGGGCGGCGGGGGTAAGGAATTGGAGGGACAGACAGTGGGGACAATAGGAATCTTTCCACTCAGAGTCAGAGTCCGGTAGCTCAGTGGTTAGAGCACTCGCAAGCAAGCAAGAGACCTGGGCTCAATTCCCAGGCAGGGCAAAATGTTGGGCAAGTTTCCACGTTCCTTACTCCAGACGCCTCTGTTTTTCTAGCGGTAAGTAGGAACCCAGTTGTTAGTTGATTTTTCCAGGTTAGTAATCCTTGCCAAAAAAAAAATTGGTTACTTCAATCCACGACTGTTTGCGGGATACTGCTTTGTGCAATTGGCTGCCGTGTTTCGCCCACAAAATATACAGTCAATTCACTTTACACTATATTCTGTGAAGCGCTTTGAGACGACTCGAAGATGTGATGAGGCGCTATATCAAATGCAAGGATTATTGTAATTATTATTATCCTGTTAATCTTACCTTATAGATACAGTGGACCTAGTTTGGTCAAGCAAGCGGAAAGCTTGCCGGACAGTGCTCTCAATGGCAAATTAAGCAGTTTTAGCTGATTAAACTCCCTAATGTACACGCTGGGGTCCCCAAGTCTTGGATCTTGCCAACCTGTGCCTAATACTCCCTGGATTTGCGATAAACAGGGTGCGTACCTCTGGGAAGAGTCAGCACATTCCAATCCAGACACGGGGAAGTTTCCATCACTCTGGTTTGGAGGCTGGTGGAGACTTCTTAGGCACGGTCATGGGTTTCTGCACGTGCCACATGTCTGGATGACCAAAAAATAGAGCAGATCTGTACCTAAAGTCTCTATAGCTACTCGCTCCACCACCCATAACCTTTAACTCATTCAAAACTCCCCCAGTCACATTCTCACCAGCATCAACCTCCACTGATCACCGATTCCCTATCTCACTGTGGATCGGTTTCAAGGTCCTTATCCTTTCATGCCTTATCACACTCCAACCCCTTCCACCCCCATTCACTCAGTTCACTCAGACTTTCTGCATGTCCCACTACAACGTTGGAGGTGCCGTCCTTGGGTGAGATGTTAAACTGAGATCCTGTTCAGGTAGACATTAAAGATCCTGCTGCACCTTCAGGAAAGAGAGAGGAGTTTCTCTCTCCCGGTGTCCTGGCCGACAAACCCTCAGATAAACATTGATCACTCCATGGATGTTTGTGGGACATTGTTGCACGCAAGTTAGCTGCCACATTCACCTGAAAAACACAAGAGCCACTGCACTTTACAATAAAGTCTTGAGGACACGATAAGGATTTTTTTTGGAAAATACAAGGGTTATTGAAATGCTCTGTTGACAATCAATGTGCTGTGTTGACTTGCTGTGTGCTGTGTTGTCTCTGCGACCTCCTAACCTACCAACCCGCCCGCTCCCTCCGCTCAGCCGGCTCTGACCTGCTCCACGTCCCCCGACTCACCCGCCCCACCATTGGCGGGAGAGCCTTCAGCCACTCTGCCCCCAACCTCTGGAATTCCATCCTCCAATCACTCCCCCGCGCCCCCTCCTTAGCCTCCTTCAAGTCCTGCCTCAAAACCCTCTTCTTCGACCATGCCATCGGCCACCCCCCTTCCCCTCCCCTCCCCTCTCTCCCCCTGACTCCAGCTCGGGTCTGAAATGCTGTACACTGTCCAGCGCCTTGGGACGTCCTCGCAACTGAAAGGCGCTGTACAAATGTAATCTTGTGTGTGCTGTGTTGACTGTGTGCTGTGTTGTCTCTGTGTATGTGATGTGTTGATCACTGTGTGTGTGCTGTCTTGACTGTGTGTGTGTGTGTGTGTGTGTGCAGTGTTGACTGTGTGCTGTGTTGTCGGTGTGTGTGTGTGCTGTATTAATTGCTGTGTGCTTGTTGTCTGTGTGTGTTCTGTGTTAATCGCTGTTGCTGTGTTGTCTGTGTGTGTGTGCTGTGTTGTCTGTCTGTATGTGTGTGTGTGCCGTTTGCTGTTTTAATCGCTGTGTTGTCTGTGTGTGTGTGTGTGCTGTGTTAATCGCTGTGTGCTGTGTTCTTTGTGTGTGTGTGTGTGCTGTGTTAATCGCTGTGTGTTGTGTGTGAGTATTTGCTGTGTTAATTGCTGTGTGTGTGTGTGAGTGTGTGCTGTGTTAATCACTGTGTGTGTATGTGTGCTGTGTTAATTGCTGTGTGTATGTGTGTATGTGCTGTGTTAATCGCTGTGTTGTCTGTGTGTGTATGTGTGTGTGTGTATGTGCTGTGTTAATCGCTGTGTTGTCTGTGTGTGTATGTGTGTGTGTGTGTGTGTGCTGTGTTAATCGCTGTGTGTGTGTGTGTATGTGTTGTGTTAATCGCTGTGTTGTCTGTGTGTGTATGTGTGTGTGTGTGTGTGTGTGTGCTGTGTTAATCGCTGTGTGTGTGTGTATGTGTTGTGTTAATCGCTGTGTTGTCTGTGTGTGTATGTGTGTGTGTGTGTGTGTGTGCGTGCTGTGTTAATCGCTGTGTTGTCTGTGTGTGCGTGTGCGTGCTGTGTTAATCGCTGTGTTGTCTGTGTGTGTGTGTGTGCGTGTGCGTGCTGTGTTAATCGCTGTGTTGTCTGTGTGTGTGTGTGCGTGTGCGTGCTGTGTTAATCGCTGTGTTGTCTGTGTGTGCGTGTGCGTGCTGTGTTAATCGCTGTGTTGTCTGTGTGTGTGTGTGTGCGTGTGCGTGCTGTGTTAATCGCTGTGTTGTCTGTGTGTGTGCGTGTGTGCGTGTGCGTGCTGTGTTAATCGCTGTGTGCTGTGTTACAGGGAGTGAAGAAACCATTCACCAAGGTGGTGGAGTGCCATTGGGGTGATGCCCAGGCCTTGGGCCAGAAACCAATCACCTTCCTCCGCCAGGTGAGAGCCAGTCACAACCCTCCTCCCACCGGTATTCCGAGGCACTCCACGTGACAGGAATGCGTAAGGGTTGTCGTGAAGTGCCGGACGTGTGTAACTGTGAGTTGGTGTGAATTGCACTATGTGCCAGGCGTGTGTATAAGCGTGAGTTGTCTTTGCGCAGGTGATGGCTGTTTGCACATTCCCAGAGCTCCAGCACGATGCCAGTATCCCTGAGGACGCCAAACACAGAGCAAAAAAGATCCTGGAGTCTTGTGATGGTGGGAGTATCGGTGAGTACGGGGGTGGGGGGAGAAGGATCGGTGTGTGTGGGGGTGGGAGTGTTGGTCTCTTTGGATCTGCAGTATGGTCTATTAGTCTACCCCAGCTCGGGTGTAAACCCTTCACTGTCCAGTGCCTTGGGACATCCTTCCTTTATGTGGAAGGCGCTATTTAAATGTAATTTGTTGATGTAGTGTCTATTGGTCTACAGCTCAACTGATTCTGCTCAACTGGCTCCGGCCTCTGCTTGTCCCTCTTACCCTCCCTCCGCTCCATCATTGGTGGCCGTACTTTCAGCCACTACGCCTCGAAACTTTGGAACACTCTTCCTCTCTCCCTCCGCCTTACCCCTTCCTTCCCCATTTTCAGGTCGCGCCTGAAGACCTTCCTATTCAACAGTGCCAATGGTCACCTCCCTGTCCCTGGTCTACAGTAATTTCTTTGAGTATATTTCAGTCACTATGTTAAAGTGCTCCTCTCTGTATCTAAGGCGCCTACAACCATTCTCAGAGTTTGACTTACATTCAGAGGAAGTTGGCCAAGTACATCGAGAGGAGAGATGGTGGTGTGGCTTCACATCCACACCACATTTACATAATGAATGGAACCTCAACATGTATCACAGTACGTAATCCGCAATGTTACCCACACTCCCCGTAGACCCCACCAAAGCTCCCGCTTTCCGTGTTTCTTCCTCTTACTGGGCAATTGGCTTTTGGTCATCTGACACACATAGAATCGCATCACCGCGATAAGCCGGGTATCTGACACATAGAGAATCCCATCACCGTGATCAGCCGGGCGTCTGACACACAGAGAATCCCATCTCGGTGATCAGCTGAGTGTTTGACACGCGCAGAAACCCGTCAGCATGATTAGCTGGGTTTCTGACACATGTAGAAACCCATCTCCGTGATCAGCCAGGAGTTTGATACACATGGACACCCATCACCATGTTTAGGAATCTCAAAGTTAGATTTGTTCTATGCATGTCACCTATAAATGGAGATTCCCATGTATTGGAATGGAATGCTCTCTCCCCAGAGGGACGTATCCTATTATCTAATTCCAGAGAGGGATTAGGCGCAGGTTGGCAAGAGCCAAGGCTTGGGGGCTGCAGAGTGTGCATTGGGATAACTTCTGGAGTCTAACCAGCTAAAACCGCACATCTTGCCATTGTCTGGCCGGCTTTCCCACTGCTTGTCCAGCTAGGACCACCTGATCCGCTAAGGCTTTGGTTTGAAGGGTTAACAGGAGCTGAGTGGGAAGAGTCCGTGCTCCCCAGTGACTGGTCTGCTCTCTTTCAAGTCCTATCTACGAGCCAGGATGGGCTGGGCTGTTACCTGCAGTGCACTGGAATACTGTGGACCCGCCTGGCTCAGGAACCGGACTAGAGACCACCGCAGAAGGCGGGCATGATTCTGACATTCTGCTGCCTTGAAGCCAGTTCAGCCCCGAGGAGACCCCGCTTACCTCCCCCCCAAGGAAGATAGTACCAGATGGTCATTTGACATCCGAGAAGTGCAGGTCTGTGTTATTAAAGAGGTTCTGCTCTGCTCTGCTCCTCAGATAATGATGAATATGTTGATCACAGGGGAGGGGGCCTGCCGGACAGGGCTGCTCACCCCCAGCCCCCAATTCCCCAGCTTTGCTAGTATCATTAGCTTGCTGGATGGGGTGCACGTGAAATACTTGTTGAATGAGGAGCGAGGCTGGACGCTGGAGATTCCCGAACTGCAGCGGGCTCTGACCCAGGCCAGGACCCACTGTAACCCGTTGGTACTGTCCGTCATTAACCCTCACAACCCCACAGGTAACAGCTCCTCATTAACCCCGCAACCATTAACCCTACAATACACAATACAATACAAAATTACACTTGTAGAAGCCACTCATGTCGGGAGGATGACCCGAGGCGCTGGACCCAAACGGGGGCGGGGGTTTGGGATAAGGGTAGGGGGAGGGTAGGTGGTAGGGTGGCCGAAGGCACGGTCGAAGAGGACGGTCTTGCAACGTGCTTCGAAGGAGGTAAGGGAGGGAGCAAAGTGTGGGGGCAGTCAGACTGAAGGCGGGCCGGCCCGGTGGGAGACGTGCAGCAGGCTGAAGCACGCTGAGCAGAGGGAGCAGATAGGTTGATAAGGGTAGGAAGGTCACAGAGGTAGGGAGGGGCAAGGTCATGGAGGGCCTTGAAGGTGAGGACGAGGATTTTGAACTCTATCCTCTGAGGGACGGGGAGCCAGTGCAGCTTGGCGAGGGTGGGAGTGATGGGGTCATGGAGCCTGGTGCAGGAGAGGACACGAGCTGCAGAGCTCTGAATAATCTGCAGTTTGTGGAGGGAGGAATTCGGAAGGCTGACAAGCAGGGAGTTGGCATAGCTGAGCCTTGATGTAATGAATGCATGAATGAGGGTTTCAGCGGCCTGAAGGGTGAGGCAGTGGCACTGCCTGGCGATGTTGCAAAGGTGGAGGAGGGCAGAGCGGGTGTGGGGGAATAAGGACAGTTGAGGGTGAAACAAGACCCCTAGGTTCCTGACCACAGATAATACAGTGCATCATTAACCCTGACAACTCCAAAGGTACCAGCGTCTCATTAATCCCTCCGTAACCCCATAGGTATTTTCGCCCACAAAATATACAGTTAATTCACTTTACAGTATACGCCATATCAAATGCAAGGATTACTGTTATTAGGTAACAGCGCCTCATTAACCCCCTCAATCCCTCAGGTAACACAGTGTATCATTAATCCCTGCAAACCCACCGGTAATATTAATTCTCACTCTCTCTCTGGATCCCTATTCTCTAAATGTCTCTCGCTCTCTGGATCTTGTTCTTCTCTGATTGACTTCTGTCTGAATTTCTCCGGCAGGACATGTGATGACCAGGAAAACAATTGAAGATGTGATTAAATTTGCTGCCAAAGAGAAACTCTTCCTGTTGGTTGATGAGGTGATGTGGTTGCCTTGGCTCCCAGGGTTGGGCGGGGGGAATTGGGGGGAATTGGGGGTAGCTGGGAAGAGGTGGGGAAGGGGAGGAGGAGCTTATCGAATACATACATGTTAAGACCAACAGGCTGGCGTGCTCCACATAGAATCATAGAATTATACAGCACAGAAGGAGGCCATTCGGCCCATCGTATCTGTATCGGCTCTGAAAGAGCCATCCAAATCAATCCCACTCCCCCTCTCTCTCCCCAATAGCCCTGCAAATTTGTCCTCCCCCAAATGTCTATCAACTTCTCTCTTGAAAGTTATCGAATCGGCTTCCGCCATCTTGTCAAGCAATGCATTCCAGATTCGAACAACGTGACAAAAGGGTTTGTGCCACGTGAGTGCCCTAATGTGACAGCCCAGACTGTCTCCGTCTCACTCCCCATCCAACCTGCACAAAGAGATCCTTTTCATGTCAATCCGAAAGTGCGGTGTCTCCGTCTCCGCTGGCGAGTTACTCTGACCCCTTCCCTCTCTCTCTCTCTCTCTCTGGGGCCCAGGTCTATCAGGACAATGTGTACTCCGAGGACTGTCAGTTCCACTCCTTCAAGAAGGTGTTGTTTGAGATGGGACCTGAGTACTCAGGCACGGTGGAGCTGGCCTCCTTATCCTCCATGTCCAAGGGCTACATGGGCGAGTGAGTGTCTGCACATCATGGACAGTGGCGTGGGGGGGGGGAGGGGAGGGGTGTGAGGGGGGCTATACAAATGCAAGTTGTTGTTGTTGTTACAGGTGTGTTGTGTGTGACACTGACGGTGTGTGTTACAGGTGTGTTGTGTGTGACACTGACGGTGTGTGTTACAGGTGTGTTGTGTGTGACACTGACGGTGTGTGTTCCAGGTGTGTTGTGTGTGACACTGACGGTGTGTGTTCCAGGTGTGTTGTGTGTGACACTGACGGTGTGTGTTACAGGTGTGTTGTGTGTGACACTGACGGTGTGTGTTCCAGGTGTGTTGTGTGTGACACTGACGGTGTGTGTTACAGGTGTGTTGTGTGTGACACTGACGGTGTATGTTACAGGTGTGTTGTGTAACACTGTGGGTGTGTATCACAGGTGTGGTGTGTGTGACACTGACTGTGTGTGTTACAGATGTGTTGTGTGTGACACTGACGGTGTGTGTTACAGGTGTGTTGTGTGTGACACTGACGGTGTGTGTTCCAGGTGTGTTGTGTGTGACACTGACGGTGTGTGTTACAGGTGTGGGATACGGAGCAGTTTCATGGAGGTTGTGAACCTGGATTCCGAGGTCCAGACAGTTCTCGATTGCATTTCCTCCATTTCCGACTGCTCCATCTACGCTCAGATTGTCATCGATGTGTTTGCAGACCCACCGCAGCCCGGAGACCCATCCTACCAGCTCTTCATCATGGTCAGACCCTCACCCACTCCCTCACCCACCTCCTCGCCACCTCACACACCCCCTCTCACCCCCTCGCACACCCCTTCACCCACCCGCTCTCACCCCCTCATTCAACCCCACACTCACCCTTCACCCAACCCCTCACTCACCCCCTCAGTCACCCCCTCACCCACCCCATCACTCTCCCCCTTACCCATCCCCTCACTCACTCCCTCACTCACCTCCTCACTCACTTCCTCACCGACCCCTCAGCCAGCCCCTCACCCAACTCCTTACCCACCCCCTCATCCACCCCCTCACTCACCCCCCTCACGCACCCCCTCTCACTCTCCCACCCCCTTAACCTCCCACCTCCTCACTAAACCCTCACCCTCCCATCCCATCACCCCCGTCACTCATCCCTCACCCTCCCACTGTTTGGTGAAAATGAATTGGCCTGTTCTCTTGCCCTAGGAGAAGGAGGCTATTCGCAGGCGCCAGGCTGATCATGCTCTCCTTATTGAGACCATCCTGAACTCTGAAGTGGGGATATACTGCTGCCCCATCCAGGGCGGTGTGTTCGCTTATCCCAGGATCCACATCCCACCCAAGGCCCTGGAGGCCGCACAGGTCGGCCTCTCCCACCTCAGCTATTACATTGGGGGTGGGGGTGAACTAGGGTTCGGGTGCAGTTTGGTTGGGTGGGGTGATGGTATGTGACGTCTAATGTGCATACGCGGGTGGGGGAGATGATCGTTTGTCTGTGTGTGTGTGTGGGAGGGGGGGTGAGGGCAGGGCAGGGCGGCGGGGGGGTGGTGGGGGGTTTGATGATATTTGGAAACTGGGGCTTGTAAGTGAGGAGCTGCCAACACTCTTCTAGTTTCTGAGCACAATGATTGTTCTTTTCCCCCACCCACCCCGGTGCAGGTTTTGAACCAAGAAGCGGATGTCTTTTACTGCACACGGCTGCTGGAGGAGACAGGAATCCTGGTGCTAGCAGGGAGTTACCTGTCCCAGAGACCCGGGACTCACTACATCAGGTATTACATCTCACATCTCACCGTGATTCGCTCCTCAAAAAGTCCCTCAGAATCTGTGGAGTCCCGTAGTGCAGTGGTTAGAGAGCTCACCTCGCAAGCGAGAGGACCTGGGTTTGATTCCCGGCCAGAGCAAAAACCTTACGCAACTTTCCTTACTCCACACGCCTCTGTTTACCTCGCAGTAAGTAGGAACCTGGTTGTGAGTCAACTGCCAAATTACTTTGCGGGGGAAATAATCCCTCTCCAGAAAAAAACAATTTGGTTACTCAATCCACCACTGTTTGTGGGCCACTGCTCTGCGCAATTGGCTGCCGCGTCTCACCCACCAAATAGTCACTCCACTTGGTAGTATATCCGGTGAAGCACTTTTTTGAGACATCTCAACAACATAAGGCCTTATATCAAATGCAAGGATTATTATTATTATTAAAATCCCTCAGCACTGCTCAAAATCGCTGGCATGTGAAGCGACTGAGTGTTCATAGGCCAACAAGGAAACCAATTTGCACTCATGAAACTCTCCCACACATATTCAGCCATGACTCTTGAAATCAGATCAGGAAATGTTTTCTCACACGCAAAGAGGTGCTGTGAATGTGTGAGACACGGCCCAGAAAGCTGAAAGATCAGATGAGTAGACACTTGGGACTTGAATGGATTAGATTAGGTGCGTGAGGGAGATTGATAACAATTTGCATTTATAGAGCCCTTTACAACAAAGGCAACTTGGATTTATATAGCGCCCTCCACGCAGGACGGCGTCTCAGAGCGCTTCGAACGTTGCGCGTCAGAGTGATTAATTGCTAGTTGGGAAGATAAGATTAAACGGGTGGGTGGGTGGGTGGGTGGGGGGGAAGAGGAAGGCGGTTGAAGACGACTTGGGAAGTGACAGGATTTGAATTGAGGTGTGAGAGGGAGATGGAAAGAGACTTGGGAAATAAGTGGATCGAGTGAGTGCGGAGAAATGGGATTCAAATATCTGCAATGATCTAAACGAGGGAAGCAGGCTGGACTGTAACAGACTGGCCGGGGCTGAGTGACCTCCTCCTGCACGTTTCTCTCTGCGTGCTACAGGCTGACCCTGCTCCTGGAGACGGAGATGCTGAGGAAGATTCTGAGAACCATCACCCAGTTTCATCGCCGCTTCACGTCAGCTTTCTCCTGAGAGACAGGGAACACGTCAGCCCCTCCCCACCCACCTCCTCGTCGGCGGTTGACTGACTGACTGACTGACTCACACACAAACTCTCGCTTGTTCGAACAGATTGTGAAATGACAACTCGAGTGATGTGATGTGGAGAAGGTGACTTGATTTTATCAGACATTAAAAAAAAATAGTCAATCAACAAGACACAGTCGTGAGTAGAATTTTAGAGAAATTGCTGAACTGTCAGTAGACTGGTATCGTACCGTTTGTCTCTCCCACCCCTCTTTCCATCCGCTCACTCCGTCCATCCCTCGATCGCTTCGGTTCCAGTAAAAGGCACATGAGGTTCACAGTGATGAGTTATTGCTCAGAGAGACGAGACTTGGCGCTCATCTTTCCCCCTGTGTGTGTGCGATTACGAGAGGGGCTGGGGGGTCCAAGAGACAAGCAACCAGAAATCTTACAACAAAATCATCCAGAAATCCACGTGTAGATTACGTGACAATTCTATTGTATAATACATTATATTAAGACTATTACAAAACATTCTCCCAGCGATATCATCTGCCCAGGATCGGCCGATGAAATCGCAAGAACTATTGCACTTGAAGGATTTAAGATTCTAAGTGAATGAGGTTAGTGAGTGTGAGGTGAGCTTCTCATCTTTCCTCCTCTCTCTCCGGGTTCTCTCCATCTTTCTTTCTTGCCGTCGCCACCCCAGGCCATATACCATTCCCCCTCCCCCCCACCCCAATCACATCGCATTTCCCAGCTCTGATCCCTAATTTTTTTTTTAATTTACTTTGATCAAAGTCCGTGCGTGTTAGTTGTGTATGTTGGCACATACGTGTGGTGTGTGCGTGTGCGTTGTGAGTGCGTGTGTTTCTGTCGGTCTGTCCTGATGCGGTGTGAGCAGCAGATAGTTCAGGAAAACTCTTCAATGAACCTCTGGTGAAATCCCTTAATATTTTCCAAAACAGTCTTGAGTTTTTCCAAGGGAGGTAGAATGGTCATCCTGGAGACAAGACAGGAGATAAAGTCAGATCACAACAGACATAAGTGCCCGACCCCTCGGCTCAACCGCTCAAACTCGTCAGAAGAAGGGTGTGGGCTTGAGCTCCACTTTAGGGTCTTTATGTTCACAGTCTGAGGCCCTTTCACTCCACGAGGTTCTGTCTGCCTGTTCAGGTGGGCGTTAAAGATCCTATGGCGCTATTTGAAAAGAGAAGGGAGTTTCTCTCTCCCAGTCGACAATTCCCCATTTAAAATTGGTGACTCACTCCATGGCTGTTTGTGGGACACTGGTGTGCACAATTGTGCTACTTGGTTTGCCCACAACTACACAGTCAATCCACTTTACAGTAAATCCTGTGAAGAGCTTTGAGACGTCCTTCTGACATGATAAGGCGTTACACCAAATGCAAGGATTATTATTATTATTGTCTGCCCACAAGCCCAGTCACCGCACTGCAAACTGACTCGAGACCCGAAACCGAGAGGTGTGTGTGTGTGTGTGTGTCAGTGCAAACACAGACCTACCTGAAGTGATAGGTTCCTTCTCTCTGGCCAAACCCGCTGCCGGGCACCACACAGATGCCCATCTCCTCCAACAGCTTCATACAGTAAAACATGTCGGGAGCTTGTCCAGCGGCCTACAGAGAGAGAGCACCGTCACATCACACGCTAACACAACTGCAGCAGCCACCTGTCTGCCCACCTGCCCTGCAGTGCCCGACAACGCACCTTCCCCCACGTTCGCGTCGGCGTGCGCACGCGAGGAGAGCGGGGTTCAGCCTGGGCTGACGTACCTGAGCTGCCTGCACGGCTCTGGGGGGGAGCTGGATGCGAGGGAAGGTGTACATGGCTCCCTGCACGGGGTTACATTGGAATCCCGGAATCGAGTTAAACATCTGCTCCGACAGATGAGCTTTCTCCGCCAGAGCACTCAGCACCTGCTGCTTCTCCTAGGGAGTCAGGGGGCAAGAGGGGAAGGAGGGTGAGGGGGGGGGGGAAACACAGGATACAGTCAGTCACACCACAAACACCTGCCCACCCTCCACACACCCCCAACACACAACGCGAGAGACAGAATGAGGTCAGTCACAGATTGCACACGCACACCCATGGGAGTCAGGGGACAACACGGTACAGTCAGTCACACTGTAAACACACTACGAAGACACAGAATACAGTCAGTCGCACCATGCACACACACATTTTCTCCGCGCGCGCGCACACACACACGCACACGAGTCAGGGGGCGACACAGGATAGGCAGTCAACCACATTGTAAACATCCTCCCACACACACATATTCCCGAACACGTAAGCACCCACCTCCCACCCCAGCATGTGCACACACACGCATAACCCTTGCACACACCGTCACGCACACACCACCACCACCCCCCCCCTGACCTGGATGAAGTTTTCGTGGGAGGGGTCCCCAGGCTGGGGGGGGTCTGTGATGAGGTCGATGACGGCCTGGCCGGTCACAGGAGGGCAGAGCCGCACAGACACCAGCTTCACCAGCTGGGCCTTCACCTCGGGGTCCATGTTCACCAGCTCCATGTAACCGGCGCGGAAACCACACCTGTACACACCGTGTGTTAGCCCCTCACTTACAGGGCACTAATCCCACCCACCCCCCTCCCCACACACACACACACACACACACACAGCCTGTAACTGTCCACGAACAAAAACAGAGGTCGCTGGGAACACTCAGCAGGTCAGGCAGCATCTATGGAGAAAGGAAAGTGAGTCAACGTTTCAGGTCCACGACCCTTCGTCAGAAAGTGGACCCACTTTCGTCTCTCCATAGATGCTGCCTGACCTGCTGAGTGTTCCCAGGTCTCTCTCTTTTTGTTTTAGATTTCTCTGCATCTGCAGTATTTTGTGTCTGTAACTGTCTGTCCAGTGCCTTGGGACGTCCTCCCGATGTGAAAGGCCCTTCGTAAACGTAATTTTGTTGTTGTTGTTGTTGTACACCACCCGCCCCACCCCACACAGCCTGTTACACACACCCTCCGTCCCCGTGTACGCCACTGTCCATGACGTGCAGACACTCACTCGCCCATGTAGCCCTTGGAGATGGAGTGGAAGGAGGCCAGCTCCACCGTGTCTGAGTACTCAGGTCCCATCTCAAACAGCACCTTCTTGAAGGAGTGGAACTGACATCCCTCAGCGTACACATTGTCCTGATAGACCTGGGCCCCAGAGAGAGAGAGAGAGAGAGAGAGAGATGGGTGTCAGTGTCAGAGGGTCAGCACAATGCCTCCGAGAGGGTGGGGTGACGTAGCTTCAACCGCAGCTGTTCCCCCCACCACACCCAACTGCCCCCCCTCCCCCCTCTCCCAACTTCCCCCTCCCCACCACGCACAACTACTCCCCCCTCTCCCCCCACCGCTCGAGTCCCACCTCATCGGCCATCAGTAGCAGGTTCTCCTCAGCTGCGAATCGGATCACATCTTCAACACACTTCCGGCACTGGACCTGTCCTACAGGAAGTGACCACAGGTTACAAAATCCATCCTTTCCTCAACCACATCCCACCCCCCCCCCACCCCCACCCCTCCCCCAGTCTCCCTTAACACTGTCCGTCCACACTCCCAGGTCAGGGTTAGAGACAGAGTAAAGCTCTCCCTACACTGTCCATCCCAGGTCAGGGTTAGAGACAGAGTAAAGCTCTCCCTGTCCATCCCAGGTCAGGGTTAGAGACACAGTAAAGCTCCCTCTACACTGTCCATCCACACTCCCAGGTCAGTGACAGCACAGGTTGGAGATGGTGTGAGGCTCGCTAACCTGTGGGGTTGCCGGGGTTGATCACACACAGGACACGGGGGTAGCAGCGTTTGCGAGCCTCATTCAGTGATCTGCGGAGCTCAGGCACGTTCAGGGCCCAGGCGTTGTCCTCGTCCAGGTAGTAGTTGACCTGCACAGCAGCGAGCTCCGAGATGGCCGCGGAGTACAGCGGGTACTGGGGGATCGGGATCATCACCCCCGTCCGGCAGCGACCGTGACCGCTCACCAACAGCTTCATGATTGTCTGTACAGAGACAGAGCGAGAGAGAGAGAGAGAGAGAATGTGTGACAGTGCATGTTTCTGAGAGAGTGAAGAGAGAGAGAGAGAGGGAGATAGAGAGAGAGCGAGTGAGTGAAAGAGAGAGAGAGTTAGAGTGCTTGAGAGTGAATGAGAGCGAGAGAGAGTGTCTGAGAGAGTGAAAGAGTGGGATAGAGAGTCAGAGTGTGTTAGAGACAGTGATTTAGAGTGTGAGAGAGAGTGAAAGAGTGTGAGAGGGAGAGAGAGAGAGAGCATTGAGTTAAGAGTACAAGACAGCGTGCGTGTGTGTGTGTGTGTGTGAGAGAGAGAGTGAGAGAGAGATGGTCTCTGATTCTCTCTGATGACCATTTTTTGGCACTAGCCACCGTCCCATCACAGGGTTAACATCCATGACACTTTCTGGAAGTTCCCACTGCCAGAAAGTGATTGCCAAGCTCAAAACAGAGCTGAGCATTAGTGTGTGGGAGCTTCTGTGCCAGAGTCTACAATCCGCACTGATTGGTATGCAAAGAGGTAAGCAACTGCTGCTCAAACTCCACACCTCCAATTAGTGGAACCGTTGCTCAAATGGAAAGGATATGGGTCTGCGCTGCGGGCAAGAAGATGGTGGCAAAGCTCTCACGTTTCATGGCTACGTGGCTCACTACGGAGCTCGCGGGGAGTTCCTGGTACCTGCCATCCACCTAGTGAGGACTTAACCCTGCGCTTGTCAGATCTCAGAGGACCAACTCGTGACCGTCTTCCTTGTGGGGAAATTAAGCAACGTCTCCTTGGAGCTGAACTGGCTCTAAGGTCACATACTTGGCAATGGAACTTCAGAATTGAGCCAGTCCTCTGTGGCAGTCTCTAGTCCGGTTCCTGAGCCAGGTGCATACACAGTGTTCCAGGGCACCGCTGATGACAGCAACAGCCCGGCCTGGCTCATCGGTAGGACCTGGAAGGGCAAACCAATCACTGGGGGCAGGGAATCCTCCCACTCAGCTCCTGTTAACCCGCAAGGCAAAGCCCTAACGGGTAGAGCGGTCCTAGCTGGACAAGCAGCGGGACAGCGTGCCAGACAGCGCTATCAATGGCAAGCCACGCGGGTTTAGCTGGTGAGACTCCAGCAACCCACAAGGAAGGAGCAAGGAAATAGGCCTAAGGTTTTGCCCCGCCCGGGAATCAAACCTGGAACCTCTCCCTTGCGCGGCCAGTGCGCTAACCACTACGCTACGCGACTCCTTAAGTCACACGTGGGGCAGAGTCTGAGACAGGAAGGAAGGGGTTAGTGGTTGCAGGCTGCGTTCTCACAATCTCGGCGTCTCATGTGAAAGATGATACGTGTCATTGTCCTCATTTTGGCAATGGGGAGATGTGAGAAATTAACACCCACATACACATCCTGTGTAAGTTCCTTCCACCCCACCCCCAACCCACCCCATTCAGAAATTGAGCAGAGGGTCCCGGGAGACCTGTGCGTTACCCACCACAATGCCATCGCTCGCTCCTGTGGTGAGGAAGATGGTCTCGGGGTCAGACGGGATGCCACCATCACGGGTCTCGATGTATTTGGCCACTTTCTTGCGGATGCGGTCGATGCCCTGACTCATGGAATAGGCACCTAGAGACCGTCACACAGATATCAGAGACATCTCACACACACACACACACACACACACACACAACTACATACAGACACCACCCCCACCCGCACATATACACAATCCCCCATCCCACACACACACACGCATACATACACAATACCCTCTCTCACACACACACACACAACACCCATCCCCACACACACACACACCACCCCACCCCGCACATATACACAATCCTCCCCCCACACACATACACACTACACACGCGCATACATACACAATACCCTCTCTCTCACACACACACACAACACCCACCCTCACACACACACATATGCAAATCCCCTCCTCCCCCCCCTCCCCCCCCCCCCCACACACACTCTCTTCCCCCCCCTCCCCCAGGCCGTGCCATACCCAGACTGCCGCCATTGCAGCCCTGTAGGAGGTAGCGAGCTCTCTGCTTGGCGTCCTCCGGCATCATGTCTGAATTCAGCAACTCAGGATAGGCGCAGATCGCAACCACCTAGGGCCAGGCAAGAGGTGGGGGCTGAGTACAGGCTAACAACAACAACAATCATTTGGCTCGGTCACGCGGGGCAGCATCTCGAAGCGTCTAAATAAACACGGGTTAATAGGGTGGGCTCACTACAGGGAGGAAGAGGAAGGACAGGTCGCGAGCAAAATTGGGAGAGACTGTAGGGGTGGGCAGAGAGGTGGCAAATGCAGTTCGATGTTGAAGAGTGACAAACAGATTGAAAAAGCAAGGAGAAAGGAGATCTTCCACGGGAGGGGGGTTGTTGAGGGGTTGCTGGGCTCTGTACCTGCCGGATGAAGGTGATGGGCTTCTGGCCCATGGCATGGGCGTCCCCAATATTGGCCCGGATGACCTCTTTGAATGGCTTGACCACACCCTGTGGAAAGAGAGATCAGAAGTCACCAGATCAGAAAGCAACAACATTAGCTCCAGAACAATTTTAATAATTAACAATAATAATCCTTGCATTTGATATAATTCCATATCATGTCATTGAGACGTCTCAAAGCGTTGGTTTGACGTCTCATTCAAAGGAATGAACAAAAAAAAAGCATTCACACAGTGAGGACACAAGACTTTCGATGGGCTGGTCATGATCTCCGACACAGGACTCGAACCAAGTCTGATAGTTCAATGCAGTGTCTGGCACAGTAATAATACTACTACTACTATGTAGTGTCAAAGAACTTCACAGGATCTACTGTAAAGTGATGGTTATGTGAATTTTGTGGACGAACTTGGCAACCAATTTGCCCACAACACCGTCCCCCAAACAGCTATGGATTGAGTGACCGATTTTATCTGGAAGACATTTGGTTAGGTCACAGGGAGAAACTCCCTTCTCTTTTCCAATAGCCCCTTGGGATCCTTAACGACAACCTGAACAGGCACAGGCGACACCTCAGTTGAAGGTCTCATCAGAAGGATGGAGTCTCTACAGTGTAGCGCTCCCCACAATACTGCATGGAGTGTCAGTCAAGATTATGAGTTCAAAGGCTCTGACGTGGAGCTTGAACCCACAGACATAATAATAATATTCCTTGAATTTGATATAGCGCCTTATCACGGCTTTGAGACATCTCAAAGCATTTCACAGAACTTACAGTAAAGTGAATTGACTATATTTTGGGGGTGAAACGCTACAGGCAATTGTGTACAGCAGTGTCCCACAAACAGTTGTGGATTGAGTCAACAAATTATTATCATTATTTTTTCATAGCATCGAGTGGATTTTAAATGAGTCCTGTGTCCTGGCCTCAGCCAGTCTTTCTGGTAACCTGTTCCAGTCGTTGATTACCCTCTAAGTAAAGAAAAAATTTCCCGGTCTCTGTCCTGAAATTGCCCTTTACAAATCTAAAGCCGTGACCTAAAGTATTGATGTGGATTTACTTTTTCAGCCTCATTTAAAAGTTTATACACCTCCCTCTGAATTTCCTCTCACCTGAATGAAGAGCCCTAGCTTGTCTAATCAAAGTAATGTCCTGACATTACCCTGCATGAAGGGCACTGTATAAAGTTGTTGTTGTAATTGTTACTCGTAGCTCATTCCTCTAACACTGGGGATCATTCTTGTTACTCAACTATCCTCCTTGGAAGGGCAGTCCGATCATTGGAGGCAGGCAATCCTCCCACTGAGCTCCTGTTAACCCTGTTAAAAGGATTAACATTCGTATTCCATTCCAACAATCTATCACTGGGATTTCCATGTGTAGGTGGGAGGTATGCAATTGTGGAGTCCTGTAGCTCAGTGGTTAGAGCACTCGCCTTGCAAGTGAGAGACCTGGGTTCAATTCCAGGCAGAGGGCGAAACCTCGGGCAAGTTTCCTTACTCAGCACACCTAATAATAATCCCTCCAAAACAAAACAATAATAAATTGGTCATTTTCAATCCACGGCTGTTTTTGGGACACTGCTGTGCGCAATTGGCTGCTGTGTTCGCCCACAAATATACAGTCAATTCACTTTACAGTCTATTCTGTGAAGCGCTTTGTGACGGCGAGAAGATGTGAAAAGCGCTATATCAAATGCAAGGATTATTATTATTATTATTATTATCAGTTTGGCCTAGAGACTCTTAAGCACAATGATATGTTCAGTCAGACACCTGGCTGACCCCCAAAGAAATCTGAAACCTAGTTGCTCTCCTCTGCAGTGTCTTGGAATGTCCTCCCGATGTGAAAGGCACACTGTGCAAATATAATTTGTTGTTGTAAACCTGGGCCCCTTGGGTCAAAGTGATGAGATTCTTGCTTTATATCTAACCAAACTAACCAAATTGCCCTAAATTCCATACCGGTTGCCAGAAGCTTCTCATGTGGAACGCATAAATGGCTCCTTTCTCTCTGCTCTGTTATTCCGATCAGGTTCATCAAGCACGAATGGCCTATTCAGCAAACCCTGCTGACTGGCCCAGATAAACTCGTTGTTCTCCATGTGCTTACCCCTTTCGCCCCTGTTATGTCACATTATTATAATAATAATAATAATCCTTGCGCTTGATATAACACCTAATCACGGCGTAGAGACGTCTCAAAGCGCTTCACAGAATATCACAGTAAATCGAAGCGTGTGGAGTAAGGAAACGTGCCTAAGATTTTACCCCGACCGGAAATCAAACCCGGGGACCTCTCGCTTGCAAGACCGGTACACTCACTAACCACTGTGCTATGGGACTCAGCATCACCAACAACTGAGCTAAGAGCAACAGACACCGATTTCCTGCCTTCCCCATCTCTGTTTTAGATGTCCGCTCGGAATTTTTATACGTATCCTGACACCAACCATTCTTCCTGGTTTGAATCCAGCTCACACATAACAAGCCGCATTTGGGGCTCACATGTTGAAATGTCCATGTGTCTGGAATAGAATGTGCATTCCTCTCCCTGGACGGGATCTCAGTCTCAGACCAGACACAATCACTGAGCTAGTCTGACAGGGTCTTTGAAGAGGAACATCCAGTTGAACGTGTAGTTGGGACCTGCAGTTTAACATCTCATCCGAAGCGTGGCACCTTTGACAAGGCTGCGCTCGCCTCTCCCTAGCATTACACTGGAGTGTCAGCATGGACTGTGAGCTCAAAGTGCCAGCAGATATCTTGAAGCCACAATCTTACAGATCTAGAGGTTACTCAGACCAGACATGATCACTGAGCCAGCCTGACAGAATGTTTGGAGAGAAACTATCAGAAGACAACATCAAAGCCAGAGACACTAATCACCATCATGATTAGTGTCTCCTCATTAAGAGTAATTAGTCCATACTCCAGGGCAGTGGGGGATGGGGTGGCTGCATTGTCAGATGTGGCTGTTCAGGCGGATGTTAAAGATCCAACAACACTATTGGGAGGAAAAAAATAATAATAATAATCCGTGCATTTGATACAGAGCGTCTTTCACCTTGTCTCGACATCTTAACGCGCTTCACAGGATATATTGTATAAGTGTAAGTGTTTTTTGACTGTGTATTTCCTGAACAAAATATGCCAGCCAGTTGCACACCGCAATGTCCCACAAACAGCCAAGAAGTGAATGACCAATTTTATCTGAGGGATTGTTGGCTGGGACACTGGAAGAGAGAAACTCCTGTTTATTTTCGAATAGAGTCATGGGATCTTTAACATCCACCTGAACAGGCACAGACTGGATCTCGGTTTAATGTCTCATCCGAAGGATGTCACCTCTGACAATGCAACACACCCCAGCACTGCACTGGAGGGTCACGTTAGACTGTGTTCGAGGAACGATTAGTCAAACTAAGGCTCTTCAGTCTTGAGGGAAGACATCCAAGAGAAGATCTAATAGAGACGTATAAAACATTAACCAGGATTAAGAAAGTAAGCCCAGAACGAGACTCTAAGATGCAGCTGGACAAGAGGACTCAGGGGTCAGGGTGTGAAGCGCAAATTCAGACAGAGCGGGGGTGAAGGGGTTGAGCGACGAGGAGAGGTTGGTGGCAGACGGGACCTCGGTTTTACCTCTCATCCGAAGTTCGACACCTCTGACAATGAGGTGCGCCCCCACCAGCATTGCACGGGAGGGTCAGCATGGATCTTACACACCTGGAGGTGACTCAGACCAGACACGATCACTGTGCCAGCCTGACAGGATCTTTGGAGAGAAACTATCAGAAGACAACATCAAAACGGGAGACACTAATCACCGTCTTGGTTAGTATCTCTTTTTGGGGAATAATTAGTTTAGTCCCTCGTCTCTTTGAACAATAACCTGCACTAATTAGGTTCTGTTGTCAGTCTGTTTTAGTCGGGACTTTGAGCTCACAATCTAGGCTGATAAGAGAAGGGCGTTTATCCCAGAGTCCTGGTCAACAATCTCCCTGGATTAAATAATGATAATAATAATCCTTGCATTTGCCAAAGCACCTCATCACCACTTCAAAACGTCTCAAAGCCCTTCACAGAATAGACTGTAAAGTGAATTGACTGTGTATTTGTGGGCGAAACGCGGCAACCCATTGCGCGCAGCAGCGTCCCACAAACAGTCGTGGATTGAAGCGACCGATTTTATTATTGTTTTTTTTTGAAGGATTATTATCAGGCGTGTGGAGTAAGGAAACTTGCCCGAGGTTTCCATAACAGAGCACTCGCCTCGCAAACGAAGGGACCCGTGTTCGATTCCCGGGCAGGGTAAAACGATGGGCAAGTTTCCTTATTCCACATGTCTCTGTTTACCTAGCAGTGAGTAGGAACCCAGTTATTAGACGATTGGCGGTTTGCCTTTCCAGTGAGAAATAATCCCTTCAAAACAAAAATATATTTAAAAAAAGTAATAATTTGGTCACTTAATCCACAAGTGTTTGTCAGACACTGCAGTGCGTAACTGGCTGCCGCATTTCGCCCACAAATATAATAATAATACTGCATTTGATATAGCGCCTTATCACGTCTTCGAGTCCTGTAGCTCAGTGGTTAGAGCACTCGCTTTGCAAGTGAGAGACCTGAGGTCAATTCCAGGCAGAGGGCGAAACCTTGGGCAAGTTTCCTTACTCCACACAGAGCCTAATAATAATCCCTCCAAAACCAAATACAATAATAAATTGGTCATTTTCAATCCACGACTGTTTGTGGGACATTGCTGTGCGCAATTGGCTGCTGCGTTCACCCACAAATATACAGTCAATTCACTTTACACTTTATTGTGAAGCGCTTTGGGACTTCCTCCCGACGTGAAAAGTGCTATATCAAATGCAAGGATTATTATTATTATTATATACGTCTTAAAGTGTCTTAAAGCGTCTCAAAGTGAGTTGATACATTAAATTCACTTTACAGTATGTTCTGTGAATCGCTTTGAGACGTCTCGAAGATGTAAAAAAAGCGCTATATCAAATGCAAGGATTATTATTAATCTTATGGTAATT